TCAAAGATGTTTCTTGTTATTGTTCTAAATGCTTCAAAGATGTTTCTTGTTCTAATGATCTCATTGTTGATTAACTCATTAGGTTAGAGATTCAATTCTCGATTTTGAATTTTTTTTTCTCTTTTACATGATACTGAATATAAACAGTTGGTGAATTAAAAAAATATAATTTTTAAAATCGATCAAAAATTAATTGTGATTATAATCGATAAAAAACTAGATGTAATCTAGAACTAATTTAGCTTAAAAAAAATGAATTTAGTCTCATATTGATATAAAATTTGATCTGAAAATATTTTACTGCCAATAAACATGAAGAAAAAAGCTAGCTATAGCTTCTCGAAAAACATTGTCTTTTTCTTTTGTAAATGTATCTGGTTGGTATGGCTTGTTTAACTTCAGCATTGTATTGTTAAGATCGATGAATTAAGATGAAAACGAGATGGTGAAAAACCTGTTTTTAAACCGTGATTGGCATATCGTGGCAATTGAGTTCATAAAAAAAATCTATAAGCATAATATTAGGCACCCCAATCCATTCACCTAGCTAAGAAAGATAAGGTATCAAAGGTGTCAAAGTTTGCTTGCTGGGTTTTGTAGATTTGGTCATGGAAAGAAATCTATTTATGGTAGACTTTGCTTTGAGAGAAACCCAGTGACCATCATTCTATAGCATCAATTTTGTTTAGGTTAATAGAATTTACCTTGGCTTGTTAATCCTCAAACAACTTATTAATTTATGATATAAATAACAAGATGAATAGAATGAATCTCTATAAAAAAATGAAGCAAAGATAAAAACTGGTATGAATTAAAACTATAAGATAATGACAGAAATTAATCAAATGGTCAGATAACTTGGAATGGTAATTTAAAATAATTAAGGAAATCTGGCTAAGCAAATTAAGGTAATTAATTACTGGATTAACAAGGGTTTCTTTGCTGGTTCTCGTGGTTAATTTGTTATTTACTATTTTTACAAGTAAATTATAAATTAGTCCCACCTGTTTAGGGAAACCAATTAATTAATTATTTTTTTTCAAAAATTAATCGTTTAGTCTTGCACATTTTAATTTCGTCAATAACTTAGTTATTTATCAGTTTTTCGTTAGAATAGTGATTTTGTTTTGAAATTTTCTTTCTTTTGATTTTCGGTTAAGGAAAAAAGAAAAGAAGTGAGTGAAGAAGAGAAATAAAGAATTAAAGAAATGATAATTTTTTTTAAAAAAAATCACTAATCTATAGAAAAATTGATAAAAAGACTAAGTTATTGATGTAATTAAAATGTAAAGAACTAAATAATTAATTTTTAAAACGAGAATGATTAATTAATTTGCTTATCTAAATGAGAGAGACTAATTTATGATTTACTCTCATTTATTTTTACTTACTATTTATTATTCCTCAGTGGCTTTATGCCTGTTCGTCTGGAAAAGAGCTATGTTTTATCAAATGGAATCCTGCTTGTTCTTGTTTTTTAATAATCCGGCTACTAATTCTCTGGAGAAAAGATTCCTCTGAGGAAAATTATGAGCTAGAGAACAAAATAATCAAGTAGCTAGCCGTTAGAAATGCATATAGATGCATGAATTTTAGCCCTTTTATCAGCCAGTAGAAAGAAATCAACTGTCGTACTTCATTCAGTACTCAGCATCAAGATCATTCATAGCTAGTTTTATACCCATAGCTTTAAATAACAACTCTTACATTATGTAATGATTATTACGTAATAATTTTAAAATATTTCATAATTATTATTTTAATATTATAATAAATACATTATGTAATGATTGTTATGTAATAATTTTAAAATATTTTATAATTATTATTTTAATATTATAATAAATTACGGCGATAATGATCGTAATTTTTTTTTGAATCGTATGTAATTTAAAACTATGAATGTGTTATCTCTACTGCTCAGGAATCTTGACTGCTGTCAAAATGAAGAGAGTATGTAGAAACGATGATTCATTCGGATGGATACGTGGGTCCAACTACCTTGAATTGCCAAAATGTAGTATCGGTAGCATCAATTCATCATGGAAGAAAAGAAGCTAAGCCGAGATTACTGATTAATATTAATCTACTACCTTAATCTAATACGTACGTAATACTAATAAAAAAATAGAAATGAACTGTCTTTTTTTTTTATATAAATATACTTTTCACCTGTAAAGCCTGCTTTGCGCCTACTATAATCCTTTTAGGCCAAAGCAGTTAAATGTGATTTCTTTGATGTATTAGTATCAGTATAGTCACACATAAAGGAATGGCCAGAATAGCTAGAAGTTTATACAATAAAAACTGAGATTTATTTCTGCCAAAAATTGAGGTCAAAGATTGGTAATCTTGATGCTCGAATAAGCGATAAATGTCTGCTGGCATCCGTTATCGACCCGTTACATATGGACCATGTTAAATATAACACCAAGCACGTGGAACAATTTTTGAAGACTTGGTCTATTATTATTTTGTCTCGTTACTTAAGTATTCTCATTCACGTGTTAAGTTAATTTATTACCTAGTCTACCGCTTGCTTTCCTATTTCTTAGTTGATTAGTTGAGTCAATATTCGTTGCTTGAAAAGAAGCGAATTAGTAGCTAAGTTTGTTTCTTGCATGCCTATATAAGGCTACGTATTTAGATCAAATAAAAACATCTATTTCACAACATCTATTTTGTCCTTGTGTTGAATACTTTTCCTCTCTGTTTTCTATAATCTGGTATCGAGCTAGGATGGGTGATCTTCAAGTCATTGGAGGAATTAAAAAGCTTAACAATCAAAACTACAACTCTTGGTCCACATGCATACAATCTTATTTGCAAGGCCAAGATTTGTGGGAAGTTGTCAACGGAAGTGAAGTCATGCAACTAGGAGCGAGAGGATGTAAATGGTACGCTGCGAAAGTGGAAGATAAAAGCGAGCAAGATGATGTTTGCTTTGAAAACTACGATTGAAGAAGATGTACTAGAGCACATTCGAAATGCGGAAAATCCCAAAGAAGTTTGGGATACATTAGCCACGCTTTTTTCAAAAAAGAATGACACGAGGCTTCAACTTTTAGAGAGCACACTATTGTCCGTAGCACAACACGACATGACGATTGCTCGAGTACTTTCATAAGGTAAAGTCACTATGTCGTGAACTTTTCGAGTTGGATCCCGAAGCTCCAATCGGGGAAACCGGGATGAAGAGAATAATTATTCATGGTTTGAGACCCGAATATAGAAGCTTTGTTACTCGCGATACGAGGGATAGCAAAAGGAACCATCACTTGTTGAATTCAAAAATTTTTGCTTGCTAGCCGGAAGCCTTAGCCAAGCAAATGGGAGGAGTTTCGCCGAAGGACGGAGATGAAGCACTTTACGTCAACAAAAGTAGATGGAATTCCAAGCGAAGCATAGCACTGGTGGATCCAAAAGGAATGAGGACGAGGGCAAAACTCATCAAGGCGAAGGAAGCACTTATTCGGGGGAGCTTTGAAGAATTATGGCAACGATAAAAAGTTTGAAGGAAAGTGTTACAATTGTGGCAAAAAGGGTCATATGGCGAAAGCTTGCCGGCTCAAGAAAAGGATCGTGGAGAGTAATGCCGTTGCTTCAAAAACGAAGATAAATGGGATGCTCGAGGCACTTTTTGCTGTAGCAGATGAGGAGTTAGCTCTCACAACAACAATGATCGAACAGATTGATTATAAGAAAGATTGGATTGTTGACTCGAGTCGCTCAAACCATATGATAGGTAATAAGGAGAAGTCGTAAAATTTTTCAAAGTACAAAGGAAGCCGAGTGGTAGTGACAACCAACAATTCCAAGTTACCGATAGCTCACATCGATAATACGATAGTCTCTCCTCGATACAGTGCTAATAAGGCATCATTTTAAAATGTCTATCATGTTCTTGGTATGAAGAAAAATCTTTTATCGGTAGCATAATTTACATCCTCGGGACATTTTGTTTCGTTTAGCCCGCAAGATGTGAAGGTATTTCACAACCTCGAGGTTATAGGAGAGCCGATGATGAAGGGACGAAGACAAGAATCAGCCTATGTGATGTCGACGGAAAATGCATATGTAAACAAGATAAGGAAGAACGAGACAACGGACTTATGACACATGCGGTTAAGTCATGTTAGCTATTCCAAGCTATATATGATGATGAAAAAATCGATGTCGAAGGGACTTCCTCAACTTGAAATAAAAGCGGACACAACTGCGTACGGGATGTCGGTATGGGAAAGCACATCAATTGCCATACGAAAAGTCTAAGTTTCAAGCAAATGAACCATTAGAGTTAATTCACTCGATGTGTTTGGACTCGTTAAGCAAGTTTCTATAAGTGGGATGAAGTACATGGTAACTTTTATTGATGATTTTTCAATGTATGTGTGGGTTCAATTTATGAAGGAAAAATCTAAAACTTTTTCAAAGTTTCAAGAGTTTAAGGAGACAGCAGAAATAGAAGTTAGTCGGAAAATCAGTTGTCCATGGACCGACAATGGATGAGAGTATACTTCGGATGAGTTTTTCGGTTTCTTACAAGAGTGTTAAATCCGCCATCAATTCACATGTGCTAACACTCCACAAAGAAACGAGCATAGCAGAAAGAAAGAATAGACACTCGATCGAAATATGTCGAAGATTGCTTCATGCAAAAAATGCTCCAAGTCGATTTTGGGCAAAAGCAATGAACACTACAGACTTTCGTGATCAACGAGCTTCCTCAACAAAGGTTATGTTTTCTTTCACCTTTTGAAAAATTGTGGAACATGAAACCTACGAGTTAGCTATTTTCGTGTTTTCGATTATGTATGCTATGTATTTGTACCTAATTATTTACGTAGCAAGATTGACAAAAAGGTCGTTAGATGCATCTTTGTGGGATATGACAATCAAAGAAAATGGTGGAGATGTCGTGATCCTACAACCGGAAAATGCTACACATCCGGGAATATGGTGTTTGATGAAGCGTCTTCTCGGTGGTCTTCGGAACAGAAATGTTACCGGACTCGGATGTTTTTAAAAATGAGTTGAAATCGCTCAAATCCAACTCGAGTTTAGGAGAAAATAAAGATGCCGATGATAATGATCATGTTGAAAAAGGCTTAGTTCAAGGTCCTCGGCAAGCCGATGTGTATCAACAACTAGACGAAGAGGATGAGCCTAGTGAAGTAGAAGCACCAATTCCACTTGAAGATCAACAAGAGTTAGAAAGCCAAATCCCAAATATGCGAATGCCGTTATAGTGGAAGAAGTAGATGCAAAAGAACCGGAGACATTTGAGGAAGCATTTCAGGATCCGGAATGGACTAAAGCCATGGAAGAAGAAATTACCGCACTAGAACGTAATCGGACTTGGGAGACCGTGCTAAAGCTAGGAAATGTGAAACCTATTTCTTGCAAATGGGTTTATAAAATAAAGCGTCGCACGGATGGTTCAATTGAAAGACACAAGGCTCGTCTCAGTAGCTCGAGGGTTCTCTCAATAATATGGGCTAGACTATGATGAAACGTTTAGTCCAGCTTGCAAAGCTTACAATCGTATGAGTCTTACTAGCACTTGCAGCTAGTAAAGGTTGGAACTTGTGGCGGATGGATGTGAAGAATGCATTTCTGCATGGAGAATTGGATCGGGAGATCTACATGACTCAACCTATGGGTTTTCGGAATCAAGATCATCCCGGATATGTGTGTAAACTTCATAAGACGCTCTATGGATTAAAGCAAGCACCAAGGGCTTGGTATGGTAAGATTGTTGAATTTTTTATTCACAAGTGGTTATTCCGTGACACATGCGGATTCTAGTTTGTTTGTCAAAGTTAATAAAGGAAAACTAGCTATCGTGCTAGTGTATGTGGATGATTTAATCATAACGGACAATTGTGAAGAAGAAATCCACCAAACAAAAAAGAATTTATCAATTCGGTTTCAAATGAAAGATCTTAGACAACCGAAGTACTTTCGGTCTAGAAGTTGATCGTACTCAAGAAGGAATATTTCTCTATTAGCAAAAATATTTCAAAGAATTGTCGAAGAAGTTTGGAATGCTTGAGTGCAAGCCAATTTCAACTCCAATGGAGTCAAATGCCAAAATGTGTACTCATGAAGGGAGAAATTTGGAATATGCAATAATGTATCAACAACTAATGGGTAGTTTGATCTACCTAACTTTAACCGGACCCGATATATCATATGCAATTGGTGTGATGAGTCGGTATACGCAAGATCCAAAGAAGCATCATTTGGAAGCAAGTACGACGAATTTTGAGATATGTGAAGAGTACACTAGACTATGGTGTCTTGTATAAGAAAGGTGGAGATTGCAAGCTAGTTTGTTATCGTGATGTTGACTACGCAGGTGATCATGGCACCCGACGTTCAACTACTCGGGTATGTTTTTATGCTTGGATCGGGAGTAGTTTCTTGGTGTAGTAAAAGGCAACCAATCGTGTCTTTATCAACAACGAAGCAGAATATCGAGTCAGCAGCAAGTGCAGCTCAAGAGAGTACTTGGCTTATGCAGTTGTTGAAGAACTTGTATCAATCAACGGATTCTGCAGTTCCTCTATATCGTGACAACCAGTCAAGAATACGGTTGCGTGAGAATCCAGTTTTCCATGCTAGAACTAAACATGTGGAGGTGTATTATCACTTTATCGTGGAGAAAGTTTTAGAAGAAGAGATTGAGCTAAGGCATATTAAGACGGAGGATCAAATCACGGATTTGCTCACAAAAGGCTTGGGTGGCAACAAGCTTGAAAACCTTCGTCATCGACTCGGCATGATAAAAAGAATAGAAGCTCGGTGTTGAGGGGGAGTGTTAAATACAACACGAGCACGTGGAATAATTTTTGAAGACTTGGTCTATTATTATTTTATCTATTACTTAAGTATTTCTATTCACGTGCTAAGTTAATTTGTTATCTAGTCTATCCTTTGCTTTTCTATTTCTTAGTTGATTAGTTGAGTCAATATTCTGTTGCTGAAAAGAAGCAAAATCAATAACTAAGTTTGTTTTTTGCATGCCTATATAAGGCTACGTAATTGGATCAAATAAAAACATCTCTTTTACAGCATCTATTCTGTACTTGTGTTGAATACTTTTTCCACTCTGTTTTCTACAAACCACAAGAATGGATGTGTCATGTGGCAACTGCCAGGACAAATTGGAAAAAAAAATGTGACAGCTTCTGAACTAACAAGCCCTTATTAATTTTCTTATTCCAGCACAGGATCGGACTTAACTATGTAAAAAAAAAAAAGCTCTATTGCACTTACAGCCGCAACTTAAGGTGCAAAAGATAATAATTAGGGAGGAAAGTTAAGGAAAGTATAGTGACCAGTAGAATAAAGAAGAAGAAAATGTTGTCGATTTTGTCTTCACATGCTGGTTAAAAAAAAGGAAAGAAAGAAAGATAGAAGGGGCAATCTACCATTGACGAAATCCATCCTTTCAATCACATTCACATGGAAAAAGGAAATAGGAAAAAAAAAAAAAAGGCCGTTCAAGGGTCTATCAGATATTATTTCTCTGGACAACATGAGCTGCAAGAAAGCAGAAGAGTACAAAAGAATAATATCATACCATACCATACCTATAATCATGCCTCATCTCCTTGAACATTGTGCCTATAAACCATCATACATTTGTTCACGAATATGTGAACTCATATGTATATCCGAGATAATCTTCAGGCATAGCTTGTGTTGCTTTGTGGTAAATGAAATGGGTCAACTCAAAATATTATATCTTTTATACTTATTGTGTATTTATATTGTAACAATCTATTTTAAAATATTTTTTAGAGCAAGATTAATTAAATACATGCAGGCACATACACACATATATAATTACATAAAATGTTATACTCGTTTATTAGCTGGTTATTACTTTATGATTGCTTCGATTTATTTTAGCAATCAAATAATTTGTGCTTTGATTAGTATAATTTTTTTTGTCATTTTTATATTTGAAATCTAGCAAAAAAAAAAAAAAGAAAAAAGAAAGGGTTTTCATTGATTGGGAGAATATCTTAATTTAAGAAAAGCAGTAGTGATTCCTAAGATTTATTTTACTTTACTCTATTTACTTACCATATCTATTAGTGGTATTAGGTTTCTTGATTTTCTATTAAACAACGGCATCCAAGTCTCTTGGCCTAACAAACCTTGTTACGATAATCAAGGCACAGATTGGAAAATACTCCTTCATATGCATATATACAAGACATGCATGGATCCCTATGTTCACGTGTACAATATGTTTTCTTCTTGCAAGTTCTCCACTCTCTCAGTGCAATAATCGGGCACACTAGCGCCACCTTCGCAATTGAGTTACATTGACAATTTGGGTTTCTGTGTTTTTCGTAGTGTGTGCTTCTCCCATGGTTGAGGCTGCAAAATGTTGTCCCCTTCGGATTCTCTCTTCCTCTCTCAATACTAGGTAAAGATTTCTCACTTCTTCTCAAACCCAACACTACCCGTCTCGAGACTTACCATTTTAGACAGAACCCAGAAAGAATTTCCATTTTTTCCTCTCTGCCCTTTCGCTCTCAGTCCTGTCACGTCTTTTGTCCCCATCCACAGAGAGGTGTAGTAGTGGTGGTGCAAATGACAAGAGGGGCAGAAGGAGAGACAGCCACGTGATAAGCAAAAACAGAACCCAAACGAGTGCTATTAAAGAAACGGCTTTGCCGCATGTGAAGGCCTCAAGACAATTGTCATGAGAAATAACCAAACCCAAGTGGGTTTGGCACGTAAACAAGATTGTTCACACATTTGCACTTGGCAATTCCTCGGTATCATCCTACACAACAGGCTAGGTCCAAAACTCCCTTCGTTTTCACCACCATGACTGAAGAGTGTTGAGAGAGAAGCTAAAATTTCTCTGTACTGTACTCTTTGTTTTTTATCAGCCGGATAGATAGATAGCCAGCCAGCCCAGTGTTCATTGCTAGTGCTACCACAGACACAACCATATCTTCTTCTTCTTCTTCTTCACCACTTGCTCTTGCCTTTTCTTAACGGGTATCTAAAGCCCATAACCTTCTTTGCACTATAATTCACCACCATTGCATTCCTATCTATTCACCTAACCAATCTATCCTACAGTTTTCCTTAAAGGGTTGTTCTTGTTGCTGTTATTGAAGGTGGTAAATAACCAATATATCTTACATTTTTATACTATAATTGACTCGAAAGACCTAGTCTGATTTCTGAAAATGGGTTGTTCTGGATCTTTCTTTTAGTGGTGAATAACTAGTTTGAAGTGGTTCTTGTCTTCAATGGCTTCAATTCTTCGGTTTAGAAAGCTATGTTATGTGGAGCCTGTGAAATATCGATGTTTTAAGCCCCAAAAATTTGACAAGAAAAAAGAAACTGTTGCCACTGAGGCCCAAACTGCCTTAGAAAACAATAAGGAGAGGAGTAAATTACAACCAAAGGAATGGAGGTGTATAGACTCTTGTTGTTGGATAATTGGGTACATGTGCACTACTTGGTGGCTTCTCTTAGTCTTGTTTAACTGTTTGCCAGCCACATTGCCTGGCTTTCAGGTCCCTGAGTCACCTGGAACAAGACTTAAACGTGAAGGCTTGACAGCTCTTCATCCAGTTATTTTGATGCCTGGCATTGTCACTGGAGGGCTAGAGCTGTGGGAGGGCAAGCCTTGTGCAGAAGGTCTTTTTCGAAAGCGACTTTGGGGTGGTAGCTTCACTGAGGTATTCAAAAGGTTAGTGTTTTAATTGAGAATCACATTTCGTTTCTTTCATATGTCGTAATTTTGATTACATCTGTGAGTTTATAGTATAATTTGTGTTGGTTGTATTAGTTTAAGAACCAATTTCTTAAAGCAGAACCAAATTTTGGTCAATTTGTTAAATCCCCTCAGCATGTTGAACTACATTGTAAGTTGTTTCAAAAGCTTTAGATCACTGTGTGACTGGGAGATGATTTTGACATAGTTGAATGACATTAATTTTTTGCCCAATTTTTAATGATGATGTTCAATTATCATTGTACGTATTTATCTTCCATCAAAGTTTGTTGAGGGTTTTGGATCATTATGTTTAGTTGGAGCCTGTCTTTGCTTCATGAGATTGTTCTTGCAAAATTGAATCATTCATTTATTGATTAGATTACTGAATTTATACGTGACTGTGTTGGAATTTTTAGGCCTTTGTGTTTGTTGGAGCATTTGTCTTTGCACAATGAGACTGGTCTTGACCCTCCAGACATTCGACTACGTGCAGTGCCAGGGCTGGTTGCAGCTGACTATTTTGCTCCAGGGTACTTTGTTTGGGCCGTTCTCATTGAGAATTTGGCAAAAATTGGTTATGAAGATAAGAATATGCACATGGCAGCATATGATTGGAGACTTTCTTTCCAAAATACAGAGGTATAGTGGTTCTTCCTCTGCCTTTTGTTATTCACTCAATGGAGCATTTCATAAGTCTAATACACACTGTTACGTGTCTCAAGTAATTCAATTTCTGTAGCAGGATTAACTGTAGATTAAGATCCTTTAAAGTACTGAATGAAGTTATTGCTTCCAAATTAACATCGAACTTACTCGATCAACGTGGAAAAATGGTTTATAGATACTTCAAAGTTTCTTCTCATAGTGACTATTGTGCTAAAGAATCTAGCGTAAAGTCCCTTCGTTGCTCATTTGCTTATGCATATATATAGTGACTTTTCTTGTTTTCTATGTTACGCAAAAAAATGCAGAAACATTTAATTTCTGGCGGTGTCCAAAATCCTTCTGATGTATCAGTTTTCCTCTCTGCTCATGTTCCTAAGTTCCTGATCAGCATTTTTGTTTAAGATAAATTTGAATTGTCTCTCTACTAATACATTTCTAATTGGGAATGAGCAGATTCGGGACCAGACACTTAGTAGATTGAAGAGTCAAATAGAGCTTATGTATGTAACAAATGGCTATAAGAAAGTGGTAGTGGTGCCCCATTCCATGGGGGTTATCTATTTTCTTCACTTCCTTAAATGGGTTGAAACACCTCGTCCAATGGGAGGCGATGGTGGTCCAGGTTGGTGTGCAAAGCACATAAAGGCAATCATGAATATCGGTCCAGCATTTCTTGGTGTTCCAAAGGCAGTCAGTATTCTGTTCTCTGCCGAAGCCAAAGATGTGGCATCTATCAGGTCAGTATTTGCATTCGGCCTCTCATTAGTTGGCATTTAGGTAGTGAAAATAAGCCTGTATGGAGCAAGATACCACAATGATAAAGTTTTTTCTAAAAAGACAATAAGACAAAAAAATTGGAGTATCTTCAGATAAAGTTCCTGATATTGTAGAATTGTAGAATAAGAAAACGTAGTTATCTGGAATGCTTTTATGTGGATATTGCAGAGCTATGGATCCAGGTTTTTTGGATTCTGAGATTCTCGGACTTCAAACCTTGGAGCATGTCATGCGGGTGAGTCGAACATGGGATTCTATCGCGTCATTGTTACCTAAAGGAGGAGAGACTATCTGGGGTAATTTGGATTGGTCTCCTGAAGAAGGGCATGCTTGTGATTTATCAAAGAAAAGATACCTGCAAGCTTCTGTAGGTGACAAGGAAACGAATGGCAGTGATGTGAAGATGGGTTTTCATGTGAAAGAATCAGACAAATATGGAAGAATCATTTCTTTTGGAAAGGAAACATTGAAATTATTATCCTCACAGCTTCCCTCTGTTGATACAAAGGTATTTTTTAACTCATCCTGTGAACTTATAACCGCAAGAGTTTGCTAGGTATAAGATCAACAATTAAAGATGGTATCAATAAGGGGAAATGTTCCTCCTATATCAATGTATACATTGGAATGTTGTCCGCATTCATGCTTGATTTTATTAAGCCCTGTTTAATCCCAGTGGAGAACAAGCGATCCTTATATTTAGATTTAGGGAATTGTTTATTTTATTTATTTATTTCTTTATTTTTTGCATAACATGGATGGAAGATGCTTCAACAGGAATTTTTGGGCACAAGAACCAACAAGAACACTAACTCATCATGTGGAGGAGAGGTTTGGACTGAATATGATAAGATGAGTAGGGACAGCATCCGAAAGATTGCAGAAAATAAACCTTATACAGCCAAAACTGTTCTTGATTTACTCCGCTTCGTGGCACCGAAAATGATGCAACGTGTTGAGAGTCATTTATCTCATGGGATAGCAGACAATCTTGATGATCCTAAATATGCTCATTACAAGTACTGGTCTAACCCTCTAGAGACCAAGTGAGTTTGACTATCCTTTTTTTTGTTTTGTCAAATTCAATTTAAGAATAAATTATTTTAGTTGTTTCTCTGCCTTCATTAAGCACACATGACCTGTTGTTATCATGATTTGAATCTTAATGTTGTAAAAGTTGGAATTCTGTTTCAGATTACCTGATGCACCAGATATGGAGATATTCTGCTCATATGGTGTTGGAATCCCTACCGAAAGATCATATGTATACAAGCTATCACCAACGGATAGGTGCAAGAGCATTCCATTCCGGATTGATAGCTCAGTTGATGGAGATAAGGACAGTTGCTTGAGGGGTGGAGTATACTTAACAGATGGTGATGAGAGTGTGCCAGTTATAAGTGCTGGCTTCATGTGTGCAAAGGGGTGGAGAGGAAGAACCCGGTTCAATCCATCTGGCAGCGCTACGTACATAAGAGAGTATCGGCACAAGGCACCAGCTAGCCTCCTTGAAGGAAGGGGTGTGGAGAGTGGAGCACATGTGGACATCATGGGAAATTTTGCTTTTATTGAAGATGTACTTAGAGTTGCCACTGGAGCCACTGGTGCCGAAATTGGGGGTGATAAGGTTTATTCAGATATCTTCAGAATGGCTGATAGAATAAATCTTCGGCTATGATTATGTTGCTTATGTTGACACTTCCTAAGCTTACGATAACACAAATAAGAGTTTGTCTCAAGGCTCAGAGAGAGAACTAACAATAGAACGGAGTTGCAGCATTGAGGCTTGTCGATTATTGTTGTGTAACAGTGGTTATAAGTACTGTCATAGAGTTAAGAACTGTGGAGGTTTTTGTGAATCCTGGATTAAGGAAAGAAGTAATTTAGACGTGACGGAAGGGTACCTAAGAAACTGGAAAGATTATCTTCAGCAATTCTGCAGGAGTTTCCTATTTGGCTCTTCTGGCCTTTAGAAAAATGAGGTTCGGACAAACTAGGCTGTGCGTTTTTGTGTTTTTCTTATCCCTTCCCAATGTTGCAATTGTCTCAGTTTCTGTAATCAAATAAGAGATCAAATCTTGTACTTGTAATAAACCAATAATGAAAAAGTTGCAATTTTCTACTTCACTGAGATTTGGCAATCAACTGTCTTCCCCCGCCTCTCTTTTAATTGAGCTAATATGACTTCAATCCATGTCCAGGCATTAGATCATGATCTTAATAGAACTTAATGGTGGATATCACTAATCTAGTCCATGTGTACTTTTTGAAGGCACAAATTAAATAATTGACATAAACACTGATGAAGCTTATAGAGGTAAATACTGCGCATTAACGGGGCTTGTGGTGACTGGCAGGGTGGTTTTGCAGCCAAGGTTGGTAGATGTTCAGCTGCAAAGCTGAGATTTGGTTTCTTCAAGAATCCTGGGTAGGGGTTATGGCAAAGTTTTGGTGGAGACAGATGCTCGTTGTCCTGTGGCTCTTGTAGGTCGGCTTCTCTAAAATCTATTCACGCTAAATCGGCGATGAAAAAGTTTTGGTGCAGACAGATTCCTCATTCCTACATAAGTGGTCCTGTGGCTCTCGTAGTTCGGCTTCTCTGAAATATATACAATCTATATTGATGATGACAAAACGAAAATGTTGATCTTGCAGGTCGGCTTCTCTAAAATCTGTTCATGCTAAATTGATGGTGACAAATTGACAATGTTATTATGGAATTGGCGTGTTGAAATTCTGCATGGGTTGTCCGAGAGCAGATTACTTGGGAAACTTACGCGTTGAGGACGATGATAGGATTTCCGGGTTTGACGAGCCTCCTTTTGTACCTGTAAAAATTATAAAATCTCGAACGCATAGAATTAAAGAGTCAAAGGTTGGATGGACTCTACTGACTCTCTACCCTTCTTCTTCTTATTCTTTCCGTTTTGACCGTCTTTTTCTTTTTACTTTTTCTTTTCCGTCTTAAATTCGTCTTTCTATATTGGATTTCTATCTTAACTTCATTATTTCATTGATTTTTTTGGAATAACAGTATTAAATCATACCGTTAATTTTATAGAATTGCGGCATGTGTTAATTTTTATTTTTTTGTGAAAATAAAAAAATTACAAAAAGTAAAACATAAAATTATTTTTTATGTATTTAAATTTATCTTCATGACAATAAGTAAATTTTGAGTATAAAATAAAATATTTATAATATTTTTTTAAATGTCAAAAGCATTTTAGTTAAATTTTTAATGATGTTCATAATTAAGACAATTAATTAACAAACCTAGGAGTTAGCAGATGCAATTAATTAACCAAGGAAAACTCGTATTAAATGTTAGTATAAATATAACAAATATAAGGTTGAATTCGCCAAATTATTTATACAGAGTTTAACTTCCCAATTTGATGCAAACAAAAGATCTCAAAATAAGATTTCAACTTCAACTTTTGTCACATCAATTTATATGATGGTGTGGTAATTTTTGACATTAATAATCGGAGAGGAACTATTTTTTTAACAAGTGTTAGTATAAAAAAAAATCAATTGACATTATGTATTTCAATATATATTAAAAAAACCTTATGATTAATAACACTTCCAAATTAATATACTCCAATTAATCCTTCCCGTTTGATATAACACCTACCTTGAGTTATTATGATTATTAGTTGTAGAAATGTTGTGGCCTAGATAGATGATTTTAACCGTTCATGATATTAATTGGTGGGATATGGGAATTGGACCACATTTTGGATGAATTAGAAGAAATTAGTCTGAATTGAAATTCAAGGTGCAGATTGATTTTTTGACACAAATTAAATGCAAGGATTAAAAATAGTTTCTCTTTCCAATAAAAGACTTAATGATGAGATCTCTATTTATATTTCATATAGTAATTAATCAATTTACGCAATCATTTTCCATTGATGGAATCCTCTAGTTGGAGAATTTTTATATTATCATAGGAGTAACTACTAATACTTATTTCATAAGAAAGATAGACAAAAAAAAAAAAAAAGTTAAAAAAAGAAATTTGAAAATATGTGGAAATATTCTTATTATCCGGATGTGCTTTTTTTTTTTTGTCTATTTCTTTTTTCGAAAGTTAGCTTATGGAGTAATACAAAATTTTTAGACTCTAGAAATTTTATATTACTCTAAGAGTAACTACCAATAGGGGTGAGCATTATTTGTTTAAAACTGAAAAACCGAATTGAATAAAATTGAAAGATCGTGATAAAATAATTCTTTATAAATAAATAAGTTTATGTGTGGGTGGTGAATCCTAAAACCTCATGGAAAAAAAATTACTCGCTTGTATTAAAATTGTCACAAAAATATCCTCTAAAAAAATTGACTCGAAGCCGCTATATTTATAATAGTACTATAATAGTATTAATAACAACTAACAATAATAATTTTTTTACTCCTTTTATGCTTATACTAAACATAAATTAAAAATTGAATTTTTCAAATTATCTATTCAATAATAAAATATGCACAAAATAAGTAGATTAAAAAGAATATGAAAAATTAATCAAAAACTAATTTTAGCGTGATTGAAAAAATAATAAGAAGCCCAACTAATCTAGTTTATAATATAAATAGAAACAAATTTAGTATAGAATAATAATAATAATCTTACACAATTTTTCCTATAAAATCAAATGTAAAATATGCAATATCCGATTATGCAAGTTTGATATTTTTTTAAAAGTAAAATAATTCAGTTTTTAGAAGAAAAATATAAAAAAAATAAATGATTTTTAACTGAAAATCGAACCAAAAAATTTGGTTTTTAACCAAAACCGAACCTCAATCCGGTTTGGTTTTTGTTTTAGCCAATTCGGTTAATCAAAAATCGAAAAAAATATTGAAATTGAACCGAAAAATCGAATGATGACCCCTAACTACCAACATAGCAATACTTTAGTAGTAAATTATAAATTAGTCCCTCTCATTTTAAGAAATGAATTAATTAGTCCTTCTAGTTTCAAAACCCAATCATTTAGTCCTTTTTGCTATTTGTTTTTTAATTTATTTTGATTTTGTTTTAAGTAATAGAAAAGAAAAAAATAAGTAAAATTATGTAAAAATTGATAAGAAGATGATATATTTTATAAAATAAAAAAAATATTAAATTAATCATAGTCAACACTAGTTACAAAGGATTAAATAATTATGTTTTGAAGCCAAAAGAGCTAATTAATTAGTTTCTTGAAAAGAGAGGGATTAATTTATAATTTACTCATCAATACTTATTCCATAAATAGAAAAAAGAGAATTAAAAAAAATTAAACCTAAATAGAAATATTCTTTTAAATATAAACATAAAATATTCTCTTATTATCTTTGACAAGTTTTTTCCGGTACTATCATAATTGACTTAGAATTGGTAATTTGGTATGGAAATCCAAGTACTTAACATTGTCGTTGTTCAGATTTTTACCAAAAAGCATAAATGAAAGCAATTGTTTTTTTGGGTCAACAATAAAGGTATATTCGGAACATTTAAATGAAATCAAATTAGTCAAGTTCAAATAATACTTTGGCTAATCTAATAATGATTAACCCTTCAATAAACTATAATGGTTAACGCTTCGATATATAGGACACCATTTTGGCATGCATTTGCCATTTGAACACACCGAGAGCTATATATTTCTCCTCGACATGGCTTCTTTTTGCTTCACCTTTTCTATCAAACTGTTCAAAACCGAAGAACTTCATACGAACTTTGTCGCAACCACAACATTCAAAAACAAGAACACCAACAAGTACAAGCCTCAAGACAAGCAGTCTAATGTTGTTGCCTCTGCAACACCAATTTTCAAACCTTTGGTTGAAATCAACCGCAAGCCATCTCCTTTCATTGAAGAAAGGAAAGTTACCACTTTCTTATCAATCCTTCCTCCTCCTTCATTGACGGAAGTGTCGGCGAGGTCATTACAGTACAAGAGTGGGTTCCTTGGACCAGCTAGGCGAAGGAAGCCGGTGGATGCAGGGACGAGAGATGGCAGAGATGAGGCTCACGGAGCAATGAGTTACTTGGTTGAGATATTATCATCTAAGGTTTATGATGTTGCTATAGAGTCGCCATTAGAGCATGCTGCAAAGTTGTCTGAGAGGCTTGGTGTCCAACTTTGGCTCAAAAGAGAGGATTTGCAACCTGTAAGTCGTTTGTTTCTTTTTAATCATTTTCTCGAGAAAGTTTATGGTATTTAAATAGTAATTAACAATACTTAGTATATATAAAAGAGAAATAGATATAAGGAGAAAAAAAATAAGAAAGCAAGAATAATAATAAAAAAAATTGAGATCAGGATTTTTTATCACTTTTGATTGATTCGAATTTTAGATATAATTTTTTTTCCTTTTTGTTTCCGTCTCTTTTCTTAAAACAGGCTTATAAAATATTTGTATTACTTTTAATGAGTTTAAATGTGATTTTTTTATTCGTTTCTTCCTTTAAAATAGGCTTAAAGTAAATATTGATAATTACTTTTTGAATATTTTAAAATTTTTTTATTTTGTCCATAATCACATGTATATAAAGTTATGTGAATTACTACATAAATATTGCTTTATTAATATCTTTTAAATGTTGATCTAACTAAAAACTGAATTTAATCTTTTATCATGCTGATTATGCGTGTAAAATCTCAAATTATTTAGATATTAAAGTTGATGCATTTAAATTATGAAAATATCATGTGTTTATGTATTATGTAAAATTTAATTTTAAAAAGTTATATAGATGAATAACTTGATTTTTTTTTCTTTTCATTTGTTCATCAAGAGCTATGTGAGTCTTGTACTACCCAATAAAAAAATATCTTTTCCTCATTAGATAATATCTAAATAAATCAAAGTTGTTATAATTCGAACCTACTTCATTTGAAAAAAACAACCGAATACACGAACAAACATAACTTAACAGACATATAATTTTTATAAATTTTGCTATAATTGTTCTGGAGTCACTAGTACACAAACGTTAGGCTATCTCTGATTGTGTTAGATGATCATATCTTATAATTTTTACAAGTTTTGAGCAACATATATGAATTATTGGGGATCACAATTAATACATCTACTGTCAAAGTGGATCGGTTTCTGTCTATTACTGTTTACTACCAATAATGGTACCAAGTAGCCTTCAGGTTGAACGTAGAACCCTTCAAACCAAATTATTGTTTTTTGACTAAATTATTTATTGATGAATCATGGCGTGTAGGTGAATTATTGCAATAAATGATAATAAATTAATATAAACCAGCAACTCAGTTCAAAATATAGCTCGTCAAGAATCAGGATAAATGTCATGCCACTCGCAAAATCAACTATATATAGAAGTTTTTTTTTCTTATTACAATTGAGAAAATTAAATATATATTTTTTTTAACTGGTGAAGAAGTAGTACTGTTCTATTAGTTTTTTTTTTTTTTTTCCCTCAAGACATCCTACAAAATTCAAATTTATAGATGATTAAGGGATCTTATATTCTCAATGGATCTAGACAAAAGATACATTAAAACGTGGAATTTTGTAGGGTCTCAAACTTGGTTAGAGCTGGGTCTTGGCCCTTTAATTAGATAGTTAAGATTTACAATAATGATAGAAAAAGATAAATTTTATAATACTCAAAAAAATTAATTAACAATATTTATTTTATAGATTCATTCCAAAAAAAAAAAAAATTACACATGAACATTCTATATAAGGAACCCAACCACTGCCCTTGCTAAAAATATTTTAAGCCCTAATTAATTAAATATATAACAATGTTTTAGGAAAAATAATCAAATCAAACTTAAGAAAGCTAAAAACTATCAGTCATCCAAATGGGTTGCGTCTTTGGTTTTAGCCAAGTTCTTTGACTTTTCGTGTTGTAACGTAACATACTGTCGTTTTTTTTTTTTTTTTTAATGGCCAATAACAGGATTTCTATGAAGTTGAAAATCCTGTCATGATTTAAGAAAGTTTTGACTGATGTAAAAAATATTTTTGAGTGAAATTATAAATTATTAGTTTAATGATAAATAAGTTGATTCACAAGTAAATTTTCTATCGATACGTAAAATTGAAATTTTTAAATCATATTTACTGAAATGAATTAAATCTTGTTCTTCTTATTCGAAATAAAATTAGTCTATTTTTAACATAGGAAGAGAATACCCGAGTAAAACCAAAATTAATCTAAAACTTAATGGCAATGCTAATCATGTATTATTGTCTGACAAAATTAATGTACAACACACACGCAACTATTTGATTGGTATTATATACATTAAAAAAGTTGATTTCGTCAATAACTCTCATAAATTGGATGGTTGACATTTTTTCGATAAGTAAATATACAGCTATTTGATAGGTATTATGTACATTAAAAAAGTTGATTTCGTCATAACTCTCATAAATGGATGGTTGACATTTTTTCCACGAGTAAATTATATAAAAGAATTATGTATGATTAGCATTACTCTAAACTTATAAAAATAATTTCGAAGTCAAAATTAAATAAATAAGATTTATTTCATATTAATTTATTAGGAAAACAAAATCAAATCAAACTTCAAAAAGCTAAAATTCTCAATTACCCACCAGAATTAACAATTGTAAACAAATTAATAGGAACGGTAAAAATATCTAACTTACAATACCTTCGAGTTACGCAATGAGTAGAAATTTTTAACAGCATATTAAGTTAAAGGACTTAGAAATTCATAATCATTCCACAAGTATCTAGAAATCCGATCTAATCTTTACCACATGATTGTTGTCATGGAAATGATAAATAGATCATGAATGTGCGCAACTTATAATGCATATAGGTTTTCTCCTTCAAGCTGAGGGGAGCTTATAGCATGATGGCCAAGCTTACTAAGAAACAGTTGGAAAAGGGAGTTGTTTGTTCATCAGCAGGGAACCATGCTCAAGGAGTTGCTTTAGCCGCCAAAAAACTATGTTGTGATGCAGTCATTGTCATGCCTATGACTACTCCTGAAATCAAAGTAGGATAATATTTTTTTCCCTTCTCAAGTCTCATTTGTTTGAACCAAATTTCGTTCTGTTTTTGCTGAAAATTAAAGCAGAGAGCTTGAAGTTATGTGGCTTTCAGTTTGACGCCTATAACTTTAGAATCTTATATAGCATTTTGCATTGCTTTTATGCAGTGGAAGGCTGTCGAAAGTTTAGGTGCTACAGTTGTTCTCTTTGGGGAATCCTATGATGAAGCACAGACATATGCGAAACAGCGAGCCGAAGACGAAGGCAGAATATTTGTACATCCTTTTGATCATCCAGATGTTATAGCAGGGCAAGGGACTATTGGGATGGAGATTTTGCGTCAAATGCCAGATTCATTGCATGCAATATTTGTCCCTGTTGGTGGTGGTGGGCTCATAGCAGGAATCGCATCCTATGTCAAGAAAGTTCGCCCTGATGTATGCAAACTATTTTTTCTTTGAAATTGGACTTGTCTAGGAAATGAATGTGGAATCTGATAGAATAAGATATCCAAAGAAGTATATCTAAAAACTGAGAAGCGTAGGACTTGTTATTTTAGATGGGGACGTAACTACCAGTAATTAGCACTAACCTATAGTTTTCGATTAACAGGTCAAGGTTATCGGGGTCGAGCCATTTGATGCAAATGCTATGGCACTTTCACTTCATCATGGGCAGAGAATTGTGTTAGATCAAGTGGGAAGGTTTGCAGATGGTGTTGCTGTAAAAGCAGTTGGAGAGGAAACTTTTCGATTGTGCAGAGAATTGGTTGATGGTGTGGTTCTTGTAAGCCGTGATGCTATATGTGCATCAATAAAGGTGAGTTGTTTCATAAACTTTTTGTTTTAGACTCTAGAGTAACAATGGATTAACAAAGGTGTGATTTGAACTTGAGACCTCACCCCCCTTGCAAGTCTTACATTATATGATGCTCCACAGCCCTTTTCGATTCGTCTGTAATTTGTGCAGGAAATTCTCACAACTTTCTGCAATACTATTGTAATGATTGATTTTGATCTATTCCTTTCTATAACAATCCCCTTAAATTTCTGAAATTCTTAATTTTTCCCGGTGCAATCTCCTTGAAAAATTGTTCGAGCACTCAAAATTTTAGCCCGGAATGTCATTTGCAGGACATGTTTGAGGAAAACAGGAGCATACTTGAACCAGCAGGAGCACTTGCTATTGCTGGAGCAGAGGCATACTGCAAATACTACGGACTAAAGGGTGAAAATATTGTGGCAATAACTAGTGGGGCAAACATGAACTTTGATAGACTGAGGTTGGTGTCCCAATTTGCTGACGTAGGTAGGCGATGCGAGGCAATCCTTGTGACATTTGTGCCAGAGAAGTGTGGAAACTTCATACAATTCTGTAAACTGGTATGCCATTATTAGATTCCCTTTCTCGATATCCATAAGAATACAACAACTTGTTTTTGTTCCATAATTTTCGTTTTATAACAAAGATCATCATTCTATCCTGACAGGTTTTTCCGATGAATATCATCGAGTTCAGATACAGATATGACGCTAAAAAAGAACAAGCTGTCATTCTGTACAGGCAAGCAACACTTTGTATTGGATAGCTAAAACACAAGCTCACAAGAAATTCTCTTCACTGACAATTGGTTCTGTTGATTTGCAGTGTTAGCTTTGCTGCCATTTACGAGCTCCACAAGTTGTTGGAGTGTATGGAATCTGCTAATCTTCAAACTTTGAATCTCACAGAGAATGACCTAGTTAAAGACCACCCACAAATTTTGGTATCTCTCTCACTATCTGTTTACCCTTTTCTTCTTTTGATTCCTAGAATCAGTGTGCTTTATCTTGTTCCGCAGTAAATGCACATCTAGAATCAAAGGACTACTTCCTCACACACACACACACACACACACACACACACATATAACGATCGTATTTATAAAAGAAATTGGCCCGGCATAACATTTTTCTTATTTACATTAAGGTTCAACCTGAGCTGATTTATACTACCTTTCTCTGTTTATGCTTCAGGTGGGTGGTCGATCAAATGTTGAAAATGAGGTTCTTTGTCGGTTTATCGTTCCAGAGAGGCCGGGTGCTATATTGAAATTCCTGGAGGTCTTGAGTCTCCATTGGAATATTACGTTGATACATTACCGTGGTCAGGTATATATGCACTAAAGTTTCCTGTTTTCAACTATTTTGGTTGAAATGTGAAATGTGAATCATTTCTCCATTAGGATTTTGCCTTCTATGGTAGGATTTTACAAACAAGTTTCATAGTGATAATGTAGTCTAGAATACCTTCATCCTCATCTAAGGAATTGCTGATCTACTATATTGTTTGCATTAAGCCCTGCCATGGAAGCTGCTATATTGTATGAACTATCATCACTTAGTACTTAAAACCCCATTTCATATTTTTTTGGTTTAAATTCTTCTTGACAGGGTGAAAGCAGCGCAAATGTACTGGTGGGATTCCAGGTTGCTTACTCTCAGATGGATGAGTTCAAGGCAATGGCAGATAGTCTAGGGTATAATTACAAACTCGAGACAGACAATGAGGTCTTGCAAATACTGTTATTGTAAACAGATGCAGACAACGAATCGAACCAACGACAACATGTTTTTATGAGCTTCTTGATTACAAGCAAACCTAAAAATGAATCATACTTAACAGACCTGCGGCCACACTTGCACATTGGTTTGGACTGGAAAAGTCATCTAGAGCATGAACATAGACCATACAATGGTAGTTTTAGATGAATAGGATTACGAGTTGGATGAAATTTAATACAAAGAACGCTAGGTCTTCAACTATTGTCATGTCTATATACTAAATAAGAAAATTATTATGAGTTTAATGAATTTTTACGATGCAATTTATGTGGATTTGGCCCATATTTAGATCATATACTCTTCAAATTTTTTTGATTGAAATCTTTTATTTTTTATTTTTGGCTTAATTAAGATTCTTTATTTTTCAAGACTTCTTATTTTAAATTTTTCGTTATAACACCACCAATCAATGATCAATACGTGACTGAGATTTTTTACTTCATAATGCAATGTGTTGATTATTTATTGATGAAGTTATTACGGATAATCTGAATTTTTTTTTTTTTAATAGAGTCTCAATTAAGTAAAAAAAGAGGATCCTAATAAAAAAATTCAAAGAATTATTCCAAATATGACCCTATTTCATATAGTTATTTTATTGGCTACGAAGAAGTACATAATTTTTTGAGCCAAAAGAAATTATCGCCCAATTTATACTATACATTTTCATTATTTTAACACTCTCATACAATCCTATACAAATTTCATCCAGGTCTCTCCCTGTCCTGAGTACAGATTACTTGAGCCATTATTCACTTGGTGTAGACCAATGTAATTTTGGAGTGCAATAATGTATTCATGCAATTCACAATTGGGTTTAATTGCATGGCGCGTGCTATTCTCTCAAAGGGTGGGGATGATGCACTGCATGCATTCATGTGGTTGCCATTCACTATATTTCTATAGTGTTGCTATTTTCACAGCCTTTATGATTATAGGTGTTTTACTAATGAACATTATTTGCTTGTAGAACTTTGTGTGTTTGTATTAGTTAGATTTTTTTTTTTTATTGATGTTATATAGCTTTAGACTTAATTCAATTTGATGTAACTAATTGCAAATGTAAATTTTCATTAACTTATGAAATTTCACTTACGTTATGTAACGATATATCATTACAAGAAAACAGAAGAATAACAATTTTTTATTAACGATGGGTTTGAACATTGCTAAATAAATTTTTTCTATAGTATATGGAAAGTATGATTTAAACGATTTTGGACTACATTTGCCAATAAAAAAAATGAAGCAAACATTTTTTTCGCTTTTAGCTATGAAGAAGAAATTGATCCGTAAAGATAGCTTTTGGAGATAAATTTGGTCAGCCAAAGTCTACCCATGAGTGGTATTAGTATTGACTGTCAAGGTCTTTCGTGACGAATTTTTTCACTGCAGACCCTTTATCTATGAAGAACAAAATTAGAAAGTGATCGCCAGAAGCTATGATGACGGATCGGTAGCGACGGAGTTGGTCGCTTGGATTTCGACGCCAGAGGATGTAGTAACGAAAATCTGGGTTTATTGCCACGAATAACTTGTCGCTAGAAACCCTTACTTTTGTAGCGTTCGTTCTTATGTTCTTTTCATTTTATTATTTATTTTCAGTCAATTTCAAGGAAAAAAAATTAAAAAAGATTGTGCTTTTTGTTCACAAATCATTTTTTTAAAGAAAGACAAAAAATCACATGATAAAGAGTGTTTTTTTTTTTTTCTTAAGATACCTGTCATTTTATCAATGAATTTTGTGACGAGCATATGTGGCCAATTTTAACGAATTGATAAAAATCCGAAAGGTAGGATGATGTTGCTGATAAAAAATTAATTCAGAATAAAGAGTCTTAATTAAGTAAAAAAAAAAATGAAGGATCTCAATAAAAAAAATTCAAATAGTTATTCCAAATTTTATATAGTTATTTTATTATGTATGAAAGAAGTACATAATTTTTTGAGCCAAAAGAAGAAAAGCAAAAATTATCAACCAATTTATCCTATATATTTTCATTATTTTAACACTCTCAGGCCCAATTTGTAATGTCTGAACAGATCGAGCAAATCTTGATCATCCACCTAACATTCCAAAATAAGTAGCATTAAACTCATATCTTTCTTCAATTTGCTATTCTAATGTCCCAAAAGTGGATTAGGAGATGGGGAACATCAACTAGCTAGCAAGAGGCCAGAGCGTTTTGAGTTTGGGTCTTGACACCCACCAATTCTCACATGGGATTTAAGCCCAGAGGAACAAGAAACCACAGTAACCAATATTCTTGCCCAAAAGAGAAGTTACCCTGCTACAAAGGGACAACTTTGTCCTCATAAGAACAACCTAAACACACATCACAGTTGGCAATTTTGGTTTTCCACTTGTCGTCACTCCTCAGCTTGGAAGAGTGTCCATCAATGATATTAGAAAAGGTCACCACTATCCAGGTAATTCTGATGGTGAAAGGAGAGCTGCTACAGAAGTGAATAAGGGCACACAATACAAAGGTCGGCAAAATCTGATGAGGGTTGCAGCTATTAATGTCTGAATGCAAGTGCCATAGATTTTTTTTTTAAAAAAAGTTAATTAAGCCCACGAGGAGGGTGTCTTAGAAGCTAGGACAGCTAAAACTATACCTCAATAAGACACGCCATTTAATTTTAGTTGGAACCACTGTTATTATTTTTCTTTTTGCGTTGTTATTGGACTCCAGTTTTGAATTGTCAATGGAACTCTGCTGAGGAGACTGCTTTTTCTTTCTCTTTTTGGGTTGTCTTCGACTGTTCAATATTTGGATTCTGAAATGGGACAAAGGGCATGTTTATCATTAATTCACTCAAAAACAGCTAAATTCCCTTAACCTAGTTGATAGCTTGAAGGAGAGGTAAAAGGCAAAGGTGAGAACATGGGAAAAAGAATACAATCAACAGAAGTGACACTTGATCAAACAGAAGATTGGATAATGAGTTCTGTTTTCCGGTTTCCCCCTTTTCCCTCTTTACCTAAAATCACTGATTTTATAACTTGGGATTATTTCAAGCCTATCACTAATCTTGACAAGGATCTGATTTGACTTCACATCCAATGTTGCCTTCCACTATAAATTTCACTTCTTAATTGTCCTTGAAGTCCTCAATTTGCCACATTCCTATTTTCACATCTCCCCTTCTCACACAGACACAAACAAACCAAGCAGCTTCCACTGCTGAAAATAGTTGAGAACTATGGGGTTTGCAAATTCTCTCTGTTCTTTCTTTCTTCTTCTTCTAGCTCTAGTACTCTATGTGGCCAATGCACAGCCTCTGGTCCCTGCAATGTTCATATTTGGAGACTCAGTTGTTGATGCAGGCAACAACAATCACCTCTACACCATTGTAAAGGCAAACTTCCCTCCTTACGGTAGAGACTTTGTCAATCACAAGCCAACTGGCAGATTCTGCAATGGCAAGCTTGCTTCAGACTTAACTGGTGCACTTCATTTCAAAACCCCATCAGATACGTACATTTACTCTCATTTTTCACTCTACTAATTGGTTTTGTGTGTTTTATTGTATCTTTTGGCAAACAGCTGAGAACCTAGGTTTCACTTCTTACCCACCAGCCTATCTTAGCAGAAAAGCCAAAGGCAAGAACCTCCTGATCGGTGCCAACTTTGCCTCTGCTGCTTCTGGTTACTATGAAACTACAGCAAAGCTATATGTAATGTCATTAAGACCCCAAAATCTTACTCGCTCTGTGTCCTCTCATATGTCTCTAGACTATTGAGTTATGTGTTTTTTTGTTTTGTGGTTTAGCATGCAATCCCATTGAGTCAGCAATTGCAGAACTACAAGGATTACCAGAATAAGATAGTAGGAATTGCAGGGAAATCCAATGCTTCGTCAATCATTTCTGGTGCCATCTATCTTGTTAGTGCTGGTAGCAGTGATTTTATTCAAAACTATTACATTAACCCTCTTCTCTACAAGGTCTACACTCCTGATCAGTTCTCAGCTCTTCTCATACAATCCTATACAAATCTCATCCAGGTCTCTCCCTGTCCTGAATACAGATTACTTGTGCCATTCTTCACTTGGTGTAGACCAATGTAATTTTGGAGTACTGCTAAAATCAAATTATGTGCAGGATTTATATAAGCTGGGAGCAAGAAAAATTGGAGTTACCTCATTGCCACCACTTGGATGCTTGCCAGCAGCTGTCACATTATTTGGGTCTGATAGCAATGAATGTGTGGCCAAGTTAAACAAAGTTGCAGTTTCCTTCAACAACAAGCTCAATGCCACATCTCAAAGCCTGGTAAACAAGCTTTCGGGCCTCAATTTGCTTGTTTTCGACATCTATCAACCTCTTCACGACCTTGTTACAAAGCCCGGTGATTTTGGTAAGTTCATAATCATCTTTCCAGGCTCAATTTGAGTATTATTTTGGACAGAAAAGATGGATTTAGTCCCGGCATGTCAAAACTAGCTCGAAAATACTGCCTAATTAACCATAATTTTCTTCTTTCTTTCTTTCTTTTTTTTTTTTAAAAAAAAACTCCTATTATTTTGCTAACAAAATAATTTGTGGGTTACAGGATTTGCAGAGGCGAGAAAGGCTTGTTGTGGAACAGGATTGGTAGAAACATCAATATTATGCAATGCAAAGTCTCCAGGAACATGTGCAAATGCGTCTGAGTATGTATTCTGGGACGGTTTTCATCCATCGGAGGCAGCAAACCAAATTTTAGCAGATGATTTGCTTACCAGTGGCATCTCTCTCATAGTTTAATCAAATGCTTAAATTAATTTTATTCATAACTGAATTTCTCTAAAAGGGATTGTTTAATTAATCTTGTTTGAGAGTTTGGCTGTGTGCATTTGCTGTTGGACTGTGTTTTATAGACATCATGGCTTGAATTTAGCGTGTCAAAGGTTTTCAATTTTTACATTCGATGTAATCTAATTTCATGCAATATTGTTATGTAACACTTTGAGCATGAATAAGACATTATACTACGGTAATCTATGTATTGTCTTCAAGTTTTTCTTCTCGTTATTTTTTGGTACGTACTAAGAATTTAAACGGTAAAAAATATTTTTAGATCATTTGTACAATAATTAAGAATAAATTCCACTATAACTGGAAAACTAAAATAAGAGAAATAGGTACCAAGATATATGTAAAGAGATAATATGTATATACATACACACAAAGCATTTACGCATTGTAGTTTTAGTCAAGTTTGACCAATTGATTGATTGTTAATTTTAATTGAAATTAGTAACAAAATTGGCATTCTCATAATGGATGAGAGTACTAACTTGGATTTGGTCTTAAAATTCAAATCTCAGAGTCCAATTGTTCCCTTTTGAACTATGGGATTTAATGTGATTGAATTATTAAAACATAGGGAGCTCTACAATCATAAACAACTCTAAAATGGAGAAAAACATAGAAAACATGTTGTACATCTTTTTCAAAGTATAATTTTCATTATGCTAAGGCAAGTAAAATATTTTATCAATAGATATAAAGTTCGGACATGTGGGTTTTTTATGTAAGAAAAAAACTAGGTTTCATGTTTTCTTTTTTAAGCAATAGTAATATCTCTTCTATTTTATTTTCTCTTATATATTCTTGTTTTAGAAAAAAAATGAATTAATTTTTTTTTTTAGTTTTTAAATTTGTACTGAGCTTGGAAAACACATTTTTAAACTATCCAAAGCTCTCTTTTACATTATTTCACTGTTTTCCAAATGAAAAAAAAAAAAAAACTAAAAAAATGAATAGTAGTATAATACAATATTTTTCTTTTCTATACAAGCATTTTTCAGTAACGTAGAAGATTAAAATTATTATTATTATTATTATAAATTTTCATATTTAGTTAGAGTCATAAAATTTTTTCATGATAATTTTTTTGAATAAGATAAAATTTATATTTTATAATTAAATTATTATAAACACAACAGATTAAGATGAATATTATAAATTATGGTTTTGATTTTTTTATGAAAGATAGTTATAATCTTGATGCATTTTTTAATTTTTTGGGTGGAAAATTTCTTCTCCGTTTCTCAACAGATGAACACATTTATTAATTTTTTTATTGGGGAAGAAAAACGGAAAAATGATAAGAAAACAGGAAATGTAAAAGGGAAAAGGAAATGGTTCTCTGTTAAAGAACCGGAAAGTTGTAGCAATTTTCCACCCTTTTTTTTTTTTTTTTTGGCTTTAACAGGCCTTTGACCAGGCCTTGCAAAGGCCTGCTAGGGGTTGCAGCATCTGTTGGCGGCCCACTCAAGCCTGGTCCGTTAAGAAGAAAAAAAAATCTTACGATTTCGTATTTTTCTCGGGAGGGAAAAAATAAATACCGCGATTTTCTCGAGAAAATTTTGTTCTTTTTGTTTGTTTGTTTTTCTTTTTCCTGATGGCGAGTAGGAAGCTTGCTCGTGACTTGGTCCTCTCATAGCAGCCCCGTTTTCTTCACTTGACACCACGCCAGGTTATTTTCTCTGTTTGGTTAATATTTTCTGATTAGTTTCTTTCTGCTGTTTGGCTCCGAGAAACAACAGGAAAATAAATGAAATGTGTGATTACAGAAAGAGAAAAAAGAAGAAGCTATCATTCTATTTTAATTTGCGGTTATTTCTCTGTTTGGTTGCAGAGAAAAAGAAAAGTCAAATGAGATTTTATAACTAATTTTTTTCTGATTGCTTTCCGAAACAATTATTAAAAAAGAAAATGTGATTGCACTAGGAAAGAGAAAAGGGAAGTTTTATATTGAAATAATTATAGTTATTTTTGTTTTGGAAATTCAATATTTTTGGTGTGGTAGGTTGCAAGCAGGAGAGTAAGGGTGCTATCGAATTACGGCTACTCGTACTCCGGTTATCGTCTATTTAGTGTGTTCAATGAATTCTCCAAGCAAGTTAAAGAAGAATATGAGAGCTTTGTTTTTTAAAATTAATTATTTTTTACCATTTTGGCCAAGCTGAATAGGGCATCAATCTGCTTGTCATTGTCACCCTGGGAAAAAAAAAAAAAGAAGAAGAACAAGAACAAAAAATTGTGTTGTCTGCAGAAATCAAATACTTCAACAGTTGTTTAAGGAGCTAAAAGGGGTAAAAGATGAGTTTAAAGTTAGGTATGTTTTAAGAATAGAATGCTCATGACTGTAGTTTTAGCCTTAGTGGGCTGAGGAGTATTACTCTTGTATGTCAAGAAAGAGCATGAGATGGTGAAATGGCTAATGCAGAACAAAGCAGACAACTTATCTGAATTACAAACATGTGGATGGTGTTTTGAAAGAAGCTGAAGCTACTGCAAAAAAGGTACTGTGATTTGAATTGATCTTCAGATGTTGTTGGAAGTACATTTTCTGGGAGTGTCATATATTTCTCTGAATCGATTGTTCATATTTTGTAAGCTATATTCTTCTTTGTCGTTTAGATATATAGTTTCGAAACCATCCTAAAAATTTTCTCTTCGTTCGGATTCCGAAACCAACCTATGGATTATGGTCATATACGCAGACGGTACTGGGGTTGGTTCTGAACACGCCGACTTGGAGAATTTAACATCACTCGCTTTGTTAGTTGGATTTAATTTACCAGCAATCATGTTGTTTTTAGGTTTAAATTGTCAGCCTATTCTTGTGTTAATGCTAGATGTTTTGGAGTAATGGCCATGGATTAATTATTTATGACCCTGGGTGATTTAGGTCAAGGAAATTTTTGGGATTGGGAAAGAAGAGTCGTCAGAATCCACAGGTACAGCAGATAAAGATGGTGCTGGTGAAGAGGCTGACAACCATACCGAAACCAGTGATACTGCAAAAACAATATTTATCAGAAAAAGGGTTAGAGATTTTTTTCAGTTCAAGATACTTTATAACCTATTAGCATTTAATTTATGTTTTGAATAGGTTCAAATAATTTTTTTCTTGAACTTCCTTAAGATAAATCTGCTGTTTTGCATATTAATCTTCCGGTTTTCAATACTTCATATTTATGGGTGACATTATACTTGCCAAAGCATACCACACATGAAAACTGGTCAGCTTTTAACGCTGGGCAGGACTGTAACTACGACTGAACCTATTCCTGAACAGAAGGATTCACAGAAAAAAATAGAGGGACCAAAATAAGAAAAACAAAAAATTATAGATACCAAAAATACTTTTAACTCACGTCTTTGTTCCCTGTGCAACGAAAATAACACGTTTGAATAACTCGCCAGCACAGTAGTGAGTGGAGACTAGAGCAGAGAGGGAAGAGGAGGAATTTTTGGGGATCAGAAGATGGATTACAGTCTAGCAGCGCTTAAGCTACTGTGCGTCCAATTGAAAGACGCCCGAGAAACTCCTTCTCAAAACGCCTTGACCCTCGGCGGCATTCTCTTTCAACGCGCCTGGTTACAGGTTGCTCCTCTTCTCTTTTCTTTTCTTTTATCCGGTTCCGATTTTACCCCTCTTCGATTTCACTTCTGTAATTCCTTGCTGTTATTGTCTTGCAGGGCATTTTGGTTTCCAACGACGGCGACGGCCGTCTCCTTCTCGATGACGGCACTGGTGTTATCGAGCTTTGCCTCTCTGGCGACTTCCGTCTCCGTCAGTGGGACTTGGGTATTCTTTCCTCTTTCCTTCCATGTTTCTTTGTTTTATTTTTTCCGGTTGGCGCATTTTAGCATGGACCGCTCTGTATTTTTTGGGTGTATTTTACAATTGTACAGGGATGTATGTAATGGTAGTTGGAGGGTACTTTGTTCGAACGGGTGAGACCCCTATAATTAAGGTAAATTTATAAATCGGTCCCCCAATTTCATTAAAATACTTTGCATGGAATTCATTTGTATATACTCAGACCATATGGATAACAGTCTTTTTTTCTAATTTCAGGTTCATAAGATGGTTGATCTTTCAGCGTTTCCAGATCGAGAAGCGACGTGGTATCTTGAAGTTATCGAGGCATATAAGCTCTTCTACCAGCCCTTAATTGAAGATTTTTTGTGATTGCTTAGATTGTTTAGCTGCTCAGCTTTCAAACACCTTAATTGCAGCTTTAGAACTGCAAAATTTTTGCGGACGCATTCATTTTCGTGTTCTTGCTCTTCCAAATCGAATCATGGTTGCTGTCCCTGTGCTTGGAATCTCTTCATGCTATAATAAACAGCTATGAAAATCGCTGATTACCAGATTGAAACATGACGTTGCATCTCATTTTTTTAACTCTAAGTCTCTTTCATATATTAAGTATGAAAATGTTAGGATGTTTTTACGACAAGACCAAACTGCACCAGAGCATGCATGAGTTTATCATTTGATCATTTTAAGCATGCTTACATTAGGCAGGCTGGATATTTAAGGGAAGGTCAACCCATCACTATAATGCACCCTGGAATTGGATTGTTTTTGAACAAGCTGCCAGCAAAACTCCTGGGAGGGCACAAATTCTTGCATCAAGTCTGACAACAACTTCATAGATTTGGGATCAGTTTTTCCATCCGATGGTTGGCTTTCTATTTTTCCACTCTGTCCAGAGACATTTCTTCTTAGTTAGAGCATGCACTGAGGATTTCTGCTGCGTTTCTACCTCATGGGATTCCTACAGACATTGGCAGATTAATGGATGTTGCACAAAACAGCAATGTGGAAGATGAACCATTTCCTGAAGACTAGATTACTTGGTGAATCTGTAACAAAAAAACAAACATCAGAATCCATTAATGGAAAAAGAGATGCATAGAGAAGTAATGATGATTGGAGAGAGAGAGCAACTTACTCAATATGTTTTCGGCAGCAATCTAGCAATCTCCCAATATTTAAATCATCTGCAGCATATTCTCCTGTGACATCACCCCCATTAAGACAAGCCTTTGAAGCAGTCCATTGGTTTAAAATACTGACTATTCTTCCGAGCTGCATCAGAGTTAAGGGGAAAAGAATAGAAAAGGTGGAGAACGATGTGAGAAAAATGTAAACGATGCAGATTGATTGATGGTGCATAAATTCTCCGAAATCAAATTTACTTATTGCTCATAAAAGTTCAAGAACATAAGAGAACAGGATACCGCTGTACTTCTAGTATTTGATTTTGAGCTAGAACTGATCAAGTCCTTGGTTTCTTCACGGGAATTATCTAATTGTTGGTTGAGAAGATCATCTTCAATAATCTCAGATTTGCTTGCTAGAACCAACACATACTGATGCAGGCTTGACAGACTCATGTCATTTTCTCTAACTTGAACGAGTAACCTTGCAATAATGCTCCAGAGAGCACTTCTTGCTTCCACATCATCTGAAGCCAAAGGAAATACCTCGAGCAGTCCCTGTAAGAATTGCAAATCTGGACAGATCCAATGTGTCACCTCTGGTTCAATTAGGGGCTATTTATTTGCAGAAAATTGTGATTCAGGCAGAAATTTTCCTGGTTAGAAACATGAGCTATTTACCCTGTGACATCTCTGAAGCTATATCAGGCACATCAGACAGAATGTTTGCAATTAAAACAGCAACAGTAACACAGGAGCTGGCAACCTGCAGAAAGGAGACCAGCACAGGTCAAGCAACAATAGATTCCACCCAAAATTAAGGAATAAGCATCAACTAGCACATCCAACACGATGGCATCAATTGTCAGCGCTTAGAGATTTTACTTTTCCCTCCAATTGGTTCTTGTTATTGCTGCAAAATCGCTAATTTGTTTTCTTATTGACAACTTTATCAATAGAAGGCATAGCCAACGCCCATTCTCATAACAAAGAAAGCTAACTATAAAAAATTTGGAAAGTACCAACTTTTACTCGGTTGACTGTTTGAAAAATTACACAGAGGGAGCAGAGGTGTCTGCTTACCAGTTCTATTTACCAAATCTACCATGTATAAAATAACCTACAAACAGAAAATCTTACTGCAGTCTGATCTTGAGTAATGGGTTATTTGAACTCCTTTTGCCAACATTTACTAGGAGAAAAGACAAATCACTCAGTCCAGTTCATGATGTCATTAAAAATTGAGGTCAAACCCACATCATCATTTTATGTGAACTGTAAACATGCGGTACTAAAGGTAATCAGATCATAGATGTACTATGTATCACTGAAAAAATCATACAGCTAAGAACCTAAACCTTTCGAGACAAAAGGCAAGTAGGCATCAAAAGGCATGTCACAACCTACCGTAACTTTTGAAGATTCATGAAAATTCCAGATCACAGAATTGCACAAAGAACCCACACAAAAGGGTTTGTAATCAAAATCTTCCAATAGAAACTTCATAGTTCATACTAGCACTAGTTTTGAGGATAGAAAAAGTATTAAGAGATTGTCAGTTCAGTAGTGGATGACAGATAGTCATTGTCTGAATTTCAGAAAATCTACAAATGCTGTTTCAGCCCTGTATATTAAATTGTCAGAAATTAAACCTTAAGGAAATTACCAGTCACACAACATATGATTTGTTACGCTGATTAGAGACTATGTAGTCACAATACCTCAGCTTTATCTGGGAGTTTGACCAGGCCACAAACTAGTTGGATAAGTTTCTTATTAGAGCAGATGTCTTGGGAATGGCCATCCAAAACAGAAAGAGCTTCAATTGCACGAAGAATTACATCAAGAACAGAGTACCTGGATGATACATATATTGAGTGTCAAATACAAAATGCCTCAAAAAGTTCAAAAAGTCAATAAATTAGACAAGCACGCCAGGCAACATATTAATTGTGTTAAATAGAGTGCGGTTACACCTTTCAGGTACTCTCTCTCCTGTTAATCTGCTTATTTCAAAATCCAAGAGGTTGATCAACAGACTTGGTAAACCCAGCTTCATCAAGGATGGAACAAGGGTACATGAAGCTTCCTGTTGACTTTCAAGGGTGGCTAGTATCAGTCCTACAATCTGTTCAAGAAGCAAGCTTCTTTAGCCATTGGGAACCACAGAACTTAGGCAATAATAATTGATCTTTGAAAAAGAAAATAATCACATATACAAACACAGAAAGGAAGAGACTCCAATGTGTGAAACAAATGGATATACACTAAAACAGCTGAGATCATTTAAAAGCAAATGCAATTCCAGTATGTTTCCCAACATAACATCTTGTTTTCCATAGAATTTCCAAAATTGATTAAGTATATAAAATTTCAGGATTTCCAGTTACGATAATCATGAAATTATGGACTTTCTTTAAATGCTTCATGCAAACTCGATAACTGATTGCAACTGCATCACAGAGCAATATGCCCAAAGAATTTCCAACATTCATGAAGTATTTAACTGCAGAGCTCTCTAGTGTGGTTGCCAGTATGCCTCACCTACCCCAAAAGTCTAATGGTTAAGAGGTTCCTTTTTTTTTTTCCTTTTCTTTTTAACTAGAGAGATTCAATACCAGCATAGATAGAATCAAAGATTTCAGATTTACTTGCAGTTTTGTTTTTATTTCTTTAAATAGCTTCTCAAGGGAATAAACAATAAAACCAGCACACTAAACAGGCTGGTATGAAGCACCACCCTCCTGGAAACTCTAAATTCTGGAAATAGGTGTGGCCTTTTGTACAGTGAAGTACCCCCTCTTTGGCCTGGTTATGCGCTTTATATACTGTTGCTCTGATGGTTGCAACTTACAGCATCAAGCACGGATGGTACCGCAAATGTATAAATAACAGTCATGTGCTTAAGTTAAATACCATTGTTGCATATGTACAAAAAGACCTAGCATATATTTTTAATGCTACCTTCTCCAAAAGCTGTGGATTTAAGGTATTTTCAGCAATCCATATAATACGAGAAAGAATGTGTTCAGACTGCACTGCCTCAGCCCAGGGACTACATTCATTGCCTTGAAGACCCAAAGTTAACAACCTGTGTCAGAATTTAAACTGTAAATAAAGTTTACGACATGGATTAAAAAGAATACATCATATATTGCAGCGTCAAATATGTTACAAGCATAGCCTAACACATTCTAAGAGCAACTAAGGACTTGGCATCAGCAACAATTTCACAACCAGCAACAACTTTTATGGATACAAAACTATAAATATCACCGCTACCACTCTTCCTTTTTTGAGGATGAAATTGAAAGAAAGTATGGCAACACAAAATTTTGTGTTTTTTAATAAATATGAAACTGAAAAGGGTTTTCATGGCCATGATTTGTCATAATGACCCAAATAAAGTTCATATGCTGCATTGTAAGAAGCAATTCTCCGGACAGGAGGAAAACAACAAACGAATCTATCGAGGAGAAAATGAAAGAAGGAAATACCAAAAAGCAACATAATGAAGCATCACCAAAGGACGCTATTGACTCTCAATTCTCAAGTGCATATCTTACAACATACAACTTGATAGAACTCAGAAATGCTTTTATAAGTGAATAGTAATTTTGATAACAAAAACGGAATCTTAAAAATTCTCAAGTAAAAAAGAGTAACTAAGAATCAAAGACTCGTAATTATATATTACCTACAAGCTTCAGCCAGGCATTGAGTGTCGTCTAAAAACAATTGATCCACAATTGTTGTAATCAGCCCATTTGAAGAGACTATATGCTGCATTGGGGCTTCATGGCAGGCTAGGTTTCCAATAATGCCAAGGCATATTTCCTGAGTAATGAAGGCAATGTCAAATCACAACCAGAAGCACCAAAATCTATATATATATATATATATATATATATAAACAAACAAACAAACAAACAAACAAACAACCAAACAACCAACCAATTCCTTTCAGTGAAGTTGATAAGGCAAGGAATAAATTCAACCTATGATGCAAAAGAAGTATTTGAAGAGAGCAGTAAGACATTAGCTCACCGTAACACGCGCTGATTGTGAAACCATAAGGTTAGCCATAAGCACTTCAAGCACAAGGTTTTGCACCTGCACAGATAAGTCAATACGCATTCAAGTACGTATAAAGAAAACAAAAAGAATCAACACAACCATTATATACACAATCATAACAAGTATTATAGCTAGAGCAAGTTAAACTACTCATCCAATGCCAGTTTTTTTTACAGTCACCTACCGAATGCCATAATGAATGTTGCAAAAAGCTAAAAAATGCTACACCGCACATTAGCAAAAATTCGCCAAAAATACCTAAATTATCTTCTCATGAACAGAAATTCATAATCAGAAAGAACAACTCGAAATGCAAAATTATCATCAAATAAACAACACAAAACATCAACAAATGCGGAAGCAAGATAAAACAATCAGTACCATAAGTTCAGCATGAGTTCTACTAGCCGCAAGATCCCACAAAACGCAACCACACTCTTCCCAAACCTCCTCTCCTACCAACTCACGACACGTGTCCTTATCTTCTCCTCCTCGACTATCATCACCAATATCCATTTTCTCACACTCATTTCCACTCTCTTCCACCGTTTGATTCGGATCCAATCCTCCATCACCACGGCCGCCATCTTCACAACCGTTAACTCCATGAGAATCACGATTGGTCACGGAATCGATAGGAATAAGTTTCCGAATCAAAGAGATGATGTAACTAGGATCAACTGTTGTTGTAATTTCAAAAAACTGGAACAAAAATAACAAACTCTAACTTAAATAATTTGTTTGCTCAAAATAATTAAGCAAAGAAAGAATTAAAGCCGTTGGATTGTGATGTTACCTCATAATCGGGCGGTGCAGAAGGGTTGCGGGCAAGTTCATCGTCATCATGATCGACTTCTTCTTCTTCTTCAACGTCTTCGTCTCGGTGTTCTTCTTCCAGTGGGTTTGGTTTTGATTCCAACGCCATTTTTAAGCTTCGATTTTGTTTTAACTACTTTTCCCTCTAATTTCAATTTTTTTCAATTGTCACTTTTTATTTCTCGCTCGATTTTGCAGTTTTTTCTGTCTATTTCTTATATTTACTTAAATGCCCCGACGTTTTTTGGGTTTTACACTTTACTTTTATTAAGAGTTAAAACTTAAGAGTCTTAAATCGAGTAAATTATAAATTAGTCCGTATAGTTTTTGAAAAGGAATTAAATAGTTCCTCTAATTTCAATTCCTATATTTTTAAACTTATTTGTAACTTGATTCTTTTCATTCTTTTTCAATTTATTTTTTAATAAATACAAAATATGAAAAACAATGATGAGAATTTTTTTAAATAAAATAATATTAAACTAATCATTCTCAATACTAGTTAAGAAACTAAATAATTATTTTTAAAAAAAATATTTAATTTATTTTGTAAAACTAAAGAGACTAACTTATAATTTGCTTGTCTTATATCCAATCAACCAAAAATATAAGGGATTTAGTTTCACTAATGGTTTCAAAATATTCTTGCAATCAAACAAAAAACCATTTCAATTGAATACTTTTTTATTAGTTCCAATATTTTAAACCTAATTATCTCTTAATCTTTTATGTTTTAAAACCTATAATAATCTTTTGATTCCTATTAATTGTTGTCATAATAAAATATTTTAGCTCATATGTAAACCCCCACTATATTAGTTTTTCTTTAATAATTTAAATTGTCTAAAGCTATATTTTAAATTTAGAAGGAAAAAAAACAGATATTTTAAGGAGAAGGGTCTTCAAGAATTAATTCATTAAAGGACTAAGTTATGGGTTTTCAAAGATAAGAGATTAAATTATAATAAAAATTAAAAAACAGGGACTAAAGAACAATTTTAGAGAGGAAGAAAGTTTGGAAGTCCCTAGCACGAGAAGATATATTTCCTAATCGGATACTAGTCCGAGCTGAAAAAGGATTCTACAATGTCTCTATGCATAAGAACCCTAGCTACATAGCTATATATTTCAAAGAGATGTTATTTTCTGTTTTTTGTTTTCCTTCATAAATCAGTCATGGCCGAACGCCAAAAGATTGTCTACCACGCCAAGCTTGCTGAACAGGATGAACTATACGCCGATGTGGTGGATTCCATGAAGAAAGCAGCAAAACTTGATCCTAATTTTACAGCTGAGGAGCGGGACTTGCTCAGTATAGGGTGCAAGAATATGATCGCTGAGAAGAGAAAATCGTGGAGAGTCCTTTCATCAATGGAACAGAAGGATGAAGAGAAAGGGAATGGAGCTAACGTAAAGAGGATGGCAGAGTCTAGACGAAAACTTGAATCTGAGATCACAAATTTCTGCAATGATATCGTCACATTGATTGATGAGTATTTACTCCCTTTTGCTTCTGGGTTTGAATCATCTGTGTTTTACTATAAGATGAAGGGAGATTTTTATAGATATGTAGCAGAAATCAAGATTGGCGATGAGGAGAAGGAGGCTGCTGATCATTCAATGGAAGCATATGAGACAGGTTTTAAGGTTGCAAAGGCTAATTTGGCTCCTACAAATCTAGTCAGATTGAATTTGGCATTGAATTTCGCAGTGTTCTATTATGCGATCTTGAATTTGCCTGAAAGGGCATGTTGCCTCGCACAACAAGCTTGTGATGAAGCCAAACCAGGACTTGAAAGATCAAATGAGCAATCCTGCAAACATAGCATCTCAACATTAAAGCTTCTTGAGTCCAACATCAAGCTTTGGACTTCTTAGATCTTGAAGGATTATTAAGGTGATTGCTACAATAGATTCAGGCTTACTGATTTCATAATTGTTCTACGGATAGGCTTGACTACTTAATTGAGTAGCTTTGTTCTCGGAACAATTTTGTTTTGTTTTTCATCTTTAAATTATTTACGTTAATGAATTCATTATTTTTTATTGATTCTCTTTATAGTCTCTCTTGATTGATCATTACTTCTCTGTTAATTTCTTTAACAATGGAGTTCCACAAAGGAGACAAAGTAGAAGCACGCAGCAAACAAAAAGGCTTTTTTGGGTCATATTATACAGCAACTGTGTTCAAGAAACAAAAGGACTATAGCCAAGCAAGATAACCTTCATGTCTATCCACTCCTTACGTAGGCAAACTATATGCAATTGTATTACCATCTCTATTAATTATACTAAAATTACAAATACAAGAATTCATTATCATTTTGATAAACCCAAATCACTGAATCCATTTCCATGATCCAGTTCATCTCATGAGAAAGATGATGGGAAGAACTCATCTCCCATTTTCTTGTGTCAAAATACAACTGCAAACACACCCCTCTCTGAATAAGGAGCTACCTTCTCTGTTTCAGTACTTGCGCTTTTGTGTTTAGGCACCAATTTACCTATTATTAGTAGCAAATCCTATTCAATTTGCATTAAAAGGAAAACCCACTGGATAACCTATCCAAAGCTTGACTAAAGAGGGACATAGCTCGTGAGCTGATTCGACTAAACATGCACACACTTCACAATTTACATGATTAACAAGTTGGGAAATGAATGGCTGTTTTCCCCCTTTTTCTTCCATTAACCTTTTGGATTTGTCTAAACTCTTAAAATATTCATAATCTCATGATAAATTTGGTTTCCAAAAATTAACCATTGTTTTTACTTCTGCTATATAAGAAATTTAAGCATTTTCAATTGTAAATAAAACTTGTGAGAATATTCAGTCAGCTGAAGCATTCTATGCAGTACTTGTATGCAAACTCTACGTACATGTCTCAGGCAGCAGCCAGGGATGGTTTTAGGCCATAATACCTAAGTAATGGCTCTGGTGATGGTTCCCGTCCCCTGAAGTCAATGAAAACCTGAAAGCATGATGAATTCCAGCACATTCAGAACAGGAAAATCAGGAGGACAAGAAATGTTAATCTTTGAGAACTAGGACAAGAATATGTTTAACTGGTATGACCTGGAGGGGTGATTTTCCACCACCAAGAGCAAGAACAGTTTCTCGAAACTTGATTCCAATTTGTTTGACAACCTGTTTGTATACAGATTTATAAGTTCAATCATTGAAAACATCTGTCGAGAATAACAATAAAATCAAGAAGTCTCAACAAATACAATGCAGTGATTCCATTTAGACCTCCTAAGAAGGAAATAAAGTTATTTGCGTGATTAACATCATAAAAGCCGAAATGCGGCTGGCAAGATTTGAAAATCACGCTAATTTCAAAACAAGGGAAATAACCTTCATTAGCTTTACTTAAGAGTTCTGCTTCTTTGATTAGGTGATCACCGATGGCAGGCTACTTCATTAAGGCATTTTCTAATTGAAACAATCATGCATATCATATGGGATAGGCATAGACCGATACGGACGTAGCCCATTAATGCTACTTCAAACTGCGTAAGCAGAAAGATAACAAATCAATTCAGATGCAAGATGTGTAGGGGAACTTATCCATCAATATTGACAACCAAAAGGTACAAATCTTTTGCTGTTTATTTCACTGTGCAGTGCTTGTATCTAGTCATAACAAAATGGTCCTTAAGAGTTTGCAGCCTTATCGAATGCACTGTTGTTCGAGCTTTATACTCTCCACTTTATAAGCTGTGAAAAACATACATGTTTTTCCTAATATAGTGTTCTTATTTTATTTGCTACGCTTGAGTGAAACATACTTCTTTGCAGGTATTCGTTGACATCTAGATTTTCATATTAATAAGTAAAGAAGAGCAGCTCCATAATAATATGCAGAACTATGGACCATCACTTTTAAGGTGCGAGAACTTATAGAGAACTGCTTGGAAATAGAGATTCAATGCCATACCTTTTCATTATTCAAGCCAGCCTCCTCAAACGCCGAGAAAGCATCGGCAGCTAATACCTCTGCCCACTGATATTGAAAAATTTCAAATTCAGAAAGTTATGGAATGTAAAATGTATCGTTACTAACATAAAAAATCATTTCAAGGAAGCTAACTAGATCTGCGTAATAATAGCAACCATATGTACCTGGTAACAATAGTAACCAGCTGCATATGTATCTGATACAAAAATGATGCATGAGTAACTGTTTATTGGAAGACAAGAATCAAGTTGAAATATAATTGGATTTTGGGGAGTTCACCTGCAAATATGTGACTGAAGCTACAGAGGAACCTGTCCTCTGGGAGTAGAGGCATCACTTGTGTTTTTCTACCTACTCTTTGATCGATTTCGTAGACAGATTCTAGTCCACCTGGAACGTATTTCGTATGGAGCTCCAAATCCACACTTGCGAATCATAGCTACAGTAAGAAACGACATTCTGAACCGTTTTGTTGGTTTTTTGGTTTTCGACAGAAACAGAGTCCAGTAACAAGAACAATACTGTTGGTCTTTGGTTTTGGGCAGAAACAGAGTGCAGTAACAAAAACAAAATGAACAATATGGTTTTTTGAGAGTAAAATCTTTACTTTTTCTTTTTAATGTAAAGCATCATTTTAAATACACAAACTTTAAACTTCCAACTAAACAAACTACTTCTCAATTCTAGAAACACGGGACATAACTAAAATAAGCATGACTAACACTATCTCCACTATCTCCTTATCTTTAGGGACAAGGATGAAAATGGAGCATGACTAACAGACTTGAATATTGGAACATGACTAACAGCTCCTGAGTCATCTCGTTCAACACAGTTACAATCCTTCCTTTCAGCAATGAATTAAGAACAGAAAGAAAGCCAGTTTTATACATAAAAATGATAAGAGAAGTTTCTACATAGGTTGAGCAGAGAGGTAAGGAAATGAATTCAAGCATAATTCCTTCTACCTGACGTAGCAATTCTGAACCTGCACGGAAAGTCCTTGCTGCAAGGAGCTTCAAACATATTTCTTCAGGTAGACTCTCTCCAGTTTTATAGTGTTTAGCAATGCTCATCAAAGTATCTCTGCAAAGGAGGGATGCATAAACAGATTCTTTTTACTTAAGGCCAAAAAGGCAGAGAATCACCTAACTTTTACAAGGTTGTATGCCGTAACAGTAATACACTTAAAGGTTCCCTTTTGGGAAAGGTAAAGGTTAACAGCAAGTATAGACTTTTGACAGTCAAGGCAGGGACAAACAACGTCAAATCAAACCTACTTTCATAGAAGGAACAGATGAAACATTCTGCACCACCTCGTCTAAAGAAGTACATGTTGTGGATCATTATGACTGATAATCCTGTCCATCATTTCTAACCACGACGATCCCAAGTATCACGTTGGCACTAATTAATCATGGAGTTTCTGATAATAATCCAACTCCTAAACAAATAAAGGTCCATTTTCGTGGAAATAAACAGCAAATTACACGTTGATAGAACTCTCCAATTGGATTTCTTTGGATGAAAGACTCAATTTGCCAGCATTTTGAGTCAGTAGCACATCAGGAGAAGTGCTCTTAAGACCCTTTTGAGTTCAATATGATGTGGCAAGATCCGTAAGAATGAACATATATATGCAGGTTATGAAGAGAAAATATTATCCAAAAATATGATCAGATTCAATTTAAAATATCAAATGGTGATTCTCATTTAGAGCTATGTCACCTCCTCTATGACATCCTTTTCTCTAGACCATGTAGACAATAGAAAGAAATCTGAAATTTGATGTGGCCATTCTACACAAATCAAACAATTGGATGAAATGAAAATGAAACAGCAACTGAAATCATTACAATATAAATATATAATGTAGCATTACCTTTGGTAACACCAATGTTCCATGAACTGAGAAGGTAATTCAACAGCATCCCATTCTATCCCTTTTATACCAGAAACAAGGCCTTCATCTTGAATGGTCAGCATATGCTGAAGGGCATGGCCAAACTCATGGAACAGAGCCTCAACCTGGTGCCATCAACCATGAGATATCAGATATCAAAAGATCCAGAAATACAACCTTTCCAGTTATTATGAAATGTAGAACCTACCTCACGAAAGGTCATAAGACTTGGCTTGCCAGCCAGTGGTGGTGTTTGATTACACACAATATGTACCACCGGTAGCCTGCAAGACGTAGCATCCCGTGAAAGTATGCGACTACGACCAACAACCAAATCCACCCATGCCCCACTGCGTTTTCCAGAAGGACGAGAATATGGATCAAAATAGAAGTATGCTATCGGAACGTCGGACAAGTTTTTGACACAATAGAATCTGACATCATTGTTCCAAACCTGGAGAGTCATAAACCAAATGCCATTGATAGGTTGCACTTCGATGTTGAAACGATGAAGACATGAAGCTATAGTAGGACTTGAGAATATTACCGGTGCTAATCCATCAGCAGGGTAAATATTAATAGCGAAGAGCATCTTTGCAAGGCTGAAAAGACCATCTATAACCCTTGACATTGGAAAAAAAGCTCGTAGTTCTTCCTGCAGCCAAGAAAACAGGCAGGAAACACCACTTAACTTAAAGTGGAGAAAAATTCATAATAGAGAGATGAATACAAAGTTGCCATCCACATTCACATTTCTTTATTACATTACAGAGAGAGAAGAAATCTACGTCATTTATGTCATACCTCGACTCACGGAGCCTCTCGCTCCAGAAGTTGATGTCCCAATGTCTTAGTTGGTTGGCTTCCACAGCATTGTGACCCTTAGCAAAAATTTCAAGGTCTTCCATGTCTGCAAAGAATAAAAAAGGTTAGTTACGCTGTTGCCAAAAATATTCACAGTATTTGGCATCTTATGGAGATGAATTATCAAATTCAATCATCTAAAAACATACCAACAGGTGAATTATATAGGCAGAAAACCAAATAGAAACCTTAGAATAATTAGGATGGCCAACTATGGGTTCATAAATAATAAACCAACTAAATGGGAATAGAAAAACCTAAAATTTGAATCAGAAGAACATAACCAACTATTTATGCAAGAAACCTTGTTTCATTCCCCATGAATTGAATTGATGCAGTCATGTACCTACCATGAAAATTTTCACAAAGCAAAAGCAAAGCCAATTACCTTGAATCGCAGAACCGCGGCATGCATTACAAAGTTCCTCAATAAGCTCTTCTGCTTTATCAACTGTCGCCATTTTTGTTTCCATGCTTACCTGGAATTACTATGCTTGAGTTACCACAGATCAGCAGAATGAACATTTAACACAAACTGCATATTCTACCTCAGCGTAATTATCGAATCCAAGAAGCTCTGCCTTCTCCAACCTAAGCTTCAAAATCTGATGGATAATTGCTGTATTGTCAAGAACTCCAGTTGAAGCACGAGTGACATAAGCACGGTATAGTTCTTCACGTAAAGAACGACTCTTGGCATGTTGCATGACAGAACGGTAGCTTGGACCAGCCAATGTGATGATCCATGGCCCGTTTTCGGCAGTGGCATTTTTGTGACCCTTAATTATCAAGAATATAAAGCATTTAAGAGAATGAAGAAATGTGAGAAATGACTTGGCAAAACGCAAGCTGTAATAATGCTGGCCAGCATTTTGACACAATATACCTTGGACACTGCCATTTGTGCAGCCATTTCAAGCCCAGTAGCAGTCATTCCTTCGATGTCCTGCTTGTCTGTAATTAATTTTTCAAATTTGTTCGTGGCATCTAAAATATTCTCCTCAAACTGCTGTGCTAGTTTCTCCAACTCCTGCAAATTAACTCACAATGAAATATTTACAAATCTATAAAAATAACATACAGTGGAACGATAAGTAATTACTTTCTGAATTCATTTTCATTTCCATAAGAAAAGGTAAAAGGCTATAAACATGCTTATTTTAGAATTATCCCACTTATGATGCTTTAATAATCAGAAGAGGTCATTTTCTGATACTACTGACAAGGAAAGTATATCTCCTGGAATCAAGATCGACACAAAGCTCAAATCTGACGAAGGAAAGCAAACTCATTCGTTTGCTCATCTAGTCATCATTAATGCTTTAAATGTGAATTAGCAATGTAAAACTCACCTGTTGAATTTCATTAAAACGTTGTTTTTTATCATCTTCAAGAGAAACACCATTGAGGACTGCCTCCTTTAATCGAGCTGTAGAAAGCATATATAAAAAAGACAGGTTGACGGTGAATCTGTATATTGTACACAGTGAATTATAACAGGAGCTAAGAGCCTAATTCATCTAATTGCAATCATACATGCAAAAATTCATCTTCCATGGCATGGCTCCCACTTTGCTTATTACTATTGAAATTGATGAACAACTATACATTCAAATGGATGGAAAATTGAGCAGAAAACATAGAACAGTTTAGATAACCCTTGTGCTGTAAAGTAAAACAAAATTTTACACCAGCAAAATCAGATTAGAAGTAGTTTTTTAAGCTGCAATACCTTCCACTATGCGCTTTCGTGCCTCGTTCAAACTCTCCCATTCAGAAGATTGGCGAATAGCTTTAAATGCATTGTATATCGGTTTGCTTTGGTCCAATCTAAGCTGGAACTTTACCTTCTCTGGCTGCAAGTAAGTTTTAAAGAGACTAAAGAAACACCCCCTGTGATTCATATGAAGAGACTAAAGAATCAAGTAACAGAAATACCTGAACTTCTTTGATGGCGGAACGAAGTTCAGGAGAGTCCATAACAGCATTCAGATGGTTCACAATCCCCCAAACAACAGATAATCTGTCTTTAATCTTCTCCAATGGTTCCACCAATTTTGGCCATGTTGGTTCTACTCTAGTCTCTAAATCAACCAAATCACTCTCCTACACAGACCACAAAATTATAGTTTCCAAGGAAATCTTCAATTCTTGCTGTGAAGTAGAGTCAAAAAGAGAATCGCAGAAACAAGTGCCAGAACTTAAGAAAACATGAAAAGGAAAAGAAGAAATCAGAAGCGTAACAATACTTACGAGTTGGTCCAAGAGTGAGAGGATCGCAGGGGAGACGTGCTTGGGCTGGATGGCATCATAAGGAGGGAAAAGGAAGTCCTCTAGCAAGGGATTGTTGTCCTGATGATCAGCTGCCATGGATGCCAATCACTTGAAAGATCCTTACTAGTTATGATCATAGAACAACTGTTTTCGTCATTAACGAGAACACCGTCCAAGCCTTTTGACTTTTGTGCTACTTGGAACATTTTTCCACATTCCTAGCGTTACTAACCTTTAAGATAATTTGATTGGTTTGATCTACACTGCCTCCATGCAAAAATTACTTTAACATTTTTTTCGTTAATTTCTTTTTTATTCTACGTTAAAAAATGTCATCGAATTAATTTACTTAATTTACAAACTATTAATCAAAATATATACAACTATTATTATTAATAATAATAAATTAATTCTACTAAAAGCCTCATTTTTTAGACTCATAGCTTTTGATTGAATGGACCCGTTATTAAGTTTATTTTAAAAACTAATTATTTAATTAATATTGTCTATTTTAATTTAATATTATTTTATTTTAAAAAATAATTTTTTTTCATAAGTCTTGTATATTTTTTATTTTTTCTATTTTTTAAAACAAAAAATCATAATAAATTGAAAATAAATAAAAAGGATTAAATTAAAAATTAAAATATAAAGATTAAATAATTAGTTTTTTAAAAAAAAACTAATTAATTAATTTCTCAAAACTAAAGGATAATTATCTTAAAGTCTGCTAAGATAATTTGATTGGTTTGATCTCCACTGCCTCTATGCAAAAATTACTTCACATGGTTTTGTTAATTGTTTTTATTCTATGATAAAAAATGTCATCAAATTAATTTACTTAATTTACAAATTGTTAATCAAAATATATACAACTATTATTATTAATAATTAAAAAATTAATTCTACTAAAAGCCTTATTTTTTAAACTCATAGCTTTTGATTGAATGGACCCGTTATTAAGTTTATTTTAAAAAATAATTATTTAATATTTTAATTAATATTAACTATTTTAATTTAATATTTTTTATTTTAAAAAATAATTTTTTTCTCTTAAGTCTTGTATATTTTTTATTTTTTCTATTTTTTAAAACCAAAAATCATAATAAATTGAAAATAAACAAAAAGGATTAAATTATAAAAAAAATTAAAATATAAAGATTAAATAATTAGTTTTTAAAAAAATTATTTATTTATTTTTCAAAACTAGAGAATAATTTATAATTTATTATAATAATAATATAATTTTATTTTTCAAATAGCCACAAAACTTATGCCAAGTGTCACACTAAAACAATCAATAGGTGGCAGTTCCTCAGCATCTTCGCATTAAATATTTAAAAATTCAAAGAGTGAAACATAGATAAATTTTATAATAATTAAGAAGTAATTAATGATCTATATAATAATAGTTACCGTAAATATCATTATTTACTCTCCGGATGTTATAAAAACTTCTCGTGAAACACATGAATGAATGACGGAACCAAAGCTAAACCACAAATAGTCCTAACCGTCATTTTCTAACTACCTAATTAAAAAAATTATAAAAATAAATAAAATAAAATAAAACTAAAAAGCGCAAATAGTTTATCGCTAAAAAACCAATCAGATTCGCTCCCTCTTCCACCTACTTTCCTCTCCCTCCAGCTCAATTTCCGAACTTCTTTACAGTCCATGACCGAACCTTAAGCATCACATCAATGGCTTTATCTCTTCAATTTCCGCCGGCACTGCCTAACCACCTCCACTTATCTCACTCTACACTCCAATCCTCCACCACTCCTCTTTCTCTTATCCAAAACGGCAAATTCTTTCCCGTGCTTCCGATCGCAGTGAAGTGTTCCTCGAGAGTCAAATGTTTGACCAGATCAACGGAGGAGGATCGAAGGAGTAGTAGCGAACAAGAAAGCAGCTTAGGATCTGATTCCGAGGACGGAGAAGACACCAAAGTCCAGCTCCAACAGAACCAGAGGATTCCGACTACATCGTCGTTTGGTGATTCTATCTCCGTTGGGATTCGTGAGCCTATTTATGAGGTTCGTTTTAAATTCCTTCGATGCGGTGTCGTTTTTGTTCTGCTAGTTGTTTTGATTTTATTTTAATTTGTTTTGAAGGTTGTAGAAGTTAAGGCAAATGGAACAATATCTACTCGGAAAATAAACAGACGTCAGTTACTGAAGTCTGGCGGTGAGTGCCTAATTAATTTCCTTTAATTTTTTATTTTTTTGAATACATTTGTAATTAATCAGTATTTAATTTCTTTAAAGAGTATTTTATTTTTAATCATCATCAGGTCTTCGCCCACGAGATATCCGCAGTGTTGATCCATCATTGTTTTTGACAAACTCCGTGCCTTCTTTGCTGGTATTATTTTTTAATTAATTAATTTTCTATGAATAGTATGTTACATTTGTTATTACGATTAGCTGAGAGTGACGAGCTTCTAGGTTCGCGAGCATGCTATCTTACTCAATCTGGGTTCGTTACGAGCAATAGCAATGCAAGAATGTGTTCTTATATTTGACTATAATCGGTAATTTTCTATTCAGCAGCAGTACAAATAATCTCTATTTCTTGTAATATTTTTGCTTGAGTTGAACTAATGGAGGTGAATCCCCTCTGTGTTCTGATCCTTTTTAGGAGAGGAGGAAAAGCTTTGGTAGATACACTGTTGCCTCGTTTAAACCCCAGAAACTCAAATGGAGGGCCATGCATGCCGTTTGAGCTTGAGGTCAGTGGGGTGTTCTTTATTTTTAACTTTATTCGCTGAAACATGAAGACTGCTAAGTGAATGCATTTGATGTATTAGTTATGTGATTTGTGAAAAGCTAGATTCTTTTAAAGGTTTTATTGATGGAAATGGTTGAAACTTTGTAGTTTTGCTAGCATTTGATTTGCAGTGCTGGTCCATCATAACAGTTTTGCTGCTATAAAAGGTATCTGAGGTTGTCTGAAGTGGCTTTAACGTTGACTTTTAGGTTGTTGAAGCAGCATTGCTATCACGAGTACAGCATTTGGAGCAGAAACTGATGAATATAGAACCTCGTGTGAGTATGGGAACATAGTGAGTAATTTTTTTACTGTGTTTGTTTTTTCTTTTGCATCTCTTTGCTCTGTAAAATTTTTTGTTTGCCAGAAGTACTGTTCCTGAACTACTTTTAGTTAGTACAGATAAGTTCCACTCAAGTTAAAACAAGCTGGTAGTTTTGTTTGGTTCCCTCAGTTGATACTTGAGGAGAACATACTTTACTTGATATTGCTATTGTCGGGATTGCATAATCTTTTCCCATATTGCTTTACTAACACGTGAACAAAGTCTTTCATTCCTCTTTACTGTTTGCTTCAGGTTCAAGCTTTACATAAGGTTTTGCCCAACCAGTTAAATGCAGACGTGTTGGAGGAACTTCGCATTAGCAAGCAAGCCTTGGTATAGTTACTGACTGTACTTGAAATGTCATGACTGTTGTGATGAGAAATGGTCCTTGCTTCTTACGTCTTCACTTGTTCATTGAAGGTTGAATTGGGTTCAAGGGCAGGGGCTCTTCGTCAAATGCTGCTTGATCTTTTGGAGGACGAACATGAAATACGCAGGATATGCATAATGGGAAGAGACTGCAAACTCAAAGGAAATGACGTTGTGGAATGCTCTGTTCCCTTAGAAAAGCAAATTGCCGAAGGTAAGACCTGCAGAGGCTCTACCTATATATAATATGCCTTACTTGAACAAGCAATGTTCCAAATTTGCTTATAATTTTTTCTTTTCTTCTCTTTTTTCGTATAGAAAAGGAGATTTCAGAAAGAAGGAAAGGAATTTACTAAAATAGGTTTAATTCGGTTTTTTTTTTTTTTTTCATTTGCAGAAGAGGAGGAAGAAATTGAGATGCTTTTGGAAAATTACCTTCAGAGGTCGTTCCTTGGTCCCATTTTGCAAGGATATCTGATATAAGTCCAATATACTTGAGATGCTTTATTCATAATGGGTTTTGGAAATCTCTCCTCCAATTCATTTCTCTCTTTCTCCTCCAAATTTGTTTAAAAGAAAGGTAGACTATTCATAAATTTGGTGACAATTTAATATTAACCGTGAATAAGTGGTGACTTACCTGTGCATCGTCAACAATTCCTCAGGTTATGTCTGTATTCTTGTACCTTTGTCAAGTGGGTAGATATAAAAGTGAACTCATTGCAATCTATAATATGCAGCTCAGTGCTGATAACTTAAGCATGTGAGGATGTGTTGTCTTGGAACGGAATTTTGGTATTTTGCTAGTATTGTCTGTATCTCGAACTTTGGAACGAGCAGAGAGAGTTAGATGGGTTTATAGAACAAGCCTCCTAATGGAGGCAGGCTGATTTCCCTTGAACACAGTCTCCAAGGGAATTTATATCTTTAAACAGGAAAGTGATATATTTTTGTTTCATTCAACTCTATGGAACCAACAACAAAAGCCTTCAAGAAGTATTGTTGCTAGAAATAAAATAAGGGGAAAAAAAATCTTCCAAGAAGCAGCTGATAAGTTGATGTGCATTCAGAATTAACCTTAGCATGGAAAAAGTTAAATTATTTTTATCAATTAGAGAAGTTATGTTGTCTTTATGCAAACTGACACCTCAATATCTTATGCTTTTGCAGATCGGAATCTTGTCATGGTCAGGCAGAAAGGCTTCTTGATTCTGCAAAAGAAATGGAAGATTCCATTGCTGTTAACTTAAGGTTTGAATTGTTTTTTAATTTTCCTGCTTTGTTTGTTAGCTAACCCTTAGAGTCCAGCTAAGCTTTGTTGTTTGCTTTGTTTGTTTCAACTGAAGATAAATTCTGTGAAACACTTTTTGAAGCTTTAAACCTTCCCAAACAAACACACAGAATCAGTTGAATCATGAATGTGCTTGGGCCATGGCACTGGTGTTTAGCCTGAATGAAATTTAACCGTTGTTTATTTATTAGGGGTATTTGTTTATTAAAAAAATTTTCTTTAGTAGTTGTTTAATTCTTTTGGTGGATACCTCAAACCTAGAATAATGACAAATGATCACACGCCTCTCAACAAAAAATGGAAAATGAAAATGAAAAAAAAAAAAAAAAGAAACAAAACCATGGCTCAGTTTACCTTGGCAATGGTTACGGTTATTTCTCAGTGATGCGTAATAATTAACAGGATTTATTGTATGTGGCACTTCTGAGAATCTGAACACCATAACTTTTAAGTTCAACCTTTTCTTGCCAGCTCTCGGAGGCTTGAGGTGAGCAGAGTGGAATTACTTCTCCAAGTTGGGACATTTTGTGTGGCAGTGGGTGCTCTAATTGCAGGTGTGCCTGTTGGCTTGAAAACTATTGTCTTGCCTCTTTTACTATGACTTTTTGTTTTATATGAACATCCCGCTCCTGGTCTGGCATTTAACTTGTTTTTAATGACTAAGATCAGATATCTTCAATTGATAAATTGCGCTTCGTATCATAATCTAAAATGCTAGCTGCAATAAGAATTGAATTGATTATAAATAGACACTTTCTATCTTTATCAGGAAATTGGAACTATATTCTTGACTTACGTGGTGAAGTCATGAAATCGACCACCACTTCGTAACCAGCATGATAATTTCAAGTATTTTGAAACTGAAGATTTTTATCCACCAGGATCTCAATCACATCTCCTTGTATTCTGAAAATTAATTGTTGTATATTTATAAGGAACCAAGTGTCTGAAAAGTATATAAAGTAGGAAGGTACATGCACATAGTGTGGCGCCATAGTTCAAGTATTTTGGTAAAGCCATTTCAGATCCAAAAATGAAATAACAGTTGACTCCAGAATCATCTCTCAGAAAACATGATCATGCTGAAATACTGTTATAAATGTCTGATTTCTTAAGTGTCTAATAATGTCACATTTGTTATTTTGTTAATAATACTTAATGCATAAAGGAAATGATCTGAGAATTTTGCATGCTTATCATAAGAAATGTTTCCTGGTTGCAGGTATATTTGGCATGAATTTGAAGTCCTATCTCGAAGAGCATCTGGTATGCTCGTATTCCAAAAGTTAAAAATCATCATTCCATATTATTCTTTCTGGTCTAGTTAAAAATGTTGTGCCGTAACATTTTTGTTTTGAGTTGCAGTTTGCTTTTTGGTTAACAACAGCTGGGATAATTTTTGGTGCTGTCGTGGCATTTTTTCTCATGTATTCATATTTAAGAGCTAGGAAGATACTGTAATCTGGGCAATTATGCAATTTAGGTAAGTGCTGTTTCACATCAACCATCTTATATCCATGATAAAGAGCTATGAACTCGAGTAATAAACTGAATTTATGATACAAACAAATCTTGTTTTATGTCAGTGAGTCGAACTTAGTGCTATCTTGTGTATTTTGTAGGTGATCTCAAAACTGAAGCTCTCATGGCCAATTGATTCAACTGACTTGGACAAGGGACTACTGGATGGTGTTTCTGAAGTGCATAATATACTCTGATTTGATTGTTGTTGGAGAGCTGTATGTAGGTAGTTACATTAACACTATTTCCAGGAGCACAGGCTATGCAACCACGGTGGTTTCAACCGAGAAGTGAGGTTTCATGGATCCTTCAATTTCCAATGCTTTTTCTATGTACCAGAGGAACAGAGCAAGCTTCCGTCAACTCCTGGAAGGAAGTGCTTATTCTCGGAATAAGTGTTGGGGTGGGGTTTGTTCTTTAGAAATTAGATGTATATTTGCTCTTGCAAACCGGAGTACGACAGGCATTCTGAAACATTTGTTGTTAGGCTATGATTCCCAACCAGAGTGAAATATCCGTTTCCAGTTACGTCTAACGGCATCTAAGATTTCCATATTTCTCTGGCTGCTGTCTCTCTGTCTCTACATTTTGATCTCTGCAAGATCAAAAGCTGTTCATCCAATTAAAACCCAGGCTCTTCAGCCAAAACCCGTTCTATTTTGTGAGTATTATTAATGTTAAGACTTAGGCATAGCAATGAGCCAAGTGCAGTAACGCACACAGATATTTGAACTGAGCTTAATAAGTGGTTTTATTATCCATCATGGGGAAATGGAGACGTTCGCAACTATCTTGTGCTTTCTATTCCGTAATTCAGTTGCATTTGTCAATCGGATTCTTCTGGGAGCCAAAACAAAGGACTGGATAGGCACATTACGTTCTCTAACTATGCCAACTAGTCTTTTATGGCTTGTGAGCGATAACAATGAGCTCTGGTAGATTAAGGAAGCAATGCCAGATACCAGTTTGGAACCAATTTTTCTGCAGGCATTCAATAACCAACTAAACCATCATCTCCTTCTCAGCTGGATTTTAAAATCATAGGACCTGTAAACGTAATGGTCAAGGGGGATCAGGGATGGACCTGATTGCTGCTGTCGATACGGACTGACCGAGGCTGTCAACCATTCGCTACCGGTTTGAATGATTGATGTGCCACTGCCCAATGGACAAAGATGCTTCATGTCACTTGGCAGGATTGCTTGAATATCCTAGAAACCCTACAAGCCCCATTAGTAGAAAGGTGCCATCACAATCAAGGAATTGTGTGAACCAATAGATCTGATGCTGAAACTTACAAGAGCATCCGGAGGAACTACAGACACCATAGCCCTACTGACCAGCAAGAAGACAACTTGGACCTTCACCAATGATTTCATAACATGCGGCCAAAGGTAAAAAAATTTTCTCCCATGATCAGTATATCAAGAACAGTAATTAAAATGTACTCAAATAAATAAAATAAAATAAAACCGTAGCTGTACTCGGAAGGGCAAAAGCACCAATCCTTAATGGTGACGTCAACTTGGAACACCTTATGACATGCCATAAAAATAAAAAATAAAAAAGAGCATAATTTATCGAAGAGGTTAAGCATGCAGCAACCAGCACTATCTCAGAAGAAGAAATCAATGAAACAAATGCAATCCAATAAAATGTACAATTGAAGCCTCTCAACATACGCCCCAAAAATAACAAAGCTAATCTAGAAGCCTGATGCATGATGAACCCTCGAAACAATGCTTGTACATTGTACAAAAAGAAAAATCAAAACAGAAAGTCAAATACAGAGCAGGGCCATTTCTTAGTTTGAGCACCTGTTAGAGAGCCTCTTCTCCAAAACTGTGAACCATTCAACTGACAAAGCACCCACACTAGACTCAATGAGTCCTAAATCACATTCCACAACAAGATATGGATGGATCTCAAATGAAGTTGGGAAGCTGATTTTCTTCATAGAAGATTGCAAGCCACTTTTGGCAAAGGTGCAAGGGAAAATTTTGGTATTAAACACCACCTGGAAATTATATCATGTCTCTTTCAAAGGGTTTTCCATAGGTTGCAGTTCTTTGGATTTTTTTGAAACTCCATCAATAACTATCTTTCCTACTCCAGCTTCCATAGCCTCCCTCCCATCCTTCTCCTCCTTGAGTTCAGATATATTCCCATCTTTCACCTCTAGCTTAACACTCGGCATGGAGGGCTCAAGCAGACGAGGACCACCAGTGATCCATGGATGACTTAGGCATTGAGCTGCTGTCGGTCTCTTTTCAGGTACAAAATCAAGTAGGGGAACAAGGAAGTCAGTCATGTCATTAGCATCTTGCTCACTGAAATCATACTTCTCCATAAGCACTTTAGTAGGAGGCCAAAAACGCAACCTACGAATATGCCTCAAATCTCCATATCTATTGAAGAAATCCCGAGAATAGCGACCACCTAATGCAATCTGAGGAAAGTATGCAGAGAGTGAATGGTCACAGCAAGAGCATAGAACCCAACACTATGTTGCTAATTTTGGTCTTATTCAGTTTGTCCAGAAAAAAATGATCTGACAAATAAGCACAGAGAAGGTTTGGGAAGCAGTAAATAAGTTGCAATCAAAATCAGTAAAGCACAGGTAACACAAACCTTGCGCGGCATCGTGCCAAGAAGTTCCATCATCAATGCCAAGTGATCCTGTAAGTATAACCTAGGTAAGTTAGGACAGAACAAAAACAAAGCAAAAGACAGAAGACTTGGAAAGAAATTGAAGCAAAGAGAAGAAAAGGCAACACGAATTTGCAAGAAGCATGCAGCCTCAAGAAGCATGTTTTTCTTTTCTTTCTTTTCTTTTCCTGTTCTTCTTAATGCATGTTTGAGACAAAATATCCAGTTAAACTTAGCCTCGTGAGGCAAAAGCCACTCTAAGTCCAACTCTAACAGCCAAAATGGTTTGGGAATAATCATTAGAAACACAAATCCAAAGAACTAGCCACGAAACAAAAAAGAAGGAGAAGGAGAAATTTGTTCACTAAAAACACAGGAGTTATGATTAATTAAACGGGTGCATGGTAACAAAAGAATAAATAGGGAAAGACGGGATAGGATTTCATTGTGTGCACCTACCTCATCTCTGTCATAGTTGTCACCACTGTGAGGATCAAAAAGGACATCGCCAGTCGCAAGCTCAAAACAAATGCAAGCGAAGGACCATAAATCTGCTGGTGTTGAGTATTTTGATCCAAGAAGAACTTCCGGACACCTATACTGTCTTGTCTGAATATCACTCGTAAACTGTTTGTATGTCCAACAAGCATTTCCAAAATCAACCAATTTGCAGTTGAGATCAGCAGCTGCCAATAGCTTTTGCCTTGTGGAGCGGCTCCCCCTTCTACCTCGTTTTGCTTGGCAAGCATCCTTCGGTCCATCACTGTTTGCTGAATCATCTTTAATCACAGAACCATTTGATTGTTCCTCGACAGGATCTTCATTTGATTTCGCATCAACATTGGAATCTTCAGGATTAGCATCATTTTCCGAAGAAGCTTCTTTCTGTGCACAACTCTGAGCTGCCTTCTTAGCCTTCTTTCGAATTTTCTTTTTCTGATTCCTTGTCAAATCCCCATTTGAACTCTTAATTTCTTTTGAAGAACTAGATTCAGCCACAATTTTGTTCTTGCTGGTTGGAAGGATAAGAGAAGCACCCGATTTCCTAGGATCTTTTGATGGATCAATCATTGACAGAAGCAGAACGTTCTCTGGCTTCAAATCAGTGTGGATAATTGAAAGTCGGCGATGCAAGTAATCCAAACCCACTAATATATGAAAGCATATCTCTTTGACCATGTGTAAAGGAACCCCTCGGTAATCACTATACTTAATAAGGGTCAAAAGGTTATCTCCCAAGTACTCAAAAACCATACAAACGTGCTGTCCATTAGGCCCTGAATGCTTAAAATGATCCAAAAGCTTGACAACACACTTTTTATCATCAGGGTCTTCCTCGGCAATCTGTTTGAGGATCTTTATCTCATCCAGGGCTGCCTCAGTGTAGTGTTGAGCGCTTTTTTGAACTTTCAAAGCTACATAACGCTACAAAAAATGAATTTCTCATGTTGTTAAAGAGTCAAACACTGAATCATGAAATTATCTAATAAAGCACCTTAAAGCCCAAATCTTAAAGAAACAATAACAAATACTAATTTAAATGCTGTGTGTTTACAAAAAAAAAAAAGAAAAAAACCCTCCACTTAATTAAGCCCAATGCAGAGCCTCAATCACTTATAATAACTCTTGCATTGTTTCAATCCAGTATTGGCATCTTATTTACTCACTTTTGTCTGACAAAAAAAGCCTATTATTCTATCATATTCTCTCTAGCATTTCTTTTCATGAGCTACCTTAGCAAACAAACAAATCCTAACAACAACAAAATAAGTAAAAACCAAACATAAAAAAACTGTATGCAATCTAAAACACTAAAGCACAAATTTCCCATTATTGATTAAAAAGAAAAAGAAAAGCCATAAAACATACCGATCTTTGGGAGTCCCAAGCGAGCCAAACAGTAGAGAAATGACCCCAACCAAGCTTGCTTTGCACCACATACCTTCCATTCTTGAATGTATCACCAATTCTCACAGCATGGTACCCTCCTCTCCTATAATCCTCTGTTCCCTCATCTTCTGATGTGTAATCACTCTCTTCACTTCGATCCCCATTCCTATCCTCTGCCATTTAAACAAGAAGAAAAAAAAAACCCAAAACACAAAAATTCAACTAAGATAGAGTAAGTTGAAAAAAACCTAGGTTAAGTATCCACAATTGTAAAATTGGTTGTCTAGTTAAAGAACAAAAACAAGAAAGAGGGGTAAAAAAAGGAAAATTTTGGAGGTCAAAATATAAAGTTTCTGACAACTAGGTAGTTTTAAGATATGAGTTTTGATTGAATTTGACGAAGAAGTAAAAAATTGAGAGAAAAAGGAGTAAGCTTTGGTGGTGAAAATTGAAAAGGTTGCAACTTTTGATAAATGGGTTATTTTGAAGAGAAGGGTTTTGATTGAATTTGACAAAGAACTAAATTTGAGAAGCAAAAGAAATAAAAATTTTCAGATGGGTAATTCAGAGATCGAATTTTGTTCAGTTTTAGAAAGAAGAGGAGAGAGAGGGGAGGGAAGTGGCCAAGTGGGTGGTTCTCTGAGTGTGGGCTGAGGTGGAGGTGGTGGTGGTGGTGGTGGTTGAGGCAAAAAGGTGAATTAGGGTTTTTGAGAGAGTTTTGTCAGCCTTGGTCCTATAACTATAAGTTGTGACTAGCCTTGCCGGGAAATTAAAGCAACGAATTTTCATGATGTGGGTCCCTTGTGATCAAGTGGTGTGTGATGATTTTTTGCTGGCTATGGATGCCCCCAATGAGATGACTTGTACCATAATAGTTTTTAAAAAAACAAATGATGTGATGTGCTTCAATTATAAATTAGCCGCTCTCGATAGATGGATTAATTAATCTTTTCGTTTCAAAAATTCATATTTAATTTGATATCGTTAAGTTTTTGACATATCTGTCAAATTAACACTTAATATCTAAAATATTTTTTAATATATATATATATATATATATATATATATATATATATATATATATATATATATATATATATATATATATATATATATGTGTGTGTGTATGAAAATATATTTTGGTGTTTAAGGAAAGAAAAATTGAGTTGAGATTAATAAAATAAAAAATAAAGATTTGAGAAGAGAAATGTAGATTTGTTTTGTTGTTTGAAAAGATAAAAATGAAGGAGTTGTATGTAATTAAGAAAAATAATGCATAAACTAAAAGACAATTTAAAAATTAAAAAAAAAATTCATCACCATTCTAAACGAAAACTTACAAAATGATTAAATTATTAACAAAATTAAAATATGAATGACAACAAAAATTAGTTTTTAAAACAAAATAAATTAATTAATTCATTTTTGAAAACGAAATGGACTACTTTATGATTTGCTCATATATATATATATATATATATATATATATATATATATATATATATATATATATATATATATAACTCCGTCCAAAAATATATATTGTTCGCATACACGCTTTTATGAATTACACGTATTTAATTATACCAGCATATGACATGTTAGTGGGGTATTGGATAATAAGTATTTTGAATAATAGGAAGAAATATGGGCTCAATCGAAGTAATATAAGTTGGAGAACTAGAATAAAAACAAGTCACACCTTGAGGGGCCAAAACGAACTTTACCAAGATATATATATATATATATATCTAAGTCATCTTTTCATCTTAACGGGAGTGAACGAGAGAGAGAGAAAAAAGAAAAAGGAGAGAAAAGAAAAAAAGAAGGGAAAAACCATAGTTTTTTCCAAGGTAAGCTGAAAGCTAGGTAAGTTCATCTCCAATTTTGTTTTGCACTCTTGATTTCGAGATTTTAGGGTTAGATCTGGAACAAGTTGTAAAAATAAAATTTGTTAGTTTGTGTCTTATCTAGCGTCCTGTAAAAGGGTTTGATATTTAATGATATATATTTCAGGTTATGATAGTTTGAACACATGTTGTTCTAGGTGACTCGATGCTAACGATTAGTATACAAATTTTAAAAATATGGTATTCTTTGGATTTTGAGTAATTTGATTTGACTTTGGGATATGTTTTATATTGATATGTCTAGTTCTTGTTAAAAAAAAGAATCAGGTCTTGATCATGTCTCAATCTAGAGTTATTATTGTTTGTTTGGAGACTGCTCGGTAACGAAGGTGCTTGGAAACTAGTTAGAGTTTGAAAATCTAACATAAATCATGTACATGGAATCTTGAGCTGATTTTTGGATATGTTAGAGCCCTATGCGCCTAGTTTCATATGAAACTAAAATTTCATCATTTGATTTCGTATTTTAGGAGTTATAGTAGAGAGAGTACGAAAGGGTCAAGTACCCATAAAGAAATAAGTTAACACTAAAGTCATATTTTGCACCTTGAGCATATTTAGAAGTTTGATCATGATAAAATAACTTATAAAGGTATATGTGTATGTGTTTATAGACGTCGAGGAGCGTGAGGTGCAAGACGCAACGCATTGATAAACGACGAAGACGTCATTTTTGTGAGTGGATATAATTGATTGATACTATGTGTTTGTGTTGCCATGTGATGTTATTGACTTTTCCGAATGATATAATGAACCAATGTTTGCGTATAAATTATGTTTTGATACTATGAAAGTGCTATGTGCAAGTATGTGTTGATGATTCATGCTATGAGCCATGAATGTTATTATGTATAAATACAAGCTATATGGGCATTCATGACGCATGAAAGATAAAAGGGTAAGGTTATGACCGCCATGTCCAAGTAATCGCAAATACAAGTTACAAAGACCCGATGGGTCAAATACAAGTATACAAGCTGGCCAGCCATACAAGTTTACAAGTTATAAGCTTATAAGCTTACAAATTACATGTTACAAGTTCCTGGGACGATACTTGACATGTTTTGGTCATAACCGACAAGTAAAGAATACATACGAGTATTTTGATATATGAACATGTATGAATTATATAAATGCTTATGTTTGTGTCATGAATATGCTTTTGGTTAATGATGTGAAAATGTATATGTGTGTGTTAGAGTATCAAGATTATATCCCTCATTGAGTAGCGACTCATTAAAAATGCAATTATCTTTTTAGGTGCCAATAAGTAAGAAGTGGAAGTTAAAGTCATCTTTTGTTGTTCAATTCACGTAATGAGTGATAGGTCGATCGGCGATCTCCCTCTCCTCTCTCTCATTATACCGAGCATATGCATCCTAGGAGATTTTTGAATTGTGTATGTAAATGTGTAAATATGAACTCCTGTATGTGTTTTGTGACGTGTTTATGAACAAAGAAAAAGTGGTTTTGATTGAATATCAAAGGGTTATAAGTGGAAAGAATGGTTTTTATTAGGTTTTGAAGTGTTATGGCCGAAAAACCCTCTTTTTGGATAGAAACATACACGGGAAGGTACATGGACGTGTGGGAAGCCATGTAACCTTCCGTTTTCAAGGGAAAATGAGATTTTAAATTACACGGGCAAGTACACGACCGTGTGGGAAGCCGTGTAACCTGCTATTCGTAAAAAAAAAAAATTCTAATCTTTCTAATATGAGTTTTTAACATTCCTAAGTGATATTTTATGATTAATTGAGTTTTCTATAACTAAAATGGCTAAGTTATACGAAGTTTTTGTAAGGAATTAGGTTAAGGTCGCTACAATATAGGATGATGCTAGCAACCGATAGAGGTGAGCAAACGGTTCGGTTAACCGAAAATCGAATAAAACCGAACCGAATTATGAAATTGGGTTCGATTTTAAATATAAAATCATACAATATAAAACCGAACCAAAAAAATCAAAATTATTTCGGTTCGGTTTGGTTTTTAGAAAAAAATCGATTTCGATCGAAAATCGAAATAAAAAGTAAAAAAAAATTAATTTCTAAATCCCTAACTTTTAAATCTTCATTCTTGTTGAAACTAAAACACACAAATGGAAAGTAAATTTTGAGGACCGTTGGGGTAAGAAAAGAAAGTGACAGAGTGTAATTAATTGAGATACGAGTGTGTTTGAATGAGCAAATTTATTGCACTTGGACTCGTTTTCATTAAAGCTTAGTTAAAATCTTCAAGGGCTTTGTGATTGTTTATAAAAAGGATTAATTGATAACAAGATGTTACTTCATTGACTAGTGGACTAAGTGCTAGTACAAAACATCTCTCCGTAATGATTTTTTTTTACAGCAAAATATTTTGGTTAAAATCGAAAATATTTCGAAACCAAAGCTGAAATAATTCGGTTACAAATCGAATTTATTTCGGTTCGGTTTTGTTTTTTATTTTTTAATTCGAGTTAATTAAAAATCGAACCGAATCGTTTAACCGAATGCTCACTCCTAGCAACCGATGTCATTTTGATGGTGACTTGAAAGGATGCTCGGTATTGGTAACTCATTGAATCAAGGCTTTGATTTTTTGTAACTACGCTCTCCTTCTCGTAATCTCAAAATGAATCACAAACTGTTACTCCTAATAACTAAAAATTTACGTTCTCCTTATCGTAATCTCAAAACGAATCACAAATTACTACTCCTAATAACTAAAAATTCATCTTCTTCAACAATCATTAACGATGTCTAATTCAATCTTTGGCTTATGTACCAACTTAATCCCATCAAAAAACTAAGAAATACTATAAATAGGCATTAGTAAATTCAACCCAAAAGCTAGGACTTGTATTTTACATTTAAAAGGAACTGTGTTTATATATTTAAATGGATTTTCATCGTTTTTTGGGAAGATTGAAATTTAAAATACTTTTTTTATAAATAAATTAATGGAATGTAGGTATATCATTTCGTCGAAAAAATCATAATAAAACTCGTATTAATTAGTTTTCTTTTTCTTTACCGCTTGAATCAATCTTAAGGACCCACAAAGTTTTATTTGTGATTTCTTCATTAAATTGGGATGTCTCCTTTTAGTTAATTCATTGGTCTTCTGGAGAATTATGGTGCAGTTCTTTTTTTTTTTTTTTTTTAAGTACATGTGAAAGCACATAGATAAGACCTAGCCAACAAGTTGATCTCTATATGAATTTTTTATCAATATAAGAGTTTAAATTTTATAATCACATTAGTTAGAAAAAGTTAAATCTTATTGTTTTTATTTCAAATAAAATTAGTTTTATGTTAAACGTAGAATTGAGATATTGAAGGGAAAAAAAACCACACAGATAAAAAAAGGTTGACAAACTAAAATACTACCTACTTTCCTTTAGCACATCCAAAATACTTCTCAACCACAAAAACTTCTTCCTCTTAGTCGGGTGCTCAAGTGCTCAACAAGCAGGCAAAGTAGCCCATGAAGAAATCCCACCATTATTTTTCTCTAGCATCACTAGGAGGATCCAAATAATAGCATATGCTTATGGTGGTACATATAAAAACCTTTAGAGTGAGAAAAATAAAGTTAAACGTGTCAAACTTTTCTTGAAATTTAGTTTATTTGAAAATTAGTTTTTAATTTCTAATCTTAGATTTGATTCCCTCAAACTATTTTTCTTTGAAATTTAGTCCATTCTTAGCTATCATTTTTCTTTAAAAATTTCAATTCTTGGTATTTGGAACTTAAATTTTATATACACAGTAAAAAATATCTTCTATTTTTTTTTACAAAAATCTTCAAAATCTTTACGGTTGGAAAATATGTTGTTTTATTTCCTTAATATTAAAAATACAAGAAACAAAAAAATATATAAAATAATCTCATATTTTTTTAGAATCCTTTGACGAATTTTATTGAATGATTTTTATTATGAAGCTATTTATGTAATCATTATTTTTTTTTCAAAAAACCCAAATGTAGGCTAAATCTAAAAAAAAAAAATAAAGTTCAGAAAAAGTTAAATTCAAATTTAGATATTCAAAAACTAATTTTCAAGTAGATTAAAATTTAAAGAAAGTTTGACCCATTCAACAAAAAATAACAATAAGAATGATAATAATTGACCCCATCCCCAATGGTTCATGAACAAATAACACATCCTCTTTCATTGCAAAACATAAAGAAACTATTTTCCTTCTCTCAACACTCAATGCCTTTACCCTACCCACCCTCCAACTCTACTAACCCAAAATGCTCATCAAGATTCTTTCCTCGTTATTACAGACTTCTTCAACATTTCTCTAAAATTCTCTTACACTCCTCAAACTCCCTTACATCTTTAATATTAATTCCATGTACCAAAAAAAAAAAAATGTAATCTTGCTTTCAATTTTATCCGAAATACCCATGTTGGAAATTCAATATTAGGACATGTCTGTGATGCTTGGATACTTGAAACTGCTCACCTCCATGTTTACATATGTGTTTTTAAAATCGTTAAAAAAAAAATCCGATTTCAATTAATATAAAAACTATTTTTTACCATAAAAAAAAAGAAAAATAAAATAATTTTTGAAATGCTCGGATCAGGATATGATTATTGAGGTTTTGAACTATGGTATTTCTTATATATATATAAAAAAAGCATATTATTACAAAGACGTAGAATGCCTGAAGAATTGTAGTAATAAAAACAAAGAGTAAATAATAAATTAATCTCTCAAGTTTTATGAAATGAAATAATTGGTTCTTTTTTAAAAAAAAACTAATTATTTAATTTGTTGACTAGTGTTGGTCACACTTAATTTAAAAATAATTTATTCTAAAAATGTCTTATTTTCTCATCAAACTTTCTATATCATCGATTTATTTTTTTCATTTTTCTACTTATAAAAAAACAATAGAAAAGAATATAAAAAGAAAAAATAATAAATAATTAGTTTTTAAAACATAGAAAATTGATTGATTTGTTTTTCAAAACTCGAGGGACTGATATATAATTTACTCTAAAAATCAATCTACGAACCAGAGGTAGTAAATGGCCTTGAATCTGTTTGGAAAAAAAAATTAAAAAAATAGGGTATCTTTAAGCCCATTAAAGGCCTTTTTCTGAGGTCCAATTTGACTGTTTCCTCCAGTTGGCCTTCTAGACGAATTGGGCCTGTCAATTTTCTAAGGCCATCGACTTACGAATTACGATCAGGAAAGAATTTTTGAGCCCATGGGTTTTGTACGGTAAGCTAATCGCAATTGTTGGTCTTTTCTCTTTTTTAATCTTATTTGACTTTACAAAAATTGTAAGGCTAATATAGTAATTTTCTAATATATCATTGTATCTTTAGTTAAGCCAATTTTATTTTTTAAATATATGTTAAATTTTTAATATATTATTTTGTTAAAAAATTTTAGTTCAGATAATTTTCGAATTATTCATATAGTTTATACATTATTAATTTTTATTTTTAAAATATTTTTATAAACTAGTCAAATAAAAGATTTTCTTATATAAATCGGGTGACTCTCGATCCCCTAAGTCAATGACCTTTTGAAAATTAGCATGCCTAATTTATCAATCATGTTTGACTGTACAAAAAATGTAGAGTGTCACATCATTTTTAATTGATTAATTTTCCAATACTGCCTTTTTAGCACTAACAATAGTTACTTCAATAAAAGAAAGTGGATTTAATTAATAATAATTTCAGACAATTAAGTAATGATTTGACCGGACAAAATAATAAAACCAAAAAAATAGAATGAGTAGTCAGTTTGCATCCTCCACCATTATCGTTTCTCTGAAAAAATAAAATCACAAACTGGATTGCATTGAATGAGCAAGAAATTGTGAACGAAACAAATAAAACAAAAAAAGAAAAGAAAAGAAAAGAAAAGAAAAGAAAAGAAAAGAAAATCATTCCTTGCTCATTTAATGTAATCGGTCTTTCATAAAAATATATTTGTAAAAATGGTTGTTCGTGTTCACCTTATTTAAAAAAAAAAAAAAATCTCAAATCATTCTCGGCAATTAAAATTAATCCAGAACTCTTTCTTTAACTTTTTTTTTTTTTTTAAAGATTTTTCTAAATAGTGTTGCTAAATCCACCAACAGATTCATTATTTCCACCATATATATTTTTTTAAAAAAATTACAAATACATTCTCCTTGTTAATGTCTTTATTATACCACAGTTAAATAAATTTTATATCAAATATCTAAAAAATTTAAATGTGAACGAAAGTAAAAATAACAAAACTAAAAAACAAAAACATTTATGGATTTTTTTTTCACGTAAATATCTCTATCTTATATTTGAAAATATGACTAATCTTGTTAAGAAAGAAAGAGCAACAAAGTTTAATTCTTCTCAATAAATGTGACTTTAGAATTCAAATTCGAGATATTGATAGAAAATTTATCCGGGAACTAGCTTGTTTACACTAAACTAACAATTTATTGGTAATATTTTAGGTATAAAAAGTATTTGATGCAAAACATATTTAACTATGATATGGTAATAGAAATTGACAACTACATATTTAAAGGTGTATTGATAATTTTAAAAATAAATAAATAAATGGTGGGACTAACAAATTTAAAGGTAGATTTAACAATATTTTTTTCTAAAATATGTTCTTGATTGACATAAATGGATTGGTTTAGTTTCTATATTCCTTAATAATGAATTATAGAAATAAATCAATTAATCAGATTACCAAATGAATCCTTCTATTTCCAATCAATCACAAGTGTTTTGGGAATAATATCTAATCTCAAGCACTGCATCTTTTAAAAATGGAATTAAACGGAAGTCAAGGTCGAATCTAGCTTTCCAAACATGTAGATAAAAAAGCCAACTTGACACCATATTTTTTCTCCTGAAAGGCATTTTTTTGTTTAGAGATTTTGACAATTCTTCAACATCCAAAAATAAGACACTTGGACACTTTTTCATCTCCGCAAAAGTTCTTCATTTTCAGCAGATCAATCACGAAATTGGGCAATTTGGAGGAATAAATTCATGAAAAGGTGGAAATCCCTATCATAAGTCAAGTACACAACTTCGAAAGCTTGGCCTCCTTTTCAGACCAAAAATAACTCTGAAAAATTAGATCTAAGATAGGATTATTGACAACTACAGATTCCATGCATACATAGCTTGTTGTTTCCTAAATCATTTTAGTCTCAAAATCAAGCAATTTTTCAGTTTTTTTCTATTTTACATCAACAAAAAAACAAGCAAAACCCAGCAACAAAATGAACATTAAAGGGGCAAAAAAAGCAAAAGGAATAAGCCAATTGCATCCTGAAGTCTTTTTTTGCCGATTCAATTACAATTTTTTCGAAAAGTTGAGAATTAGTAATGTGCTTAGAAATCGAAAATCAAACGAATTGAGTCTTATACATGCGGGAGAAAGATGAGATTTACAATTAGGAAGCTAAGAGGTCTATTGATAATGGATTAAGTTTCCTTCTATACAAGAATCTCATTCAATCAAACCTCAAAAAACATTCAATCCCCCAACCCAAAACCCAAAATGAAGAGAGAGAAAAAAATTTTGAACTCCTTTTTTCTCATCCCCCAGCAAATGCCAATCATCCAATAGAAAAACAACACGGGGAAATCTCCAAATTGCATAGTGACTTCTCCATAGTCAGAACTCAGAAGTCAGAATTCATGTTCTTACACCAAGGCCCACAAAAAATAATCACATTGGACAACAAACAAAAACCAATTTGCATTTGGACCCTTCTTCTCCAAGTACAAATCCAATCCCACAAAATTCATAATCTATCACTATCAAAGTTCAGCAGCCAAACATTTATCCTCTTTACCACCACCACCGCCACCAAAGTATAATCTCAAGACCCAGTATTTTATACGATTGACAAAGGTTGCATCATCCATCATGCACCTCTTTGAGACGGGCTCCTCCAAAATCCAGTCCCATAAAACTGGTCCAACATCTCCTTATCCAAATCAGCGGCTGCGGTTTCTCCATCATGATTATGATGATCACAACATTCCCCTTTCTCCACTGTTTCTCTCTCCTCCTCTAATTCCTCCTCCCTGGACCCACCCCGACCTGTTGGAGACAACAGAGACCTTTCTTTCTGCTTCTTTTTTCTCATCAAACGCTGTCGTATCTTGGCTTTCTTACATAAACAAACCGGCACCTTATAAACGGCTAAAACAAGAAGGTTGATCACCGTGCATGGACAGCAGCAACAAACCGCCGCACACCCCGCTGCCGTACCACCTGCCATCTCACCAAAACTATGCGTTTTCGTCCTTTCCGAATTCTTCTCCCTCCCCTCTCCTCTCTGTATCGTCTTTGACCCTGTCGTTTCTGTCAGCAAAGGCTGCATCCTTCTGTTGGAAGAAGGTGATCGAAGAAGAAGTCCCTGGCTAGTCATACTGAGTCAACTCAGCCGCCTAAAGAACCCAAAAAAAAAAAAAAAAACAACAAGCAAAGATTCAAGACTGTTTTTTTTTTTTTCTGGGTTCTTTAAATGGGAAATTTGCGGAGATTAATGGGTTTTGAGGAATATTTAAAGGAGTGTCAAAAAAAGGGTGTGAGTTATGAAAAAATGGCTATTTTTTTGTTTCCGAGAAAAAGAAAGAAAATAATGGTTTCCTTTCCTTTCTTTCTTGTTTCTCTGTTTGGTTTCTGAGAGAGGTTAAAGATCAAAGAGGAGCATTAATAAGGGAATGATTATGTTTAAATGGCTGAAGAAGTGGGGATAGGAAGCGAGCGGCAAGGCGAGGAAACGGGTGGGTTTTTTTTTTTTTTTTTTCCCCTTCCTTCTTCTAGACATACGAAGAGGTTCTTGTTTGTGTTTTTATACCATGTATTTATTGTTTTTTTAATTTCTGTCATTAATAAAAGTTTGGTCTCTTTTGACCCACAAAATCCGAGGAAACGAAAGGCTCTGGAAAGGACTAAATTGCCATGAGCTTGTTAATTGACAACAGAATTCTGATTAAATTTTGGAAATAGGGAGGTAATAAATATGGTGAATTTAATTTAATAATTATTGTTTTTCTATTTATGTATGGAGAGCGGGGTAGTTATTATCAGAATTTGTTAGGTTTCATGATAAGCTGATATTTATGCTTACATTTGGAATTTTAGACATAAAAGTTTTGCTATTATCGCATTTATTTCGATTTCGATTTTGTTAATTAATGTTGCTATTATAATTTATATTAATATTTTTTAAGTAAAAATCAAAGAGTATTTAAGAATGTAAAAACATTATCCATCCTCGTTTTAGAATTTAAAGTTTAAACCTGCATTCTCAAATTGAGAAATTATTCAATATATTAGGAATTATATTCTTTCACCTCATAAAAATATTAATCTTATGAATCTTTTTCTTAGTAATTATTAATATTTTTTCATTTTGAAGAGAGCAACACATAAAAAAAAGCGTTTGAATCGATTAAAAAAAAATGATAATATTTTCAATTAAGTTCAATTTTTTTTCCTCCTAGTTTCTATGCCTCTCATACTAAGTAGTATTGGTAGTACCATAAAAAATTTTCTTAATAAATTTTATATGATTATAAAAAATAAAATACAACTCTTGATATATCTAATAATTTTTTTTAAAAAAATATCATGCAAAGATTTTTTTAGCACAAGCGGCATGTGCATTTCTTTATTTGCATATAACATCACACCACCCACACATATTATTTGAGGTGAGAAATGTTTCAATTAATAACTAGATTTTTTTTTATTATTATGATATATAATTTATAATTTCAATCTCAAAAAGCTTGCAATTCTTATTTTATATATTTAAAACTCATTTATTACTCATCATATTCCCCTCCTTATTTTCACACATGCGTTTCTGCTGTCCTGAAAAAAAAAATCAAGGAGAAAACAATAAAAAAAAAAAAAAGATTGACTATTGCCACGAGATATTTGTGGTTGAGGGCACCCCACGAAACTAGCTATGTTTAGCCGTGTGCTAAAAAACAGAAAAACGTGAAGCCTCGCAGTTGGAAAAAGACAAGAAAAAACTGAGTTGGAAAAAACGGCATCCTAAATTAATTAATTAAGTCAATATCCAAATCAGTGCTGACGTAACAAATAGGGAATGAATGGTTTAGATTTAGCCATTGCCAAATCAAAATTTGCAAATTAAAATGATTTGTTTCTTTTATCTTGCCGTCAGTTGAGGGTGGATTTTCTGATCCAATTGGAATCGTTATAGTGCCACCTGCCGTGGTAGGTTGGAACGGAATGACAATGCAGTAAATTATAAACTAGTCCCTTTTCTTTCAAAAATTAACTATTTAGTTAAGTTTTCATTTTATGCTATTTTAAAAATCTATTTAAGAAAAAAATAGATTTTACAGAGACATTGATGAGAAAATAATATATTTTTAGAATATAATGATATTAAATTAAGTGTAATAAACACCAGTAACAAAACTAAATAATTAAAAAAGATCAATTAATTTATTTATCAAGACTAGAGGGACTAAATTATAATTTACTCAAGATAATGTGGTAAGTACTCGGGTCAAAAAAGTCTTTCTAGATGAGTTGGTGGTACTTAAAAACCAACCTTGAAAGTTGTTTTCGCGTGCAATGGAAGGTAAATTTTAGAAAATTTGTTATTATTTTCTCAAAATGATTATATGTTTTTTTTTAATATCTATTTTCGTCAAAATTTTAATTGTTATTTTTTTAAAATATACACAATTAATGTTATCTCCATCCTAAAGAGATTGTTCATATATATATATATATGTGTGTGTGTCTTAAGATAATTGTTTGATTAAATTTTAATTGATTTATTTTTTTTAAATACCCTTAATTAAAATATATTTTATAAAAAAATCCAAATATAATTATAAAAATATGAATAAAAAATAATAATATGACATAACAATAATAACATTCTTATGCCTGAAAAATCATAAAGAGTGTTTTTTTTTTTTTTTTCCTGAGTCAGTAGGAGAATTAGTTATATGACATACATGATTAAATTTGAGGCTAAGTGGATCAAGCATTATCTAAACTTTATTCTATTTAAAAATCAGTTTTTAAACTTCTAATTTTAAATTTGACTCTTTTAAACTTTATTTATTTATTTTATAAATTTAGTCCATATTTTAGTTTTTTTTTTAATCAAAAATAGCAATCACATAAATAGTCTCATAATAAAAATCATTTAATAAAATTTACCTGGAGCTTTTTAAAAAATTAGGATTATTTCGAGTTATTTTCTTGTTTTGATTTTCTATATTTTTAACATTTTTTAATATATATTATCCGACCTTGAAAAATTCGAGAATTTTTTCCAGAAAATAGATTCAATTTTTCCACCATTTTTTTCTAATATGTGTGCAAAATATTAATTTAAAATATTAAAAATTAAATTTTTTTAGAAGGAGCAGTGATAGCTAGAGGTCAGACTAAACTAATTTTAAAAATATTAAAAATTAAAATTTTCTTAATAAATTTTATATTATTATAAAAAATAAAATACAACTCTTGATATATCAAATAATATTTTTTTTAAAGTATCATGTAAAGATTTTTTTTAGCACAAGTTGTATGAGGATTTCTTTATTTGCATATACCATCACATCCACACAAATTATTTGAGGTGTGAAATGTTTCAATTGATAACTATATTTTATTATTATTATTATGATCTAGAATTTACAATTTCAAGCTCATAAAGCTTGCAATTCTTATTTTATACATTTAAAACTCATTTATTACTCATCAGCTTCCCCTCCTTATTTTCACACATGCGTTTCTGCGTCCTGAAAAAAAAAAAAAAATCAAAGAGAAAACAATTAAAAAAAAAAATTGACTATTACCACGGGATATTTGTTGTTGAGGGCACCCCACATAAATAGCCACATTTAGCCGTGTGCTAAAAAACCAAAATACGTGCAGCCCTGAAGTTGGAAAAAGACAAGAAAAACTGAGTTGGCAAAAAGAGCATCATCAATTAATCATTAAGTCAATATCCTGATGTAACAAATAGGGAATGAATGGTTGAGATTTAGCCAATGCCAAATCAAGAATTTGCAAGTTAATATGATTTGTTTCTTTTATCTTGCCGTCAGGTGAGGGTGGATTTTCTGATCCAATTAGAGTCGTTATAGTGCCACCTGCCATGGCAGGTTGAGAGGCAATGACAATGTAGTAAATTATAAATTAATCCCCTTTGTTTTAAAAATTAACTATTTAGTTAAATTTTCATTTTATGCTATTTTTAAAATTTATTGATAAAAAAAATAAAAAAATTAAATATATTTTATAGAAAAATTGATGAGAAAAGAATATATTTTTGGAATATAACGATATTAAATTAAGCGTAATAAACACCAGTAATAAAACTAAATAATTTAAAAGGATTAATTAATTTATTTATCAAAACTAGAGGGACTAAATTATAATATACTCACTATAATGAGGTAAGTACTCGGGTCACAAAAACCTTCTAGATGAGTTGGTGGTACTTAAAAACCAACCAAATTGAGAGGTTTTCTATTCAAAAGCACTGTCAAGTTGAAAGTTGTTTTCGAATGCAATGGAAGGTAAATTTTAGAAAGTTTGTTATTATTTTCTCAAAATGATTGTATGTTTTTTTTTATATCTATTTTTGTCAAAATTTTAATTGTTTTTTTTTTTTAAATATGCACTATTAATGTTATTTCCGTCCTAAATAGATTGTTTTTTTATATGTATATGTGTGTGTCTTAAGATAATTGTCTGATTAAAATTTTAATTGATCTACTTTTCTAAAATACCCGTTTTTAAATTCTATCTTGAAAAAAAAATCCAAATATAGTTATGAAAAAATATGAATAAAAAATAATAATATGAAATAACAATAATAACCTTTTATGCGTAAAAAATCAAAGAGTAGTTTTTTTTTTTTTAGACAACAGGAGAATTGGTTCTATGACGTGCATGATTAAATTTGAGGCTAAATGGATCAAACATTCTCTAAACTTTAGTCTATTTAAAAATCAATTTTTAAACTTCTGATTTTGAATTTTATAAATATTTTTTAAAATTTAGTCCATCTTTTAGCTTTTGTAAAAAAAAAAAATAACAATCACATAAATAGTCCCATGATGGAAATTATTTAATAAAATTTAGCTGGAGTTTTTTAAAAAAATTAGGATCATTTCGAGTTATTTTCTTGCTCTAATTTTCTACATTTTTAACATCTTTTTTAAATATATACTATTTGAAGTTGAAAAAATCAAGCATTTTTTCTAGAAAATAGGTTCAATTTTCCAGCATTTTTCTAATATGTGTGTAAAATAATAGTTTAAAATATTAAAAATTAAATTTTTTTAGAATGAGAAGTGATAACCAGAAGTCAGAATATACTATTTTTTTTAAAAAAAAAGTTCAAGAAAGACCAAATTTAAAATTAAAAGTTTAAAAACCAATTTTCAAATGAACTAAAATCCATGAAAATTTTGGTGTATTGACCTAAATTTGATGACTAACTATTCTAAAACATATATTTTAAAAGGTATGAAAAAATGTATTAATATGACATAAAAATTAATAATTTTTTTTATTAGTATAAAAAATTAAAAGGTACGATTTTTATAAGGTATGTAAATGATAGATCGCTTGTTTCAATGTCCCAAAGAAGAGTAATTTGTTAAGAAAATGGTCAACAAGCCATGAGTGATTGGTGGCTGTGGGTGGTGGTGGATGGTGATTCTCAACCCAACAAATAATATTTTTCCCCTTCTTCTTCATTTGCTTGGCAAACGGAGGAGCACTACCGCATTGTATGAAACTAAGATTTGAAAAAGAAAAAAAATCATGAAACTAAGATTAAAAAAATATGTGACCACTGGTCAAGTTATATTATATATTGTTGTTGTTGTTGTTGTTGTTATTATTATTATTATTTGTTTAAATTTACAATGAAGATATTTTCAGACTAAGTTTTAGGCCAACTTGCATATCAGAATAGTACCGTTTCATACGGAAAAACGAGAAGGGTAAAAATAAAGTACGAAAAGACATTAGAATGGTGGAAACCACAAGAACTCTCGTACGGTTACGTGATTGAATATACGAGACCACCTTTTTTTTTTTTTTGAATCACCCATTGAGCTTTAGTTTTCGAAATCCCAGACGATTATATTTTTATTTTGCTTTTGAATTTACAACTTTTTTTTTAACTTCCAATTGTTTTCGGGCACGTAGTTATGATGGTACCATTTGCCACCATCTCATACAACAAACTAATCGAAGTAAATGGAAAGGACCCAAATGAAAAAGTTCAATACTTCAAGGTCTAAATCTAAAACTTCTCCAGAGGGAACAAAAGCTGAAGCATCGGAAAATGGAGTGACAATTGACAAAACCTTTAAAGCGAAGTTGGTGCCTTGATGGCATTCACCGAATTAACTTTTAACACGTAGAGCTGAATTGGAAACTACTGTTTTTAAAGTCAACCAAGTTTCCTACAGTGGATTGCTGACGATAAAGTTCATATCCTTGGAAATGAAACATTCACCTCAAATGGTGCTTTATCATATCATGTAAAAAAAGGTAGTGGACATCACTTCAGTTACTTTCAGATCATATTTTTTGGCATTGGAATTCTTATCTCCTCACAGAAGTCCATAATGTAAGAAGCCAAAAGCTCCAACAAATCAAACAATGCATTAATGCCGAAGGACGTGCAAAACAAGTTATTGGTAACTGTTATCTTCTTTACCAATTAATACATGTCCCCCTCCCACCACCTCCTCCATCCCCAAGGTTTTCCCTTCATTCCTAACCTTATACTACTTTATTGTCTTGACGTTATGATGATATTAACCCCATTAAAAGAGAAACAGGTAGGGCATTGTATTGATAAACAAAAATGTTCATGCTCTACCTTCCGATGAAGCCTAGCCGGTGGAGGAGAACAGCTAAGATCAACATGCAAATAGCAAGGATCATACCAGGTCTCCCCAGTAACCAGTTCTTTGCCTTCTTTGCACCTTCCGCTCCTCTTTGGATCCTATCAGCCCATCGCATCTGCAGCGATTGATGGGAAAATTATTTTATATTCAAAACGAAGCAGGGCAACGATTAAAAAAAAAAAAAAAAAAAAAGGTCACAACCACAATGAGCCTTTTGAACCGTTATTTCAAAACAAAGGCGTAATAAAAATAAAAGAAATCCACAGTAAAATACAACAGTAACAAAAGTGAGAGAAAATTACTTGTAATATCTACTTCAATATAATATATACGAACTTGGACAAGAATGGTGGCAAATTTTGAAAGAAAAGCATGCAATTTCATTGGAAGTAAACATAGCAAAGAAGGTACCATTTTATCCAAATCCTCTGGGGATAAAGATGACATGGCCTGTTGAGCTTTCGCTGCATCTTCTTGAGAAAGTTTTAGTCCAAATTGTTCACTCAGGTTAGCCATCATCTCTGGGCTCATATTCTTCATCATTGACGTGAACATCTGCCAATTAGCAAGCAACCAGACATTAAAATATAAAAACAAATAAAAAAACAGCCATGCATTTAAATAATATTTGTATCTTATTTATCAAAGGATTTTAAGCAAGCAAGAAAATATTTTGTGATGTATATTACAAAAATTCAGATATCAAATTCTACGCCTTTCTTTACTCTAGCATGGAAACTTCCTGCATGGCATTTATAAGTGTCCGAACCATAATTTAAAATGTATTTTGAATTGCAGATAATACATGTTTTGAAAACCTGAAAGCAAGTCCATAAATATATTGGATCATTTCAAAATGACCCAAAAAAAAGAAAGAAAGAAGAGATTCTATGATGTGCAAAATGAAATCTTATTGAGATAAGAATTCAATAACTCATCAACATGAAGCAAAGAAAGCCACCATACCTGTCGCATAGCTGGATCATTCATTTGGTTTCTTATCTGTTCTTGCATATCAGAAGTAGAGGCAGGAAAGCTTGATGGAGGAACATTTCTTGAACTTGAAAAGAAATCACCAGAGGAACTAGTTTCACTGATGCCACTATTCCCATTGACTGCAAAATTTTCTCGAGTTTCTGATGGTTTTGACCTAGCACTCGAACTTGGTCTTTCAGTGTTTAAAGCTGCAGCAGCAGCTGGACCCGAGCCATTTCCTCTCAAAGAAGATGCCATTTCAAACATTTTCTGAAGCTCTTCTGATGGCATCTTACTCATCATATCACTTGCTGTTTTAAGCATGTCTGGAGTCACATTTGGAGGAACCTCACCAGGTCTGAAGCCATTGAAACCTCTATCTGAAGATCCACCTGCAGTAAGAGGATTTGCCCCCTGGAATGAGGAAGCCATTTGAAGCATTCTTTGAAGCTCTTCAGGTGACATCTTGCCAATCATATTTGATGCAGTCTTAAACATATCAGGAGACACCTCTCCAGATTTTGCACCACTTAAAGCAGCCAAAGTTTCAGGATCAGCATTAGATATGAAATTTTGGAATGACCTACAATCAGACAGAAGGGAAAAACAGAAAATCAAAACAAATTGACAACCAAAATTAATATCTAATTTTATGGTTAATTGACATGACAGCAAAAGAAGACTACTTCTGCAAGAAAACAACTTCCAGCCTTAAAGAGTTATACAGATATTAGGCATGTTGACCTTGTTTCTTTATTTCATTAGCTGAAACAAATTGGGCATAATTTCATAAGTTTGCCCTGACTCCATGTCAAATCACAAATAACTGTCATTACAGTAACAACCCCAAAATCAGAGAAATTTTATGAGAAATAGAACCACATTATGGCAGCAATTATTTTGCAAGAGGAGACTGCAACTAACATTCCATGTAAATCCTCCATCACAGCAACAAAATTCAGATAACTTACTCTAATGAAAAAGAAGGGGCAATTAACAAAAATTGACCCCTCGGTGGGATGTAAGCCTATAACATCTCTGCTATACAGTCTTTAGAAAAAAGACGCAGGAAGAGAGTTGAAAACCCAATACTGGTGTCAACTAATGAATACATAAAATCAAGCAATTTTTAGATGGATTGAAAATAACCTCATAGCTTCTGGGTCATCTTTCAAAGCCTCTAGAGGCTCTGAATTAGTTGCTGAACTCCCACTACGAGCTTCCCTTCCACTGTTAGATGTATCAATGCTTTCCCATGTTGATGAACTCTTAAGGTTTTCAGAGGAGAAAGTCTCAGCTTCTTCGGTTATTTCTTCAATTATCACTCCTATAAAACAAGTACAAATCAATTGTCAATTGAGATTAATTTTAAAATGGAACATGCAACTCGTAGGAGTAATTCAAGAGAGCCAAGAATTTTTTTTAAACAAAGGAAAATAACATACCCCTTGGTGCATGGTAGCCACCTTGAGCCAATCTTTCCTTCGCATCACTGTTTCAACAATTAACTTTATAATCAACATGCCATATTAAACACTAGTGCCATTATTTACATTTCTGTTGGAAATTCTAACACATTATATACAATATAGAGGAAGGTGAAAAAATATGAAACTTCCTAAACATCAATCAGATGACAAGAAACTTAACAGTAGACCACCGAGGAAAGATGATTGAGAAAATAGTAAAGCTAAAAGCTAAAAACTCAACAAGGAAAAGAATTACACACTCTTTAACAAGAAACAAACCATAGAGGAAGAAAATATCAAACTGTACAGCATCCCGACCAGACAATGGTCAATGAGTTTCAGATGAATTCATACCTTAAAACGTCTGCAATAGTTTCGTCATCCGGGGAGACTTCATGTGCTTTCCTCAAATCAGAGACAGCATCCTAACATATACCAGTAAGTCATTAGATACCTTATCAAACACGAACAGACAGCACAATAGAGCAACGACTACTAACAATTACAAGATCTGCACAATGAACTTACTTCCAGTTGGCCTAGTTCTCTGTAGGCTTGACCCCTTCTATAAAGAGCTTTAACATTCTTGGCATCATATCCCAAAACCTGAAGTGATATAGTAATCCAATCAGAAATAAGTACAAGTCACACAAAAACAAAATGATTTGCAAGCAAAGGAACAAACCCTATTATTACCAACAATATATATTGTTATTATAATATTATTACTATCAGTTCTCTACGAAAACTGGATTTCGTTAGTGGATTGTCATACCTCTGAGCCCTCTTTTATGCATTCATCGTATTGCTTCGTTTTCAAGTAACAAGACATTAAATTAAGAGAGCATGCCAACAAAAGTGTTTTGCCTTTGGAAGATGGAATTCCTTTAAGATTTTGCTTCGCCTAAGAAATAAGGGAGGAAAAGAATTTCATCAGTTAAAAATGCAAAAGGTACACCAACTGGAAGAATTAATACTTTGTATTAAAAAAATAAAGAATGATAAAGATGCAGCACTTACAAGCAAATATTTCTGCAAAGCATCCTTGAACTTTCCTTGGCTATGCAGCTCATTACCCTGCAAAAGGAGATTCAAATACATAAGTGAAATAAACATAAAACTAGTGACTACTTCAATTACAAAATCTAGCACCAGTTAACCTTCTGCATTTACTACCAGTAAGTACATTCACCACTACATGAAAAAAAAACTATACACACATAATGAAAGCTTAAAAACAGAAAGCCATCTAATTTAAGATTTACACTTACCTGTTTCTTCAACATCTGAGCTGCATTTATTTCATATGTGGCCTGTGCATCAGCACGGGCACGCATAGCAGCAATCTCTTCTGGCGATGCATTGATCATTTTCTCGCCAATTTCCGCCATCTCTTCAGGACGCGTATGCTTTAACTGTTCTGCTGCCTGTTTCAAGTCCTCAGGCCTCATGTTTCTCATGCCATCCGATGCCATTTTAACCAGATCAGGATTGGACATTACCTGCAACACCAAACAACATGCCACAGAGAATCAAGATCAATACAACCACAATCTGATCAAACCAGAGATGTAATCAACACCGGATAAACTCGTGAACAGTTTCTACCAATTGTTGAATTCAAGAACCGTTACACAAACTCGGTTCTGGTTACATGTTTAAACACAACAACAGCATTACAATTTATTCATCTTAAGTGCTTAATGACCCATTAATGATTTGTTCTTTTCTTTTTTCTCCTTATAAGAGTTCCCAAATCAACTAAATTCATATTCATCCACAATTCCAAAGAATTTTTCTTTTTTACGACAAGGAACTCGGGCTCACACCCTTTGTCAGATAAACCCCCGCACAATCTCAAAGAATTAAACTTGCAATATCTAAAATCATCACATATTCGAACAAAATAAGGAAAACACGACAACCCATTATTTAAATTCAACAAAAAACATTAACACAGCTAAATTTAACCATAAAAAACACAAAATTAACAGAAACAAATTCAAAGTTTACAGACTAAAACGATAATCATATCAAAATTCACAAAGAAAAAAACAGTTGCTCCCAAAATCGAACTAAACCGAACATGAATTGATTCAATTAAAAACAAACCCACATCAAAACTATCATTAAAAGAACAAAAACAAACGAGGAAAAGCCAACCTGTTGCTGGATCCTAGCGAAATCAGCAGGTGTCATGCGACTCATCTGTTCCTGTGCGATTTTCATTAACTCGGGATCCATCATTCCGTTAAACATCTTTAACTCTCTCTGTCAACTACTAACTAAACAGATCAAAAATAATTGGAGAACTAAAACTAGAAGAAGAAGAATATGAGTTTAACAGCAAAGGAAAGGAAAAGGAGTCTTTTGAAAGAACTATTCTTAAGAGAGAGAAAGAAGTTTGCAAATCCTACGTATAAATAAGAAGGACAGAGAGAAGTTATTAATGGGTTCTGTTTTGCGTTTGTTGGTTTTTTCTCTCTTTTTTATTTTGTTTTGTTTTGGAATGGTAAAGCTTCGGTCGCCTACCAAATCTGAATTGCAATGGAAATTTTGAATCGATGAGTTGTCACGACTTAATGGAATAGCTACAAATCAATCCCAAATTTATAAACGCATTAACAAATAAGTCCGTGAGCTTTAAGATCTTGTTAATTTCTCCCCAAGTTTTCTTTTGTCTAACATAATCATTCGTTTCTCGATTTAAATTGGTTACAAGAACTCGGATACATCATCTGAAATGCACGTATTGGTTATATGATGCTGATTTTATCATATAGATTAAAATATTATCGTTATTTATAATTATTACCATTTAAAAATCACTTTATGAACGAGTGTTATACCTTTAAGTCTATGATTACAAAAACACGAGAACTTGAAAATTTTATTATATTATTATTTCACAAAATAAATTATCTTTACTTTAGTTTTTTGGTTTTGTATTTTCTATAATTAAATGCATCTCCTGCGTCATGATATATTAAATATCATGGTTGACTTTGTTTTTCCCTTCTTATCAAGTGAAAAAAAATGGAAATTTTCATACACATGCACCAATAATTCAACTTTATAATAAAATTTATCTGATAATCATAATTTATCTAAAAATAATTTATACACACGCAAGTATAGAGAAGTTAAAATTAAGAAATATAAAATAAATATTACTTAATATCTAATTAATAAAATAAAAATATTTCATTTTACTTTTTTTTCTACATCATATACTCTAAAACATAACATTATAGTATTTAAAATTCATAAAAATAAGTTTAATAAACTCAATTTTACATTAAAGAAACGATGAGGAACGAAATTGTTAGACTAAAAAAGCATGGGGAAAAATTAGCAAGATTCTAAAGGTTAGGGACTGATATGTTAACAGATTTATAAGTTGGATACTGATCTGTAGTTAACCCAGATCTAATTTTTTTAATTTTTTTTAAAAATAATTTATTTCAGTTAAAAGGAAACCGAACGGAAAGAAGAATCGAATATGCCTAGCTTCCAATAAATTTACTTTTTTGTCCCCCTTCTCTATTCGCTGATGGCAGGCCGACTCCTCACCCGTTAGGAGCTATCCTCAAAACCAGGCTTAAGCCCACTCTCTCTGTCTTTTTAAATTCAATATTTTTAAGAGTAAACTATAAATTAGTCTCTCTTATTTTTTAAAATTAATTACCTAGTCTTAGTCTCTCTTGTTTTTTAAAATTAAATATTCCGTCAATAATTTAATTTTTTATTCATTTTTTATTAAATTAGTAATTTTTTTCAATTTTTTTTTATATCTTGTTTCTCTCCTTTATCTATCATTTTTCTCCCTCCTCGATCAAAAATAAAAAAATATAATTTAAAAACAAAAATTATCAATCTAGCAAAAAAGTGGTAGAATGATTACGTTATCTATAGAATTAAATTGTGAAAATTGAATGATTAGTTTTTTAAAAAAATATAATTCATTTTTTTCCGGCGTTTTGCTTGTTTTTGTGTTGATGTAATTTAAAAAAAAATAAATAAATAAACAGAAAAATTGCTTGATTTTGATGGTAAAATGATTTTAGGAAACCACAAGCTATGTATGGATGGAATCTGCGATCAATAATCCTGTTTTGGATCTAATTTTTCAGAGTTATTTTTGGTCTGAAAAAGAAGGCCAAGCTTTCAAGTTGTGTATTTGACTTATGATAGGGATTTCCACCTTTTCATGAATTCATTCCTCCAACCTGCCCAATTTCATGATTCCTGTTAAATTGATGAATGTTCTGAAGATGAAGAACATCTGCGGAGATAACAAAGCGTCAGTCTCGATCTTATTTTTGGAAGTTGAAGAATTGTCAAAATCTAAAAACAAAAATCAATGTTTTTCACGATAAAAAAATGTTGTGTCAAGTTGGCTTTTTTATCTAATTGTTTGGAAAGCTAGATTCGACCTTGACTTCAATTTAATTCCATTTTTAAAAGATATGCAGTGCTCGAGATTATAAATTATTCTCAAAAACACCTGTGATTGATTGGAAATAGAAGGCTTCGTTTGGTAATATGATTCCATACGTATAATGTCATAGACTCGTGGGGGAGAAACTTCACATTGGAAAGTTTTACTTGTGGGATTAATTGATTTATTTCTACAGTTCAGTGAAATCCTAATCTATTATTCATTGTTATGGAATATTGAAACTAAATCATTTCATTTATATCAATTAAAAACACATTTTAAAAAAAATATACTGTCAAATCTACCATTAAATTTGTTATTCTCACAATTTATTTATTTATTTTTAAAATTATTAATCGTTAAATATATTTGATGTCCTAAAATATCCATCAACAATTTTGCTTTCAGTTCTTTTATTTTTGCTTTCATACACATTTAAATTTTTGAACATTTTTTTAAGTATTTGATATAAAATATATTTAACTATGATATAATAATGATTTAATGATAAAAATGACCTCCGTTCAATTGGAATTTGATAATTTCAGATATTTATTATAATCAAGGTAATTTAAACTCTAAAATATTGATTTTTGGATAAATTTTATCTAAATTGTATTTTCTTTATTATTGTAATAGTCAACTCAGTAGAAATTTAATTTTTTTCTCCACGTCATATACTCCTAAAACATAACACTATAGTATTTTAAATTCACTAAAGTAAGTTTTTTAAGAGTAAATTATAAATTATTCCCTCTCATGTTGAAAAAATGAATGAATTAATTTTTTGTGTTTGAAAATTAGTTATTTAATCTTCTATGTTTTAATTTTGTCAATAATTTAATTTTTTTATTAATTTTTAGTTAGATTAGTGATTTTTTTCAAATTATATTTTAATACCTTATTTCTATCTTGAATCTACTATTTCTCTCTTTAGTCAATAAAAAGTAAAAGTTACAATTTAAAAACAAAAGTTACAAATGTAACGAAGTGATTTAATGATTAAGTTATTTACAAAATTAAATTATAAATATTAAATAAGTATTTTTTAAAAGAAAGAGAATTATTTAATTCATTTCTCTAAAGATTAATTTATAATTTACTCTATTTAAAAATAGTTCGAAGTTTAGATTTTTTTAAAAAAATATTCTACAAATGTTAATGAAATACCATCAACCTTGGACTTAAAAATTAGGCTCAAAATCTGCCTAGCCATGGGCTGAAGCCTGAACATAAAATTCTTTTGGTTTGGGCCTACCCAGGCTCCTAACCAGGCAATAATTAAAAAGCCCACACAAGTGCAAGCCTAGATAGCAGTCAGGTATCATCTTATTTATTTTATTTTATTTTTGTATTATAGCAATATAAAAGGTGGGCATGGCACATAAATATCAAGCTAGTTATTTGTAATTAGGCTAAACCCAAGCTATTTTTTTTTCCTAAAAAAAATAAAAAAACAACTTAAGCTTTTTACAAGCACAACATAATTAGGCTAAGATCTATATGCATAATTGGAATACCTAAAGAAAATTAATCCATAATTATATATAAAAATATGAACTTTTTTAAAAAATTAATTGACCATTATAACTTTAATACTATAATAAAATTATAGCATATCTTAAATACTAATATGTAAATTCCACGTCGTCTCTAAATTAAAAAAAAAATTTTTGAAGAAATTCTTAAAAAGAAAATTATTTAAACCTAAAAAATAGGTTAATACTTTTTTCATTATTTTCGTATTTATTAACGACATAAAATCCTAAATAACATTATTTTATAATTGAATAATACACTTATTGGTATTCTGAAATCCATAAACAAAATCTTAAAGTCTTAAAGCGAGATCTAATCTGCTCTCGCTCTTGTAACAACCCTCCAAGAAAAGAAGATCTCAAAGCCTCTAGATTTCCCTTATGACTTTCCACTTGTAAGAAACGTTTCCAACTAGTCACATCTATATCATGTATTAATTTCTTTTTTATTTTTTCATTTGATGTTAAAACAAATAATCGAAAGACGGATTGGAAGTAGTTATTGTTTTAGAAAATGATTAGAGACTAAATTTAAAATATAAAGATAAATTAAACTAATTCTCTTACTTTTAATTTGTTGAATTGAAAGTCGAATTAATCTAGAGGTATTTTACACCTAACATTATAAAATTTCTTATAATTTAAGTAAGATTAGTTTAGTTATATAATAAAAGTAAAAATCGATTGAGCGAGAACAATTATTAAATTTAACAGATTGATGTGAATATGTTTTACACTTTAATATGCTATACGGATGCAATATGATAATCTCATTTATCGAATCACGTAAATTTTTATATTGTATAATTGTTTTATCGTTTTTATTTTTTATTTTTTATTTTTATGTGATTCCTTTTGATATCAAACAATATCATCATAAAGAAGAAGAAGAAGAAGAAGCAAGATTGAACTATTTGCTAATTGCAACATGAAATTCATCTCTTTTTTATTACAGATTTTACAGACTTTCGTCACTTACAATTAGGCCATGATAACCACATGGAACACGTCTAGCAAGTTTAACTTTTGCTAAAATGTCAAGATTTGGAGACTTGGCATCCTTAACTATAAAATTTGATTCACCAGATTTCTCGTCACGCACAAAGTTTAGCAGAAATCCATCATCCTCTTCAGACATCGCATCATTTTCATTTCTAGAAACAAACAATGGCTCCGCTGATCCAAAGCAACCTGGCCCATAAACCCTACTCGAGACTACACATTAATTCCTCTTCCAAATCAATATTTACTAACCCTGAAATCTTTGGGATCTTTTCACAAATTCCTAAACAGGCATAACGATTTTTATTGCCAATGTAGGAATTACTTATAGATCCCAACTCCAGATTTCTTTCGGACAAAATCTTTCTGGAAACTTTTCCTGTTCTCATGTTAATAGTTACCTTCTCCAACGAGCAAATGACCTTTTCAATTCTTTGAAAAGCAATTTCAAGGTTTAACGCATCAGGTGCCATCAAGACTGTCTCATCATCCCTATTTTCTCAAACATTGATGATATGCAGGGCATTAAACCCTAGAACCGGAAACCACTCCATGTTTAATTCACTAGTAGCAGACCTTGGTAAGACCCCAATTCTTGGTACTTTCTTTGGCTTGCAAACCACAGGTGTGATGTAATTTTTAAGTAAGTAAATTATTTTACTTGTTAGTGATAATTAATAATATAATGTGCATGTACTTTTGGGTAGAGTCTACCACAAAATAATAATAATAATAATAAAATTCATGTTATCAAGCAATTAGACACTTTAAATTTTAATAAAATAATCGATTAATTTAAATTCCTCATAATTTTTTTTAGTATCAACCAAACACAATAAAAATACTTATTGAGAATTTTTATTTCAACCAAAAATGAATATGGTGAAACCTCAAATTAGTTCCCCCGTAATTGAGTTAATCTCAATTAAGTCTCTAAAATTCTTTTTTTTTTTTAAATCAAACCTCCCAAGGTTTAGGAATTCTTAATCAAGCTCTTCCGTCCAAAATTATCACAATTTTTTTTTTAAAAAAACGTTAAACTTTCTTCAAAACAATATCATTTTAATTTATTGCAAAATAGATTAATATTAAATAGAATCTATTGATGGATAAGGACCAGAGACTCATTTACAGCTCATTTCATCAATTTCTTGTTATTTTACAAGTAAATTGATTTTTTATTTTTTCAAAAATAAAATAAAGAAAGGAGTTAAAAATAGGTAAGATGGGATTGCTTGATTAGGAAAAAAGGTATTTTTTAAATAATAAATTAAAAAATTGAAAAAAATAAACACTAGTTAAAAGACTATTTATTTATTTATGATAAATTAATTTGTTTCAACAAACTACAAAAACTAAATTATAGTTCACCCATAGACAAAAGTTCTTAATTAAGAAAATTTTCTATAAAGGTTCAATTTAGAAAAGAAAAATTCTTTGAGGAATCAAATGGGTATTTGGGTTATTGCTTGAGAGACTAATTTTAGATTTTTCCCCCATAAATATTCATGAGTTTATTTATTTATTTTATATCAATTGAGATGTTCTTGTGATTGGTGCTTCGCTAGTCACTTCATCAAATGGTCTACGAATGGAGTGGCTGGGCTAAACAGAAAGGCCTGATTAAGCCTGCTAAAATACCATCTCTTTGGGCTCAATTTAGGCCTTAACGTCAGTCCAGCCCAAAAAATACAAGCCCTAAACTACACTAATTACGCTGCCGTGGTCCTTTTCAAGAAGCTTTCGCTCTCCAGCTTCTGAGACCCCCTTCTCTCTATTTTACAGCGGCATAGACAGCCACCGCCACTGGTATCTCTCTCTCTCTCTCTCTCTCTCTCTATAGTTTCCAATTATGCTTTCAAGAGCACAGTCATATAGAGGAATAATAACAACAGCCTCAAGAAAATCTAGGGTTTCTCCTATCCTCCATAGAAAAGAACCCAACAGACATCAAAAAGCTCATCTTTTTAGACACCCCTTTTGCCTTATATAGTGGGTCCATATACTTTTTTTACACAAATTTCCAACTTGGGTTTTTCTTCTTTTGTCTATTTGACTGGTTCTTGTTTGTTTTTGTTGTTGCTGTAGTTAAATTGTTGTTGAAGTTTGTTTTAGGGTTTTAAGATGGGTGATTTTGATGATACCCACAATATACGAAACATATGCATATTAGCACATGTTGATCATGGCAAGACAACTCTTGCTGACCATTTAATTGCTGCTACGGGTGGGGGCTTGCTCCACCCAAAATTAGCTGGGAAACTTAGGTTTATGGATTATCTTGATGAGGAACAAAGGCGAGCAATAACGATGAAGAGCTCGTCGATAGCTCTTCACTATAAGGATTATTCGATAAACCTCATAGATTCACCTGGTCATATGGATTTTTGTAGTGAGGTTTCGACTGCTGCGAGGTTGAGTGATGGGGGATTGGTTTTGGTTGATGCTGTTGAGGGGGTACATATACAGACTCATGCTGTTTTGCGTCAAGCTTGGATTGAGAAGCTCACGCCTTGTTTAGTGCTTAATAAGATTGATAGGTTGATTTGTGAGTTGAAAATGAGTCCGATGGAAGCGTACAATCGGCTGTTGAAGATTGTTCATGAGGTGAATGGGATAATGAGTGCGTATAGGTCGGAGAAGTATTTGTCTGATGTTGATTCCATACGTGCTGGACTGTCTGGTGATGGGGGAGATGAGAATCTTGAGTTTATAGAGGATGACGATGAGGACACTTTTCAACCACAGAAAGGGAACGTGGCATTTGCTTGTGCACTGGATGGGTGGGGTTTTAGTATTCATGAGTTTGCTGAGTTTTACGCATCAAAGCTTGGAGCGAGTTCAGCTGCATTGCAGAAGGCTCTCTGGGGTCCTAGGTTTTTCAATCCAAAGACAAGGATGATTACGGTGAAGAAGTTTTTGGATGCAGGAAGCAGGGAGCGTCCTATGTTTGTGCAGTTTGTGCTGGAACCACTATGGCAAGTTTACCAATCTGCTTTAGAGCCCGATGGGGATAAAGGCTTACTTGAGAAGGTCATAAAGTCATTTAATTTGAATGTACCTCCCCGTGAGCTTCTGAATAAGGACCCTAAGGCTGTGCTGCAATCTGTTATGAGTCGCTGGCTTCCTTTGTCAGATGCAATTTTGTCGATGGTTGTGAAGTGCATGCCGGATCCTATTGCAGCTCAATCCTTTCGTATATCACGTTTGATTCCTAAGAGAGAAGTTTTGCTTGATGGGGTTGACTCTAGTGTTCTTGCAGAGGCGGATCTTGTTAGAAAGTCTATCGAGGTTTGTGATTCCAGTCCTGAAGCACCTTGTGTTGCTTTTGTATCAAAAATGTTTGCTGTCCCAACAAAAATGTTACCTCAAAGAGGTCCTAATGGGGAGATTTTGAGCAATTCTACTGATGAAAATGGAAATGGTGAATCAGATGAGTGCTTCCTTGCTTTTGCAAGAATTTTTAGTGGGGTTCTTTGTTCCGGACAAAGAGTCTTTGTGCTTTCAGCGTTGTATGACCCATTGAGGGGGAGTCAATGCACAAGCACATACAGGAGGCTGAGTTGCACTCGTTGTATCTAATGATGGGTCAAGGCTTGAAACCAGTGGCTTCCGCGAAGGCAGGGAATGTTGTGGCGATCCGAGGCCTTGGCCAGCATATATTGAAAAGTGCAACTCTATCATCCACTAAAAACTGCTGGCCTTTCTCAAGCATGGCATTCCAGGTTGCCCCAACTCTGAGAGTTGCTATTGAGCCTTCTGATCCAGCGGATTCTGGTGCTCTGATGAAAGGTTTGAGGCTTCTGAACCGGGCTGATCCATTTGTAGAGGTTACTGTTTCATCTACAGGGGAACATGTTCTTGCAGCTGCTGGAGAGGTTCATCTGGAAAGATGCATTAAGGATTTGAAAGAGAGGTTTGCTAAAGTGAGCCTGGAAGTCTCCCCACCTCTTGTGTCCTTTAAGGAGACTATTGAAGGAGATGCATCCATTATGTTAGATAACCTGAAATCATCAACTAGAAGCTTAGGTTTTGTTGAGAAGATGACACCAAATGGGAGATGTGTTGTTCGTGTGCAAGTCATGAAACTTCCATCTGCACTAACCACGGTGCTTGATAAAAGCACTGATATACTTGGAGATATTATTGGTGGTAAGCTGGGGCAGACTACCAGCAACTTGGAAACAGAGAGATCAAGCATCGTGAAAGATGAGAGTCCAATTGAAGTTCTAAAAAACGCATAATGGATGCTCTGGAGACTGACATTTTGTCATTGAGTAAGAAGGATAAGGATCGGGCTGAAAAGTACAAACTTAAGTGGCAAGAGTTTCTTAAGAGGATCTGGGCACTTGGACCAAGACAAGTTGGCCCTAACATCCTCTTCACTCCGGATTCCAAAACCTTGAGGAATGATTCCTCTGTTCTTATACGGGGTTCCCCTCATGTATCTGAGAGGTTGGGGTTGGTGGAGTGTTCTGGCAATGGTGAAATGCCCGCTGACACAGCCTCTGAAGAACTTGGTGCGTTGTACATGGAAGCAGAGGGTCTTCAGAACAGTGTAGTGTCTGGATTTCAACTAGCAACAGCAGCTGGCCCTTTATGTGATGAACCAATGTGGGGATTGGCTTTTGTTATTGAGGCCTTCATACATCCTTTGGCTGAGCAATCTGATGATTCCGAGTCTATCCAACCATCTGAGCAGTATGCGATCTTCACTGGACAAGTAATGACAGCCGTGAAAGATGCATGTAGAGCAGCTGTGCTTCAGAAGAAGCCTCGGCTTGTTGAAGCAATGTATTTTTGTGAGTTGAACACCCCAACTGAATATTTGGGCTCTATGTATGCCGTACTTAATCGGAAACGAGCCCAGGTCTTAAACGAAGAAATGCAGGAAGGATCCCCATTTTTCTCGGTTCAAGCATACGTTCCAGTTTCTGAAAGCTTTGGTTTTGCTGAAGATCTTAGAAGATCCACTGCAGGTGCTGCAGGTGCTCTTCTTGTACTGAGTCATTGGGAAGAACTTCCTGAGGATCCTTTCTTTGTTCCTAAAACAGAAGAGGAGATTGAAGAGTTTGGAGATGGTTCTAGTGTTCTTCCCAACACAGCAAGAAAGCTCATGGATGCTGTAAGGCGGCGTAAGGGCCTCCCCGTGGAGGAAAAAGTTGTCCAGTTTGCAACTAAGCAGAGGACCCGTGCTCGTAAAGTGTAGAGAATTTGTTAACCAAGTTTTGTCACCAGCTTGAAACAACTAGATAGACGTTTCACATTCTTTGTTGGGCTCTCTTTTCTTTAATAAAATTCTCAGTAATGAATTGTCCTGAAACGGGATCAAGATTTTCTCAATCAGATGCGCTTATGGAGTGTTGTTTTAGTTTGGTTTTTCTTTCTGTTAGTCAAAATCCATTGTAGTCCATATAATTTATAAACGAGAAAATAGCTCAATTCTTGAGTTTTGCAATTTGTCTCTATATTTTGTACTGCATTTATTATGTTTCTTAATAATATTTAAATTTTTAGTTTGTTATTCAGATTAATTTTTTTATTGCTCTTCCAATCAATTTTTCGGATATGGGTAAATTTTATGATAGAAATATTTTTGACTGAAAAAAAAAAGAAAAAAAAACTATTCAAATTGACATGATTTGTATATTTTATTTTTAAAATCTTTAATTTTTGTTTTTGTATGAATCTTTCAATAGGAGTGTTTTGGCCATAAAATTTGTTTATGGACGAAAAAATTAATTGAAAAAACAAATTAGAAGCTTAAATAATATTTAAAAATATTAATATAGAAGTAATTTATTGAAGATTCATATTGATATATAAACACAGATTAAATTATTATTATTATTATTTTTTATAAAATCCATGAATATGTGAATGGTCAACTCTACCTTATAGAGGATGTAGCCTTACCTTCCCGTTCAAGGATGTCTATAGCATCTTTGGCTTTTTCGACTCCTTGACATGGCCAGTTGCTAGTTCCGTAGCCATTTATTATGTTGCTATTTCCTAGCCCTTTCCATCGACGGAGACCATCGTATTGGATCATTACACTTTTAATAGCATAGGTTAGAGGTGTTAAAACCATTGTCTCTTGTTGACACGGCAAACCTATTTAACATTTTTTGGACTGTTCTAAATTTCATAATTAGTTTTAAATTCAATAATTTAGATTACGTAAATAAATAAATAATATTAAGAAGTTGTTTTTATTTTTATTATGCACGATGTCATGATCATTCTATTTAAATTCAATGATTTAAATGAGGTGCTTAGTGAGGTTTTTTTTTCTGGTCCTTTTATTTTGACTAAATTATAAATTAATCTCTATAGTTTTAAAAAATTAATTAATTAATTTTCTTGTTTCAAAAACAAATTATTTATTTTTTATATTTTTAAATTTTCTTGAAGCTTAATCCTTTGCACTCTTTTTCAATTTATTTTGATTTTTGTTTAAAGAAATAAAAAAACATAAAAAAATAAGTGAAAAAATATGAATTGATTGATAAAAAAAATGATATTTTATAAGAAAATAATATTAAATTAAGCATGGTTAACACTAATTAAAAAACTAAATAATTAGTTTTTAAAGTTCAAAGGATTAATTAATTTTTTTCTAAAAAATAATGCGATTAATTTATATATTCACTCATTTTGTTTTTGAATCTATGTTGGGGTGAGGGTTTCTTTGTTTTCTTTTTTCCTTACAAAAATTTCACTTGTCTTTTCTCTTTCCCGATTTACATCTCTATAGCACAGAATTTGACAGCATTGTTGGGTATTTACAAGAAGAAGAACAAGTTGTAATAGTTTGTATATGATTGCGAATATATAATTATATTTTCAACCAGAGTAATAATTGACTGAAATTAAGAGTAATGTTATTCATTCACATTTTGTTTCATACTATATTTTATTTTTTATTTTTCTAATTTTTATTCAGAAACTTTTATACTTGTATGGTTGCACATCATATTTTTACTCCAGTTTGCTATATTTAATGTTTTTTTTTTTATAAGAAAACAGTGACCTTTGAGATTAGATTTTTTATTTTATTTTTATTTTTTTATAAGAATAATGAATTCAAAGGAGGGTTTTTATAAGGTTTTTCCTCTGTAATAAATAAATGATGATTGATTATGCTGTTTTTAATTTAATATATATATATATATATATATATATATATATATATATATATATTTTACTAAATATGTGAGTTGGTGTCTAGAAAGAGAAAGACGGAGAGAACGGGACAGAGACAGAAAGAAAGGGAGGTTTGTTTTTTCAGAGGGAGGACGAGGACGAGGACGAGGTCAGTTTAACAGTTAATTTTCATGGGCTGGAGTAATGATTTGTCCTTGTTGTTGCTCTTAAATTACTAATTATGCCATCTGGACTTAAATTTATTTAATCTTTATGTGAAAAAAAAAAAAAAAACAAAAAACAGTGATTTACTTTCCTTACTCTGTTGAGGACTCTGCTGTTTTGCCCTTTTTGGCTAATGTGTGGTTAGTAGTGGCACTCCTCTGTTCTCTCCATCAAAATAAGATATGTTTTAAACAAATGTAAATATTGTCCAAACTGAGGACTGAAATGTAAAAGAAGCTATAGAAACTAATGAGACCGAAAAAAATAAAAAAATTCCTGCGCAGCAATGCAATCACTGACACTGCTGGGAAGATGCTTGATAAAATGCCGAAAAGAAAGTTAGTTTTTTTTCAGGTGAGCAAAAGTAGCATTGGATCACTCAAACTTGTCATTATGATGATCTTATCCTTCCTATTAAAAGTTGTATCATAAAACAACCACGACACTAAACAACAGAATCCTATCCAAAAAAGCACAGATTCGATCAATGGCCAAGCAAAAGGAAGCAGTGTGTGTCACAGGAGCCAACGGGTTCATTGGCTCATGGCGGGTCCGTACCTTACTAGACCAAGGCTACACCACAATCCACGCCTCTGTCTACCCAGGCTCAGACCCATCTCATCTCTTCGAAATCCCTGGTGCCACCGATGCTAGCGTGCGTCTGGAGGTCTTCGAAGCCGATGTGCTTGACTATGACGCCCTTTGCAAGGCTGTGGAAGGCTACCAAGGGATATTTTCTCCCTAATATTTTTGTTTTTAACACACTCTTCCTCAACTAGTGTCCTTTTCTTAGAAAATACGATTTAACTTTAACCGACCTAATGGTATAAATGAATGTTATAAATAGCTTACGCCCTATTTTCCAAGTAACACCCATCCCTCTTCAAATTCTCTCGCTTTCTTGTTTCCCAAGTAATTGATTCACTAGCTTTTCTACCCAATTTTTTTTCCTCCCAAAATCTCTGTTTCTCTGTAGTTAATAGCGATACAACAAGTAAATCTAAGAAAATGCGTCCAAACCTTCTACCAGGTTACAGGTTTTGCCCTTCTGATCAAGAGTTGATAATTCATTATCTTGACAAGAAAGTCAAGAATGAGGCTGTCGTCTATACTTTTGCTGTCAATGATTTTGATCTTTATAGCAAGCATCCTTGGGAGATCTGGGACATGTTTGGTGGAAACAATTTGGTTTCTGAGTTCGATAAGGATCAAGGCCTGTTTTTCTTTACTCAACTGAGGAAGAGGAGTGGTAAGGATTCAAGATTTTGTAGGTCTTTTGGAGATGGAACTTGGCATGGAGAGGATGCTGGTGCTCTGATTAAAACCGCCGACACAAAACTATCTATTGGGTTGAAGAAACGATTTACCTATAAGAATTCGAAATCCCCTCATGGTAGAAAGTGGATTATGTACGAGTTCAGTCTTGTTGGACATTCAACAGATTATGTGTTGTGTCAATTAAAAAAGAATGACAAGGATAAGAAATTGTCAGAATCTGAGACCGCAATTGGTCTCCCAGAACATAAAAACAAGAAGAGGAAATCGGAAGCAAGTACTAGGAGGAAAAATCCACGATCAAAGAAGCCAAAACCTTCTTCTTCTAATGCCCTTGAATTTGGGGTTTCAAAATCTCATTGGGCTAACTCTGAATTAATAGCAGCAAATCCTATTATTATAGAATTGACTGGAGATGATGTGGCTGATGAGATTTGTTACTTGGAGGAATCTGAGAAGGCTTCCACGACTGAAAATAATGTAATTATCTCTTATGCAGCTAAAGGAGAACTTTCTGGTGTTCATGGGTTTACTGACTACAGGAGACTTGCACCATCACCAGTACTGCTACCAAGTACTGATTGCGAGGATTGTGAGGAGCAGCATGGGGTTGACAAACTTGTAGGAGAAACACAATCACAGAGCGAGGTTGGTGGGGTTTTGTCTAATTTGATGCATGAGATAGAAGAGACTGAAATAGGCTCGTTTGAAGAGTTCTGGAGCATACCTGATGATCGGGAAGTTGCTGGTTTGATTATGGAGTTACGCCGGCCGATATAATTCCTCCAACGCTAGCTGATATCGGAGCTAATCATGCATGGAAGCAGCCAGCCTAGCCTTAGAGCAGCTCATTTGAGGGAAAATATTTGCCGAGTGCCACTAAAAATTGCTATGATTTTCAAGGCATTTTTACGTTGTATTTAATTTTTAGGCTGATACGTAAATTGCTGACTGCAAATTTTTAGAGATACAACCCTTATGGGTTTTTCTGTATTCTATTCTCTTTTAAAAGTTAATATAATTAACCATTCATGGTTGTTTCAGGTTTCAATTGGGTTTCACATGCAGTATGATTCTGCTGGTGATTAGTTCTTGATTTTGGCACCTTTGCATGTTCTATTATCCAAATTGTTGACCTTTGAATGGACACATTTTTCTGAATAAAAAGCTGTCCAGTTTGCAACTAAGCAGAGGACACCCGCTCTTAAAGTGGAGAATTTGTTAACCAAGTTTTTTCACTAGCTTGGAACAAATAGATTGACATGGGCACTCTTTCCCTTAATAAAATTGTCCTGAAACGGATCCAGATTTTCTTAGTTAGATGCGTCAAAATCCATTTTAGTGCAAATAATTTATAAATTCCTCTTTCTTGGCTGCATTAATATGTAAATGGTCAATCTCTGCCGGTAGAGGATGTAGCCTTACCTTTCCCTTCATGTTTTTGAAGGATGTCTAAATCTAAACTGTCAATCTTCGGCCATTTGGACTCATTAATATGGCCCGTTGCAAGTTCTATAGCTATTTGTTATATTATATTACCATTTCTTATACCTTTCCATTGACTAACGCCATCATCTTGAATCATTTTCCTTTTAATGGTAAATTTTGCTATTATTTTATTACGATTTAATAATTTTAAATTCATAATATTAAATTACGTAATTTGAATATTAAAATATTAAAAATTGGATAAATATAATTCAAATTATTCGATTTTCGTTATTTGTAATAGTTAACTAGGTTAAATCTAAACAACGTTGTTTATGTTTTTTTAAAAATATTTTTAACCCCCTAATCTTAAACTTTGTTTAAAAAAAAACTTTTTTTTCTTATTTATAATATTTAATAAAAAATATTTTTAACCCCCAAATTTTTTAATTTTTTAATTTTTTTTATAAAATGTTATCATAAAAAACATAATTAACAATACACAATTTCAAGCCTTAAAAAATATTTTATAAATTAAAATGAGTATAAGTAAGGATTGACTCCCTAATTTTATAATTTATAAAAAAAAAGTTCAAAATTAAGGGGTTAAAAATATTTATGTATATTTTTATATAATTTATAAAATGTTTATAATATTTTATAAAAAAATTAAAAAAATTCAAGATTAGGAGGTTAAAAATATATTTAAAAAAAAAACATAATTAACAAAGAAATGCTAAGGCGATGTTATTTTGGCATTTCAAATAACGAATCAACCGGATTGACCATTATATATAATAAAAATTAGACAATTTTGGATCACATTTGCTCAATTTTTAATATTGTGGAATTCAAATTACGCAATTGGGCACTATAAACTTAAAATTATCAAATCGCAATAAAATGGAGGTAAAATTTTCCATTCAAACATTTTGATGGCATAGGTTAGTGGTGCTAAGATCATGGTCGTCCATTGACATGGAAAACCTATTTAACATTTTTGGTTGACGGTTTTTCCAATTATGTTTTTCAAATCTCACCACTAAAAAATAAAAAATATTAAAAGTTAAGTGATCTTCTATTTTATTTTGCAGTAAATCATAACTTAGATAGCCCGAGATCACTCTTATTGTTGAACCAAAAAAAAAAAAACACACACACACACATAATAAACGATGTGTGACATCAAAGAATTATCTAATTTGTTCAGTGATCTTAAAAAAAAAAGAAAAGAAGGGTCAATGAATAATCATATTTACTTAGTAGCATTTATAGAAAAGTTGGGCACGTAAAAATAAACTCTAAATAGATTTTCCTTACGGTAACTAAAAAGATTTTTCAATCCATGTATGGTTGCATTTTTGACAAGATAAATTTCTGAACAGTTGCCTTTATAGTAACCAAATGAGTTACAAAACCGAAATTTCTTTAAAAATGTACTAATTATTATACTTTCGTTTATAGTAAGAAAATATCTTTAAAAAATGCAACTTTTAGAAGGGTGCATCTGTTGATTCACACCTTATGGGATGGATGAGACATACAATATATCTCTATCCTGAAATTCCATGAAGGAAAACAATCTTGATGGGTTTTAGAATTCAAAGAAAGTGAATCTTATGAACAATTGTTGGAACGAATATTAAATTCTTAAAAAACCATGTACAGTAATGTTAATAGGGAAAAGTTGTCTAAAACATTGCGTTTATGGTAAGAAAAATGTATACAATGAAATCATTGAAGCTAAATACGCATCTGCACATACATTTTTATCTGGTTTCCATGAAAGTGTCATGTCTCTAAGTCAGGATTCAAATATCCACCCAGTTGAAGAAGTTGAAGTAGTCATAGTTGGTGCACAGGCCCTGCTGGTCTAGCAACGTCTGCATGCCTCAACCATCTTTTCATCCCAACCATTTTCCTTGAAAGAGATCATGTTTATGCCTCTTTGTAGAAGAAAAGAGCATATGGCCGTTTGAAGTTACACCTTGCAAAACAATATTGTGAGCTTCCTCACTTGCCCTTTCCTTCGGATGCTCCTGTATCTGTCCCTAGGAGTGGGTTCGTCGATCAAATGGACAATTATGTGTCCACTCTTAGGATAAGTCCACGATGTTGTAGGTCTGTTGAGTCTGCCTCCTAAGACGAAGAGAGTGGAAAGTGGTGGATCAAAGTAAAAAATGTTCAACAAAATGTGTATGAAGCTTACCTTGCGAAGTGTCTTGTGGTTGCAACTGGTGAGAACAGCGAAGGTGTCATCTCTGAAGTGCCTGGGCTAGATAGTTTTCCTGCACTGGGAGAGTTCATTCTATCGAGCAAATACGAAAACGGCAAAAAAGTTGAAGGCAAAGATGTATATTGTTTTGGTCGTCGGTTGTGGGAATTCTGGATTGGAAATTTCTTATGATTTTTGCGAAAACTGTTGTTGTTAATGCTTGTGGTCCGGTGAATGTCCTCACCAAAGAGATTGTGTGCTTTTAGCCATGTGCTTATTAAATTTCCTACCATGCAAGTTAGTGGATGCCATTGTTGTTCAACTCTCGGCAGGCAAAAGCACAGAGATATTTCTAGCTACGTTTTATGTCCTGCAAGAAAAGAGACGTTTCTAAAGGTTAAAAGACAACACTAGATAAAACCGAAATATCCAAAACAAAATCTTGACATGTAATAGATAATTTTAAAAAATCCTTAAATTATTCTAAATACATATATATCTACAGAGTTTTTTTTTCTTATAAATGTCCAAATAAAAGAATTCTAAATAATCAATTGTATTCATTACAATTGTAATCTAAGAATTGTGAGTATTAGAAAGCAATTCAGAAAGTCTTCATAATATCTCTTTTGTATTGCTTTTTTGCTTCACAACATAGTATGAGGAAAATGAGAGAGGCTGACTTGGTTTGCTTCATAATTTAATGCGAGGAAAATAAGAAAAGCTGACTCCGTTTGCTTTACAACTTAGTACCAAAAAAATTAATTAATTTGATTCAATTTAAGATGGAAGTGAGTCAAATGCTGCATGATCAGTTTGAAAAAAAACCAAGTTTGTAAAATACAGGATACATAAACCAACGAAAGGACCCTTCCATCTAAAAGAAACAACCGACCGATCTCATACTATTAATGTTGAGGCCGTCGAAACAATTAAAGCAAAAGACATTCAGGTACGTACGTATATCTTCCATTTTTCTTCATTTAGTATTGAAATCTAATGTTCTACTAATGACGGCATTGATGTTAATTAATTATTGTAGGTAATTTCCATCAATAAAAGCATCAAAGGAGGTAAAATCAAGTTAATTTGTGGATGGGAGGTTTAGTCGGTTTGATGCCACTGTCTTTGCCACCGGCTACGAAAGCAATACAAGAAACTGGCTTAAGGTTTTTAAAATTTTCAACATGATCTGTTAATCCTGTTAGTCTAGATTAGATTCTGATGAATTTGCTTTAATTCTATTACAGGATGCCAACGACCTTTTTGCTGAAAATGGAATGCCAAAAACAAGTTTTCCTGACCATTAATTGGAAGAGAAAAACTGGTCTTTACTGTGATGGATTTGCTAGAAGAGGAATTCTTGAAATTAAATGACGCACAGAACATTGCAAGGGATATTAACTTTAGCATTGAGAAGTAATTAAGTGAAGGAAACCTGTAGTTAAGAGCAGTGTGCGTGGTAAAAAAAACCTAGGAATGCCTTTTTGACTACATCATAACATTGATCATGATAATTAGTTTATGTATTTCCGTGAATAGAAATTGAAGCATGAAACGAAGCAAAATCAAGTTTGCTTTTGAGTTTTGACGATTGAGGCTAGTTTTATGTAAAATGGTTCAATAATCTCAATCGAGTAATACTATAAAATTAAAAAAAATTATACAAATTTCTCATACAAGAATACATAATTTTTCATCTTTATTTTAGAAATTTCTTTTTCCTTTTGCTCGTTCGCAAACAATATTTAAAAGTTTTTTCTTTCCACAAATAATTCACTCTTTAATTCATATATAAACAAATTAATTCAATAAATTCAAGGATCAACTCTTTCCTCATTAACATTATATATAACAAATTAGTCTATACTTTTAAAGTCAAAGCAAATTGAAGCAACAATTCTAATTATTAGAAAATTATATAAAACTATTTTCAAAAATTCACCAAACAACTAAAATTTTTATGTTAAAATGATTTTTTTGACAGAATATCAGAACTTTATTAACCCGATGGTAAAAAATTTCAAAATAGTGTGAGCCTATATAAATTTTAAATATAAAAAAATTTTATTTGAGAATATTTATTAAAGAGTAATATAACATTATTTTTAAAAATTCACCCAATAATTAAAATTTTTAAATTAAGATATTAGAAGCATCGCAAGCTGACATGTGAAAAATATCTCAATTTGAAAATCTAAAATGTCACATTTAACGTAAATCTTTTATAATAAAATGTGAATCTCATGGAACATTGTAATTAGACCTAATTTGTAGATTAATGAAATGGAGCCAACACTCTTGACTCTTTTTCAGGTACAAAAATGGGGTACGACAAATAATTAGTTTCTGTACGTGGATGAGGTAATTAAAATTACATCATTGCTTACAATAAATAGACTAAGAGAAATTCCAAGATTGCACGGATTAGACCAATGGATTTTAATCCAATTTTCTTGAAAATATTTTTAGTAAAAATTCAGTACCGAAATGCCAACTCATTTATTTATTTATTTTAATGCCAAATAATTATTGTTTGCAATAAGTATTATCGAGTATCAAAATATCAACTATACTATATGCTTCTCAATTTTGATCCAAATTCCAAAAAAAAATGCTAAATAATTGTTTACAGCATATTTTTTCTTAAGAGAATCTCCAAGATTATATTAATTATTAAGATCAATTTTTTTTCATATGCTGCTTAATCTTGGTCCAAATTCCGAAAGTGCTAAGTAATAGTATTAATTAATTGCTCAGTATAAATAAATGATCATGGGCATGGGCAAACGGTCTCAAACTCAAAAAAGTCTTTCTGTTAGTTTGATAAACAGCAAAAAGAAAAGAAAAGCCCTTTGAAGCATCGCCAATTTTTGCTAAGGAACCATAAAAATGTCATTGCTCAGCCAGTTTTCAAATATCTACCCTATGGAAGAAGTTGAAGTAGTCATAGTTGGTGCAGGCCCTGCTGGTCTAGCAACATCTGCATGTCTAAACCATCTTTCCATCCCCAACATCGTCCTTGAAAGAGGGGATGTTTATGCTTCTTTGTGGAAGAAAAGGGCATATGACCGTTTGAAGTTACACCTCGCAAAGCAATATTATGAGCTTCCACACATGCCATTCCCATCTCATGTTCCTCCATTTGTCCCCAGGAATGGCTTCATTGACTACTTGGACAATTATGTGTCCCTTCATGGGATAAATCCACGATGCGCTAGGTCCTGTTGAGTCTGCCTGTTTTGATAAAGAGAGTGGAAAATGGTGGATCGATGTAAAAAATGTTGAACAGAATGTGGATGAAACTTACGTTGCAAAGTTTCTTGTGGTTGCAACTGGTGAGAATAGTGAAGGATTCATCCCTGAAGTTCCAGGACTAGATAGCTTTCCTGGAGAGCTCCTTCATTCAAGCAAATACGAAAATGGCAACAAATATAAGGGCAAAGATGTTCTGGTCGTGGGTTGTGGGAATTCTGGACTGGAAATTTCTTATGACTTAAATACTTGGGGTGCAAAAACTTCCCTTGTTGCTCGTAGTCCAGCGCATATCCTCACTAAAGAGATTGTGTTTTTGGGTATGCGTTTGTTAAACTTCCTCCCATGCAAAGTAGTAGATGCCACTGTTGTTCTGCTCAGTAGGCTAAAGCATGGAGATATTTCCTACCATGGGATCCATAAGCCCGCAAAGGGACCCTTTTATCTGAAAGCGACCACCGGCCGATCCCCTACAATTGATGTTGGAGCCGTGGAAAAAATTAAAGCAAAACAGATTCAGGTATCTCTTTTTTTTTTTTTTTCTTTTATTATTATTATATTTTTGGCCATAGATAGTAACATGCAGTCCATATCAGTTTTTGAATGTTAGAAAATCAATATTAGTAGTTAGTAGGATATAAAAAGAGGTCGCATTACGTACCATAACGGACTAAATTAACCATCACTACAAAAATAAAGAGTTATTCTGATCTTTATTCGTAATAGATTTCTTTTTAAATACCTCTATTGTAATGAAACTTTTTTAAACTCAGATACTTTAAAAAATAGAATTTGATTTCGTAATCTCGTACAAATAAAAACGTAAAAGAAGCTCAGTTAGAAATCTATTGATATTGGGGGAGGTATCTTAAATTTCACTTGTAAAGAAATCTAGTCTTCAATTAACGATGACATTGATGTTGATGGTTTGTAGGTATTTCCATCAATAACTGACATTAAAGGAAGAAAAGTAGAGTTTGCCAATGGGAAGGTTAGTCAATTCGATGTCCTTATCTTTGCCACTGGCTACAAAAGCATTGTGAGACGCTGGCTTAAGGTAAATTCTCTCTTGCATTTTTCAATTTTGAAACACTGATTTGGTAGATATCTTATGGATTTGTTTTTGGCACTGTTTCAGGGTGGTGAAGACCTTTTTGACAACAATGGAATGCCAAAGCCAAGTTTTCCTGATCGTTGGAAAGGGAAAAATGGTCTTTACTGTGCTGGATTTGCTAGAAAAGGACTTCTAGGGATTTCAAATGATGCAAGAAATATTGCAAGAGATATTAACCTAGCATTGAAAATGGAAGAGCCGAGGAAGGTCGAGCCTTCTGACGAAAATAGAAGGCCTTTCACCTATTATTGTAGAAGGCCCAGTAAAATATAGAGAAGTCATTTCAATGGATAAAATATATAGTAAAATATATAATAAAGTCATTTCAATGGATAGATAGAATCAAAGGCTTGAAGGACTTGGCCTTTGTACTGATGATCATTGTTAATGAGATCTTTAAAATTATAATAATTTTTTTTTCTTACAATTTGTTAACATATATAATGGACCTTGTCAAAACGTTATGCAAGAATAATAATAAACTTTGATGTTTAATTTAGCAACAACGTAGTAATTAGACCTTAAATATGAAAATTAATTTTGAACTATTTAGATTATAATGGTTTAATGACATAATTTATCCTAAACTATTAGACTTATGACAAAGTAAGACTATACTATTCATTTGAACTATTTAGATTTTAAACTATTAAGTTTCTAGTAAATTTTATTATTTTAAGCATTTTAGTTTTCTTTTTTCTTTTTTTAAAGAATTAAAATTAATTTTGAAAAAAAATAATGATAGTTTTCTTTAAGAAGCTTAGATGATTTGTTATTTATGGAACTGATTTTTGTTACTTGATAATTAATGATGAATGGATCCATCTAGTATTAAAAAAAACTGAATTATAATTTTTTTTCAAAATTAATTTTAATTAGAAAACTAAAATACTTAAAACAACATCATTTTAAACATTTTTTTTAGAATTAAAATTAATTTGAAAAAAAAATTTACAATAATAGCTTGTTATTCTAAACTCCTGGTTGTCCTAAATCATATTCTCTCACTCTGCTCGTGCCTTCGCAATTCGATTTCATCACCACAAATATAGTTATTTTTCGCTTACCTGAGAAAATTTAACCACAAGCTGCAGAACTCAGCATTAAGTTCAACTGTTACTTGTAATGCTATTTGACAAAGTTAATCTACCCTGAAGATCGATATTTGAGAGGACTTAGAATATAACCATGTCAAGCCGAAAGTACTATCTGCAAAAATAACATCTTTTAAAACAGATTGGTTTTCTCAAGATTTCAACACAACAAGAACCAAGTTGGAGTTGCATTCCAAAGAAAACACAGACAATTTGGATGCTCTCTGCTCTAAGCATGGACTCCATATGGCTAGAGGGCTAATATAGGGGCTTAAATCTGTATATACTAAGCCCCTAATTGCGCGCGCCTTGAGAGAATGATTCCACTCCCTTCCATTTTTTCAGGACTTGAAATACTCTAAGATCCCAACAATGCTGCAGAACACAGGATCAATACATTAAAGCCCAATTCACCACCAGCAGGATGCTCTAGAGCATCAAACAACAACAACCCCCCCCCCCCCCCCCTTCTCTGTCTCCTCATTCTTACTAACTAGTCTCACCGTCAGTGATGTTTGGCTCTGAGAATTACAGTGGCCAACAACTCTTCTGAGTTAAAAGATGTATCAAGCTGAACTAATCCCCTCCCCACCACAACTATATCCTAGGCTTTAAGGATCCATATAGACAAAAATCACATTCCCCCTCAATCCCACTCCAAGACAGTTCACTAATCATTTCCTTGCCAGGATAAGGAATGAGTGATTCACCAGAAATAGACAATACTCCTATCTAATAGCTATTTTTCTAGCATCTTCCTTTTGTGTTTCACTATAATTTCTCTAGAAAGACTATTCCTAAGATGGTACATAAATTTACTCCCTAGCTCGGAATTAAAAGAATAAAAGAGAAAGCATATCAACACAGACAATACTTCCTGAAATTGATCTAAACACGACAATGCCTAAAAGATTCACTCATTTTTCTTGTTTTGAGGAGAAAAACTAAATGTTATAAATATCAGATAAACATACAAATGCCAAAGTCAGAGTTAGGAAAACTAATTCGATCAGAAACAATTAATACCCACTAACATATTATTAACATCAAACTCAAAAATTCTATAACAACCACAATTCAAAAACTACATAACGAGCCAATACCAAAAATGTCCCATCGATTCACATTCCCACCAATCATCACTACTAAAATATAACAAGCAACGAAAACAGAGTGTAAATTAAGAAACAGGCATACGCAATCAATCCACGATGCTCCTCTCCACCATCAGCAACAGCAACCATCAAATTCGTGCAAGCCCTCGTAGCCCAAATCACGAAAACCCCAGCAATCCCAAACCTAATAGCCCCATTTTGCGGCACAAACAGCGAAACCGCCGATAAAATCACCACCGGCAACAAACAGTAACCAATCACACTCGTACACGTATGCAGATCTAAATTCCCTTGTCTACCAGCCAACATATTGAACACAATGTATAAGAAAATCGAGGAAACGACGATCCACCCCAATATCACGCCAAATTGGATTTTCCCGGCGAGTAATTGAAACAAACAGAAGGAGAGATACAAAAATATAGGGCCCGATAGATCCGAGTCCTTGTGGAAAGTCGGGTTGACCCGGAACGGATTTAAAATCGATTTAGTTTTCTTCCAGATTTGGTCTGGGTGGATCCCGAGTTCGTCGAGGAGTGCTTCTTCGTCGTCGAAGTTGGCTGCACCACTTATAGGACCAGTTCCTCCCCCGATTGGACCGGCAGTGGTAGTGGTAGCGGATCCGATTTCGAAGGACATGAAAGGGATTCCGGAGTTTGATGGCCGTGGGGGTTGGAATGGTGCAATCGGTACTCGGCGTTGCTGGATGTTTCCGCCAGTGGCCACTGTCGGGTTTCCGCCGGACGGGAAGATTACCGGTGGCACAGCAAATTGCTTCGTCATGGTTGTCGATTTTGAAATGAAAGGAAATGAAATCAGGGTTTCGAGATCAGTGAATTAGGGATTTTGTTTTGGTCTTTTTACTTGGATCTTTTTAGTGTTTTTTTTTACTTCCGCTCCTCCCTCCGGTGTTTTTCAGCTTTATTTTTCTGGAGAGATACAGAAACTTACTGTGTAAGAAAGCAGAGGGATTTTTCGTTTTTATAGATGCATCTAAAGCCCATGAGTAGAAGGCCAGTTTAAGATCATAATTTGGGCTTTAGGCCCATACTGAACCGTATTCAGAAAGATGCTTCAAATTTTTAATACCGCATAGGTTTTAAATGAGTTTCTTTTCAATATTATTTTTGTGAATACATCATTTTGAATATAAATGAATTATTTTTAAGGAAAAAAATTATTTTTAATATGGGAAAATTGTTCAGAAAATACTCTTAATGATTAAAAAAAATTCTGCAGTGTTTAGTTTCTTCATGAAAAAATGTGGACAATGCTCATATTTTTGGCAATATCGCACTCATTTTTTTTAGTTTTCGTTTAAGAGGTAAACTGATTCAAAAATAATTTTATTTCATAAAAAATATAGATTATTTGAGTGTAAATTATAAATTTATTAATTCTTCTAGTTTTGTAAAACTAATTAATTCGTCTTCTTTATTTTAAAAATTAAAAATAAAATATTATTTCTATTATGGATGATCATGTTTGGGAAATTTAAAAATAAAATAGTGAATTTTTTAGATAGAAAATTTTTTTGAAGATATTTTGGTAATTATCTTTCAAGATATGTATTTCTATTATGGATAATCATGTTTTATTTAATTAATACATTAAAATATGTTATACATTCATCTTGTAATTTAATTTAATTGATTGATAAAAAATGTTGAGTTATGATTAATTAAAACTAGTATTACGGATGATACTTTTTTTTTCTATCTCGTCGCTACTTGACGCTCGGACGAGACTCTCAAAAATTAAATCCTTATTTACAGAGTTTGATCATACATTCGGAGTCGCCACCTAGTATTAAGAAACTAGGAACTTATAAATTAAATTGGTCCAGAGATTCTATGGTATTGGTTACACTTTTGAAAAGATATTTATTCACCCAAAAGTGCCCTTTCCGAAGAAAGGTACCATGTCTAGTTTAGTCCTAAATTTATCTACTAAAATGTTCATTTATGTCAAATTATTTTTTTGTTTTGAAACTCTGATTTTTAAAGCAAATAATAATAATAATAATAATAATAAATCAAATCAAATCAAATCAAATAAAAAAATTAGTTTTGAGCATGACATCGTATTGAAGCGATCGTCGGTCCCCTTCATCGGGAGACACGTCGGTTCAAACATCGGATCCATTTAAAATCTTGACACAATCGATGCATCGGAGGACACTATGATTAAATTAAATGATGATTTGGTGACGAAGGTCCCTATCAGATAGGAGACCTCGCCACGAGACGACAAGCCTCTACCAAGAGGAGACTTCGCCGAGAAAATTTATTATTATTTTTTATATTTTTTTATTAATAGCATGCATGCATAAAAGTCAAAACTAAAAAAATAAATATTAAATTAAATACAAACGAGACAAAATATACAAATAAAAAAATAATTAAAATAATTAAACCCCTCTAAACATCCGAATTAAATACAAGATATATAAAACTTAAATTTCTAACTTAATATATTTTTTATTATACTCCATTCCCGGTTGGAGACTGAATTAAATCCATCTTTTTATTGTTTTGTTTTTTTAATGAAAAATGGAGGAATGCAAAGGCAGAGAGTGAACCAATCTTTGGCTTTTTTTTTTTTTTTTTTAATTTTTATTCTTAACTAGCGGCCCAGCCTCCATTCAAACCCAAATCACCTTTCTTTTTTATTTCGCCGCAGACCAAGCCAAGCCCATGAACCCGACTTAACAAAAGCTTATACTTTTGGTCAAATGTTTCAAAATAAATTCCAAGAATTTCTCTCTCATTTTCTGGTTCTCTCACGCCATTTCTTTCTTTTCTTTGTCTTTTCCCTATTTCGTCTCTCTCCCTCACCATATACCAGGATCCCTTCATTTTTTTAAAAAAATCAAGACCGCTTCTACTCAGCCCTCTCTCTCTCTCTCTCTCGTTCATCCTCGCCTTTTATTATTATTTTTTTTGGGTGTAATCCTAATTTTCTCTCTCCCTCACCATATACCATGAGCGAACCAGGATCCCTTTATTTTTATTTTTATTTTTTTAAGACCGTTTCTGCTCAGCCCCCCTCTCTCTCTCTTGTTCATCCTCGCTTTTTATTTTTGCTGGGTGTAATCCTAAATTTCTCACCTTAACAAATCGAAGTTCATTCCCCGAATTAAGTTACTCTAGTGTAACTACTCAAACTTCAAACCCGTCACTATTGTTTCATGACCAAACAATTGGGTGTCTTATTTAGCCTTTTTAACTGCCATCCTTTTTATGTTTAGACCTGACCAATTGACATTAAAAAAAAAATTAAATGTTTTGAAATACCTGGGTAGAAATGGACGAAGTGGAAGGTGTTGAAAGAATTGGTGTGGTGTTGTTGGGATTTCGTGTTGCAGGTGTTCGATTACGGGATTTATGATGTTGTGGCTGTGCTTTGTTCGTCTGGAATGATTGAAAGGAACACTGGATGGCTTGTGTTCTTTAAAACCCAGCAATTATGAATTTGCAAACCCGAATGGAGAACCCCGAAGAATGCAGTGAAACTCTGCCTAGAAAATTCCAACAGGAACAGCAACTCGGAGAGTGCTACTGCCTAAAACCCCAAAAAAATCCTTCCTTCCTTTTTAAAAAAAAAGAAGAAGAAGCTTTTTTCTTTTTTTTAAACTTTTCTCCTTTTCATAGATACTGATAGTTTGAGTTTCATCCCAAATCAATTATCTTTAAACTCGAGTTTCATCCTAAATCAAATATCTTAAAATTTGAATGTTTTAGCTATCCAATTTGATATCCAATTTGAAATCAACTTATGTTATTGAAATGTGATCTTAATTAGCTAAACAATTAGGATAAATTGAAATTTGAAAAAAAATCAAAAAGAGGATAGGGGATAGATTTTAATCTGTTTCCCTCCTTTTCTTCTTCATTTTTTTTGGTTTTGTATATTTTTTTTATTTGTTTGTTTTTTTTAAGTAATAATAATAATAATAATAAAAAAGAAAAAAATGCTTTTTTTTTTTTGGTTATGACACTATCAATATATTAGGATTTAAGAAATCACTAATGTTCATGATCATACATATTCTTATTTTTCTTGTTTATATGATAATCCTTTGATTAAATTACAAGAGAGTAACAAAAGTCTCATTTCAACAATATTAATTAGTTAAATTGTATCAATTGCCATAGTTACTAGATAGTAAAATTAATCTCGTAATTAATGAAACAAATGGTAGATAGAAAAAAAAACTCTAATATAAGGAATTTTTTAGTATAATAAAAAAAAAGTCAAATGTTAGCATTTAAAAGTCGAAGAACCTCAAAAACTTTTTTTTCTTTCGAATGCAATAAAAAAGAACTTGACTTGATCATGAAAAAAAAAATATCAAAGTCATTAAAAACTATAAAATGAGTTTATTATTAGATAAAAACTATTTTAAAAAAAACTCTAAAAAATTTTCTATCTAAAAAATCCATCAATTTATTTTTTAAATTTCTTAAATCTAAAAATAAAAAATTATCTTACCAAAAGACCCAATAGTTAACCTCCAACCTAACACTATTGAAATTCAATAGTATCAATAGTGTTAGGTTGAAGGTTAACTATTGGGTCTTTTGGTAAGAAAAATATTATTTTGAGTTTCAAAGATTTAAAAATAAATTGATGAGTTATTTGGATATAAGATTTTTTTAAAGGATTTTTCTGATAATTATCCTATTAATTGATTCATTTTTTAAAAAATAAAGAGACTAATTTATAATCTTCTCTTGGTTTGAGTATGATATTTAGAAAGAAAATTTGATTTTTATACTTCGAAGTAATTGTAAACCAGGCCATTATTCTAAATGTTTGTGTACTTTTTATGCTGTCTTGTTCATGTCCTACGTTGTTACGGAGGTTCAGCATGCATGGCATTTGATCGATCATGACCTTGTGAGAAACAAAAACAGCTGATATAGAGGGACCAATGGCAAATATATACATGCTCAAGTCTTTGTCTTCTTTTTCACTACAAAGAAAAAAGAAGAACAAAACAGGGAGGAGGAGATGAAGGAAGAACATATGCAGCGGCAGGGCACAAGCAACGGCAATGGTATAGATATGGAGGACTATTCATGGACACAGAGCTTGAAAGAGGTTAGTGTTTATGTGAGGCTCATTGATGGAATATGTTTAAGTATGCTTCTGTGCTATTTACAGGAGAATCATTTGGTCAAAAATTGATGGAGAGTTATTTCAACCTGTGGATAATTGCATTTGCAAATTGAAGATCAAACCGAGATAAAAGAGTAATGTAGGCCATTGGTGGAAGTCATTGTTAAAGCGAGAACACGAAATTGATATTTGGAAGGTAAAGATTGTTGGGTAGCCCAAAGATGAAGCTTTTTCTCACACTCAATCTGATGCAAATTTTGGGTGCTATTGAGCCTTCTTAACTCCAAAAGTTAGTTCAAAAAGTGCGTTTTTTCCTCGTACTTATAATCAAGCACCCAACTCCTTTCACAACCTATGTGGGCTAACCCGACAAGATTGAACCAAATCATAAGCCACAGAAGAATCCTAGATTGTCTGGCAGGTGGTGAAATTAAGAGACAAAGCAGGGTGAAGAAGGTTGATTTTACGTGTATGTGGAAAGGGTAATTTTAAAAGGAAATAAGATGCTGCTTAGTGCCATTCAATTGTAGACAAACGATTATTAAAAAGAAAGCATTGAAGACAAAGCATATATATGTCCAAATATACAAATCATTGCTAGAATATTAGCATCCCTATGCTGTCAAAGACAGCTAAAATTTGCAGAAATATGTATAGAAAGTCATATTACTAATAGGTTGTTGTGCTGTTCTTCAGGTCAGGCATGCACCTTATGTGAACAGCTAAATCACAGTCTCCACACTGGAATAACCATTCGCTTCGATCCCCTTTTTCCTTGCAAATGTCGCAAGTGTACTCATCGGAATCTTCTTGTGAAAGAGACAGCCGGTGTTTGTCACTTTTGAATGCAACAGTGGTTGGTAGCAAAACACAGTTGATATGAAGATCGTAGTAGCAGTCATAGCATTTGTAGCTGATAGACTTGCCTAGTTTACCACAAGCACAGCACAGGTATTGATAATTAAACGCATGTGGAATGATAATGAAATTCAGCGGCTGTTCGTGCCATTTGCGATGAAGAATTGGTGGCAGGAATCTACAATGCAGGTTGGTTTCGAGGAGGCAATCGTAACAACTGGTAGAGAATTCATCACAATTGCTGCATTTACGTGTCTCTGAGGATTCACACCTGGGGCTAATTTCTCTCAGGTATCGAGGGCAGTTTTGTGCAAGGGCCTTTATTTCACCAGGGGTCTCGGCACATGATTTGTGTAGGATGAATTCATCACACTCATCACAGTAATAGTTTTGATCTGCAATGCGTTTCGAGCAACGCTTGCATACAAGTTTATCCTTCTTTGGTTCTTCTGATAAGACTAATGCATGCAAGTGGTCGTTCATTGGTTTTTTGCTATCAATCTCTTTCAGGACCTCGTCCTGTGAAGCTGAAGATTGGGGTAACACATTGCTTGATGGATAATCTCGAAGGGGCTCGCCACTTACCGAAAGGGGAAGTGCCATTGAATGGTCATGACCAGGTGCGACTTCATCTAATGAAAATGACTGTGTGTTGACAGAGAGCTTCAGAACATGATCAGGGACAACATAACCAGTGTTGTGCTGACCTTGCGCATCACATTCGATGATGATCAAACAAACCCTCGTTGAACTTGCTAGAGTCACGAACCGATCAAGGTAGGCACGATCGGAGAGTGTTGTGTTGATGGTAACTGAGATCTGCCGATTGAGTTGGGTTGAAGCCACATGATACAAAACTTCAAAAGTTAACTTCTTGAAATGTTCTGGTGAGACCTTGGCTCTGGGTGCGTAGGTTGGATGGATGCTTTCAAGGGCTCGGGCGATATCATTTTCATCGATAAGAGGGTGTCCGTAGGAGTCAGCTAGCTCACGGGCGATTCTGCTAGTGCTAGAAAGTGAAGGGCCTTTCGTTGCAATGATTAATGAGGCATTTGGTAGCTCCATTTCTTGCCGTGCTGCTTGTGTCATTTCTTGCAGTGTTGCTTTCAACTCCTCCATTTCACCTCTCTGTCTATAAGTTGAAAAATCTCTAACTGTGATAATCTATGGAGGAGAAAATATTTTCCTAGTGAATGAATTATGAGGCAATGAAAATCACTAAACTGAAAAGTTTTACTAAACAAGAATCTAAACTGGGAACTGTGGTGTAAAGTCCAATGTTGAGGAGAGCAAAACCAGTTCTGATGTTCCATACTTGCAATCAAGAAACAAGTATATAAAAGTAAATTGAAGGGAATTCTTGTTTGCTTTATTCCTGGAAGGGAATTAAGTATTAAATTGGATGCAGCAAAGCACAAATTCGTGACAAAATAAAGAAGATAGCTCTGTGTCACAAGAAAAGTACTTTTCATCAATCTGCCTTATCTTGAATAGGATTCCTAACTTGCTGGCCAGAAAAAGCATTGAAGAAGGTGTGGACTGGAGACATGAACTATATTATGGATAGGGGTGAGCCCTATTTAGTTTAAATCGAAAAACTGAACTGAAATATTGATTCGGTTCTTAACTAAAAAAAACAAACTAAATTTTTTTTTCAGTTTTTTGGTTCGGTTCTATCTTGGACATTTTTGGTTCGGTTTAAATCGAAGAAAATAAATCAAAAAATCAATATCTTAACATTATTATACATGTACTATGGATTAATAGTATTTATGGTCTGTTTATATTGTTTAAAAAAATTGATTTAAACCAAAAAAAAAATTGAAAAACCAAAATTTCGGACAATGTCAGTCTCCAGTTCTTGATTTTGTTCTATTTAATCTTAATTGCTTTGCAGAAAACAACCTCAGTTGCTCCAAAAAACGGTTGGCCATTTTGGTCGTTGGCGTATATTTTTAGCCAATTCCTGACCGGACCAACCAGAAAAACTTCAAATTTTGGGACTGCGTAAAACATTCTTAGGCATTTTGCTTTATATATCCGAGTCTTGAAACTATGAACGGTAGAGGATCTGGAGAGGTGGACCTTGTCCCGGAAGGTTTCATACCTGGACTTAGAGAATTAGAGATTAGACTACGAGAAAGAAACCTGAGGAAACTAGCTGCGCTCCTTGTAGAAATTGTTCCTCGCAGATATGCTGCAAATTACTTAGTGGAGAAAAATTGAAGCAAAATGGAAGGGAACGAAAGAATATTTTAGCAAGGAATTTTCACTTATTCCAGTCAGTTTTTTTTTGTTTCAAAAGAGCGACTAGAGTGTTTTAAAGCCCATGGGATTTTTAGTGGATTTTATTTAATCTTGCATTTGATTTGGATCTCACCCTATTATTGCATTGATAATTTTGAAGAACCATTAGAAAAGGAGGATAGGATGTTATAGTTTTGCTATAAGTTTCATAGCTTTTAAGAGAAAATGACCTAGTTCGTTTTTACATAACGAGGTGAATCTCAAATTTGCTTTTTATCTTAAATTGTGGCAATTATTTCTTTGTATTTTAAGTGAATTTTTAACATATTCTTCTAATAAATTTTTCTGGCCACGTTATTGAAAAAAATAACGTAACTTGCACGTGATTAATTTTTTTAAAATAAAAAATGCCTCTATAAAAATAAAACATGATTGACACACTTTCAAATGAGATGCATTTTTGAAAAAATAGTATGTTCAAGTCACATGATTATTTTTGATTGTTTGGTCGAAAAAATTAATTAGAATGACAGATTAAAAACTCAATTAAAATATAGAAACATAATTAGCTTATTTTAGAATAAAAAGATAGATTATACGCCGACTTCGTTATCCAAGGACAGCTTGAGTCATTATTTATAATTTTAAATCGCAAACATAGTTGTAAAAATATTTGTAATTCTGATCAAAGTTATAACTTATCATGATAGAAAAATAATCATCATAACAACTAATGTCGTGAATACCTTATCGCTTGTTAAAAAAATTATTTTAAAATAAAAAATAAAAATATTTTTTATTTTTTGAAACAATAATACAGTGATCGTTATTTACCAAATAATGACAATGACAACCGTTAATGTTATATAATGTTTTTATTGCCTTTGTTTATATGAATTGGAATTATGTCATGCACAATTGCAAAAAAAAAAGATTAAAAAAAAAAAAGATTATTATTTGGAAACACACTGGACCAGTCCTTCGGCCCGAACAAAACCTCTCTCTAGGCCCATTACTGTGTAACCCAGAACCCAAGGCGCGAGGCCCAGAGTCCATGGTGACAAGCTCGTGGCCTTTTTGCATTTTTTTTCTTTGCCTCTCACAAACTCAGCACACGGCCTCTTTCTCTTTATTTTTCTCTAGACTGAACTCAGTAGCCCAGGCAAAATGTTTTGGCCTTAGGCCTTCCTAAACTTAACTCCTCCTAGTCCACAGCCCAACCTCTCTTTAAAAAAGACAACCCAAGTCCATTTTTCTTTTACTCTTTCCCTAGCCCGAGTTCTTACCCTTCTTCTTTTCTCGTTCCCTCACCCTGGTCTCTTATCCTTCTCTTCTTCCTTATACCGCAAAACAGAATAAACAGCAATTCTTACCTAAAACTTCATTCAAGGTTTCCATCTTCCTTCTCATGCACTATGGACAATAACTAAGGTTGAGATGACTGGGTTTGTTCAAAGCACTGGATAGTTACGTTAAGTAATGACTGTTATGTTGTGTCATATACCGGAATAACCATTATTTAAAATTATGAAAAGTTCATTTGGTCGAATATAGAGTTAGAAGCAGTAATTTTGAGGCTTGCTGTGGAGGAGCTCAAAATTCATGCTGCCATTTTGTTAATTTCTTGCCTTCTTATTTGCGTTTTGGCAAGATGGAATTGCTTTCTTTCTAATTCTTTCCTTACCTGTGCATCCTATTTGTGTCAATACATTAAATTTACTTGAGAAACAAAGAAAACAAATAATTCATGCACCTCGGGTAAGAGAAATTTCGAATGGGAAAAAAAATTATGATGCATTGCTAATATATTCTCATATATATATATATATATATATAACAGGAGTGGGTAATTTTAGTAAATGTAATTAGCGGTGTTTATCTATTTATTTTACCAATCAGGGATAATTAATTCATTAGTAAGAAAAAATAAATCATACTTAAAGTAGGGTCCAAATGTTCCAGAGCCCACAACAAGCCCACATTTCCCGAAGCAAACAGAAAATAGGCCCACCCATATATCCATCCGGGAACCAACCTTCATTTGGCAGATGACCTTTTTTCTTCATTTAAGTAGGTGCTTTAATGGTTTGATAAATTATTTTTTAAGCTAATGGATCGATCTCTCATTAATTTTTCAATCTACTTTTATATTTTCAATTAATTTATTTTATTTTTAAATATATAGTAAGAATTTAATCTATTTTTCTTGTAAGATTTTTAGGTTAATTTACCGAAATTGGTCACACAATTTACATATAAAAACCTTTTATTTAGCTAGCTTAATGTTATAAAATAATATAAAATCATTCCTAAGCCTCACCTAAAAGTTTAAATTATTAGATTGAAATGGTTCTTTAATATGATATCAAGTTTTGATATATCAAACGATCGCGAATTTAAATTTCACCTCTCTCGTTTTCTCTTTTAATTAAACATAAGATAATGATGAGTATGTGCAAGTTTTAAGTCCAAATAGCTTTCACTTAAAAAAGATGTGTTAGAGAATAATATAAAATCATCCTTGAAGTATCACCCAAAATTTTAAACTTTTGGGTTAAAATGATTTTTTAACATTTAAAAAGATATTTTAGAAAGAAAAAAAATCATGTGTAAATTACGTGAATAATTTTAATAATTTAACTTGAAAATCTTAATAAAATGATAATTAGAAATTTAGTTTATATTTAAGGATAAATTAACTCAATTAAAAATATAAATATATATCGAAAAATAATTTAAACCTTTCTAGTATAAAATGAAATTATAATCATAAAATCGATTCGATTTTTTATAACTTAAACTCTATTAACAATCACTTATGAATCTTTTTTTGCTATAAACATCGGTTGTTATTATTATATCTATATATATATATATATATATATTGCTATAAAACTCGGTTGTTATTTTTTTCATTTAATATATGTATTAAGTATTCAATCTATTTTTTGTAAGATTTTTAAGCTGAATTATCAAAATTAATAACACAATTTATGTCTAAAAACTTTTTATTTGACCAGTTTACAAGAGTATTTTAGAAATAAAAGTTTGTCATGTATAAATTACGTGAATAATTTTGATAATTTAACTTGAAAATTTAAATAAAACAATATATTAGAAACTTAATATACATTTAAGGATAAGAATTAAATCAATTAAAAATATAAATACATATAAAAATATAACTTATTATACGAGAATAAACTGAAATATTAACCCATTATTTCTTTGGCTCGATTAATGCTTGGCTCCTGTCGATTCCCTTATCGCTCCTGCCTGGACCCTCCAATCTTTGAACCTCATTTGAATTTCTGGTACAGGAAAGTGACATGAGGTTGAACCTTTAGCTAGTTTGATGGTTAAGGAGTGAACTTTTTTCAAACTTCGACTGTTTGTACAGAAAATGGAGTAATTATCAATTATGTTATCTTCACCCCTACCACAAGCATGCCAGTACAGAATTATTGTAACAGATTGCTTTATTTTTGGTGAAGCAAACCTTTAGATATTTTCATGGATTCGTATCAAAATAAATGAGTACTCCACTTTTATACATGCGCATGTAAATAGTGAATTAATAAGAGCAAATTATAAATTATTCTTTTCCGTTTTGAGAAATGAATTAATTATTCTTTTTAACTTTAAAAACTAATTATTTTATCTTTTTAATTAATATTGATAACAATTAATTTAATATTTTTTAATTTATAAATTATCTTTTTTTTCATCAATATTTTCATATTTTTACTTATATTTATTTTTTAAAACAAAAAATAAAAATAAATTAAAAAATAGTAAAATCAACAATTTTTTTTTCTCTATGTACGCGAGCTCTACATGTTCTTGTATAGTTAAAAAGAGATTGATTCTGT